GCAATGAAAAAAATTGTCGAAAAATTCTTCGACATTATTACTGCATTGTTAATTTAGATTCGTATGAAAGAGAACAATCATATAAGAAAATGTGAATGAAAATATTCCATCCACTCTGTTTTTCAAAACTTTTTTAAAAATAAAAAGATATTAGAAACTATGTTAATTTACACCTTATTTTCAATACCACAATGTAGAACAAAAATGGACTTCATTTTATTGATTGACATTGCATTGTAGTGCAGTGCAATAAAATGCAGTTAAATTCTTATTATGGTAAACAGTATAAATTCTCTTGCAAACAAAAAAAAAAAATCCACTCATCAGTCAAAAAGGAGTGTTCATTTCTTTTGGATCTCTTGCGTATACTCAAACTAGTCATTCGATAAAAAGAAAACCAGTAACACGTAACTTTGCGAAAGTCCTTCAACTTAATTACTGACTGTTAATTTTGATTCATGTCAAAGAAAACAAATATTTAAGAATATGAGAATAAAAGAAATGCTCTCTAGTCTGTTTTTGAAACCTTTTGTTTTCAAAGCATAAAATGAAAAAAAGTGTGTGTATTCAATCAGTTTTTAAATTCAATTAAGAAAAAAAAATTGACTAAGTTAATTTTGATTGGACTATTTGGCAGGTATCACAATGTATCGCATTGTATTGCAGCAGAGTGCAGTATGGTGCAATTCTACTTGTATTTAAACAAGCACAATTCTTTTACTTGTCAATGCATTAGAAATATTCCCCACCATCCACCCTCCAAAGATAGCTTTTATATACAATTTGTCCTTGTGATTGAATGTTTCTTTGGAAATTTGCATAATGTAAGTTTTGTTTCAAAGTTCGATAACTCAAATCATGTCCCTTTGAACAACGTAGACAAAACGATCATTGATTTCTCCTTTATATTATGTAAATGTTTAAGCAATGCTAACGAGTAACAGGCTTGTATACTATATATAAGACGTTAGAGAGACATTCACAAATGACCATGTGTTAAAGTCAGAGTAAATAACGGTGACAGGTAATGTCGCATGTAAAGGACTCAGTGTGAGCTTATCTCACTAAACAAGTACTGCTAAGCAGTATTGAAAAGCGTCTTTGATTGTTCTACAAAGTCCTCGGCGGCTTTGTTTGAGTCTCAAAATATTCACTCATCAGTCAAACAGGAGGAAAGTTGATATTTTTTCCACTGTTTTGCCTATTAATAAAAATTGACCAAGTATGTTTTAATTAGACAGTACATCAAGCATTACAATGCAATGTATTATAGGACAGTTATATTTTTATTTAAAAGCAAAATTAATTAGCTTGCAATTAAAGAACTTCACTCGACACTCCAATTTTCCTCAGGATGTTTCGCATATATCCATTTCAGTCTTTCAATAAAAAAAATCAGCAAAAGTAACTGTTCTTTGATGAGAACTTAGCTCAAAGCACTGTTATCAGAATATATTCTGTTTATCCTTCCTGGTGCTTATCTGCATCACTCTCAAAATTTACACTCATCAGTAAACACGAGATTTCTCTCTTTTTCAATCGTTCATATACCCAAACTAGGCGTTGCATAAAATAATAAACAGCAATGAAAAAAATTGTCGAAAAATTCTTCGACATTATTACTGCATTGTTAATTTAGATTCGTATGAAAGAGAACAATCATATAAGAAAATGTGAATGAAAATATTCCATCCACTCTGTTTTTCAAAACTTTTTTAAAAATAAAAAGATATTAGAAACTATGTTAATTTACACCTTATTTTCAATACCACAATGTAGAACAAAAATGGACTTCATTTTATTGATTGACATTGCATTGTAGTGCAGTGCAATAAAATGCAGTTAAATTCTTATTATGGTAAACAGTATAAATTCTCTTGCAAACAAAAAAAAAATCCACTCATCAGTCAAAAAGGAGTGTTCATTTCTTTTGGATCTCTTGCGTATACTCAAACTAGTCATTCGATAAAAAGAAAACCAGTAACACGTAACTTTGCGGAAGTCCTTCAACTTAATTACTGACTGTTAATTTTGATTCATGTCAAAGAAAACAAATATTTAAGAATATGAGAATAAATGAAATGCTCTCTTGTCTGTTTTTGAAACCTTTTTTTTTCAAAGCATAAAAAGAAAAAAAGTGTGTGTATTCAATCAGTTTTTAAATTCAATTAAGAAAAAAAAATTGACTTATTCAATTTTGATTGGACTATTTGGCAGGTATCACAATGTATCGCAATGTATTGCAGCAGAGTGCAGTATGGTGCAATTCTACTTGTATTTAAACAAGCACAATTCTTTTACTTGTCAATGCATTAGAAATATTCCCCACCATCCACCCTCCAAAGATAGCTTTTATATACAATTTGTCCTTGTGATTGAATGTTTCTTTGGAAATTTGCATAATGTAAGTTTTGTTTCAAAGTTCGATAACTCAAATCATGTCCCTTTGAACAACGTAGACAAAACGATCATTGATTTCTCCTTTATTTTATGTAAATGTTTAAGCAATGCTAACGAGTAACAGGCTTGTATACTATATATAAGACGTTAGAGAGACATTCACAAATGACCATGTGTTAAAGTCAGAGTAAATAACGGTGACAGGTAATGTCGCGTGTAAAGGACTCAGTGTGAGCTTATCTCACTAAACAAGTACTGCTAAGCAGTATTGAAAAGCGTCTTTGATTGTTCTACAAAGTGTTTGAGTCTCAAAATATTCACTCATCAGTCAAACAGGAGGAAAGTTGATATTTTTTCCACTGTTTTGCCTATTAATAAAAATTGACCAAGTATGTTTTAGTTAGACAGTACATCAAGCATTACAATGCAATGTATTATAGGACAGTTATATTTTTATTTAAAAGCAAAATTAATTAGTTTGCAATTAAAGAACTTCACTCGACACTCCAATTTTCCTCGGGATGTTTCGCATATATCCATTTCAGTCTTTCAATAAAAAAAATCAGCAAAAGTAACTGTTCTTTGATGAGAACTTAGCTCAAAGCACTGTTATCAGAATATATTCTGTTTATCCTTCCTGGTGCTTATCTGCATCACTCTCAAAATTTACACTCATCAGTAAACACGAGATTTCTCTCTTTTTCAATCGTTCATATACCCAAACTAGGCGTTGCATAAAATAATAAACAGCAATGAAAAAATTGTTGAAAAATTCTTCGACATTATTACTGCATTGTTAATTTAGATTCGTATGAAAGAGAACAATCATATAAGAAAATGTGAATGAAAATATTCCATCCACTCTGTTTTTCAAAACTTTTTTAAAAATAAAAAGATATTAGAAACTATGTTAATTTACACCTTATTTTCAATACCACAATGTAGAACAAAAATGGACTTCATTTTATTGATTGACATTGCATTGTAGTGCAGTGCAATAAAATGCAGTTAAATTCTTATTATGGTAAACAGTATAAATTCTCTTGCAAACAAAAAAAAAAATCCACTCATCAGTCAAAAAGGAGTGTTCATTTCTTTTGGATCTCTTGCGTATACTCAAACTAGTCATTCGATAAAAAGAAAACCAGTAACACGTAACTTTGCGAAAGTCCTTCAACTTAATTACTGACTGTTAATTTTGATTCATGTCAAAGAAAACAAATATTTAAGAATATGAGAATAAAAGAAATGCTCTCTAGTCTGTTTTTGAAACCTTTTGTTTTCAAAGCATAAAATGAAAAAAAGTGTGTGTATTCAATCAGTTTTTAAATTCAATTAAGAAAAAAAAATTGACTAAGTTAATTTTGATTGGACTATTTGGCAGGTATCACAATGTATCGCATTGTATTGCAGCAGAGTGCAGTATGGTGCAATTCGCATTGTATTGCAGCAGAGTGCAGTATGGTGCAATTCTACTTGTATTTAAACAAGCACAATTCTTTTACTTGTCAATGCATTAGAAATATTCCCCACCATCCACCCTCCAAAGATAGCTTTTATATACAATTTGTCCTTGTGATTGAATGTTTCTTTGGAAATTTGCATAATGTAAGTTTTGTTTCAAAGTTCGATAACTCAAATCATGTCCCTTTGAACAACGTAGACAAAACGATCATTGATTTCTCCTTTATTTTATGTAAATGTTTAAGCAATGCTAACGAGTAACAGGCTTGTATACTATATATAAGACGTTAGAGAGACATTCACAAATGACCATGTGTTAAAGTCAGAGTAAATAACGGTGACAGGTAATGTCGCGTGTAAAGGACTCAGTGTGAGCTTATCTCACTAAATTAGTACTGCTAAGCAGTATTGAAAAGCGTCTTTGATTGTTCTACAAAGTCCTCGGCGGCTTTGTTTGAGTCTCAAAATATTCACTCATCAGTCAAACAGGAGGAAAGTTGATATTTTTTCCACTGTTTTGCCTATTAATAAAAATTGACCAAGTATGTTTTAGTTAGACAGTACATCAAGCATTACAATGCAATGTATTATAGGACAGTTATATTTTTATTTAAAAGCAAAATTAATTAGTTTGCAATTAAAGAACTTCACTCGACACTCCAATTTTCCTCGGGATGTTTCGCATATATCCATTTCAGTCTTTCAATAAAAAAAAATCAGCAAAAGTAACTGTTCTTTGATGAGAACTTAGCTCTAAGTACTGTTATCAGAATATATTCTGTTTATCCTTCCTGGTGCTTATCTGCATCACTCAAAATTTACACTCATCAGTAAACACGAGATTTCTCTCTTTTTCAATCGTTCATATACCCAAACTAGGCGTTGCATAAAATAATAAACAGCAATGAAAAAAATTGTCGAAAAATTCTTCGACATTATTACTGCATTGTTAATTTAGATTCGTATGAAAGAGAACAATCATATAAGAAAATGCGAATGAAAATATTCCATCCAGTCTGTTTTTCAAAACTTTTTAAAATAAAAATATATTCAATTCAGAGCTGCTAGCAGGCTGAAAAGTACAATTGATTTCCGAGACAATCCGAAATCCGATAGAAATAATTCGCACAAGTGAATATTTGAGAAACTTAATTCTTAGGAAGAAAATACCTTACACATTGGTTTGAACATATTTTATTGCTTAGATATTACAACAAAAGGATCGGACACGAGTTCTTAAAACTTAGAACGTCCTCTCCTTTATAACAATTAATTACACAAAATAATGTTAAAAAATTAAACTACACTGGAACCAAAGGTCAATATGATTATCTTACATAGGTTATGCATGTACAAAATTGATTTGATGTAGTATGTACAAATGAATCTAAATATATAAATTCAAAAACGACCAGCTCTTGCACATTTAGAAATAAACATTCGTTTTCAGAAATGCTAATCGAATCATCTCCCCATAACAGTACGTGAGTGTCTATAATACGTAAATTAATCATTCTAAAAATAACATTAAACAAATCGTTTCTTGGGACAGTGTATTTCGCACAAGAAGAAAAGTAATGATATGCGTCTTCTGTTTTTCCACAAGTGCACCTTACACATGGAAGATTTTAAGCTCGGTCGGTTAAAAGGATCAAAGTCTTGAAATTACGAAATTACATGTAAATGTATGTCTTCTTTATAATATTTTATCTGAGCCAATATTACAGTCTTTTAGAACCGGCTATTAAAAAATGAAAGATAACTCTTAACAATCCAATTAAGAGTTACCGTTCCTAATATTAATCACGTGACGTTACAACAAGCCGTGACGTAATAATAGAGACCGTAGTAGCTCGATCGCAAAAGAAAATTTTCGTGGTATTCGAGAAGCCTTTTCCAAAATTCAGATTTTTGATTTTTGGATGCAATAAGTATCACCTTTGTAATTCATTTTATAAGCATTATTTAAATAGCCGTAAAATTGTGAAAATTACCGATCTTTTAGGGAATTTTTGGAAAATCATTATAGATTAAAATCATGTGCCGTGTTTGATATCAACTAAGTTTCTTTTTTTCTGTATAGAAGAAAATGAATGACAAGTTCAGTTATTACAAATCTTACTGTATGTCTTAAAAATTTAGGGGAGTAATGACTCAAGGGAAAATAACGCATTCAATTGGGAAAAAGTACCTTGTTATACCCCCCTCCCCCGCTTGAAAAGTGGGGGATGCATAGTGAAGGGGGGGGGGTCTGTCTGTCCGTCCGTCCGTTACGCTTTGGAGTACCAATCTCTTATCCGCAACTCCGCCTATACCACTGAATAAAATTCAATGAGACTTTCACAGAATCTTTATTACATAGTGCGATTGTGACCTCCTACTTAATGTATTAAAAGGACAAATATTTGGACTTTCCCACAGCAAAATAAAAAAAAGGGGGGATTTGTCTTTAAAATCATATGGGAGGCGGGAAGGGGGTATCATTTTGTGAACTCAGAGATCACAGTACCTCTAGTTTTTAATTTGGGAATTAGGCTTTTGAAAGACTCAAAATATAGACAATCGAGAGCCCTGATATAAGTAAAATAAAATTCTAAAATATTCCAATAGTCTGTCTTTGGCTTACCGCAAAGCAAACATCCTTTTTATTCCCCGAACGTCTACTCGCTAAAACAATTATTTAATTATCACATTCAATTAAGAGGCCCTCTGAAGGGTCCAGGTAGAGTTTACCTGCGTTACCTTGATTTAACAAAGTAGTCTAAATGAATTAAATTAAATAATAATATTTACTGATAAAATTGTGTACTAAAGAGATGGAAAAATGAAAACTTTAGTCAAATATTCATATCAAAAGCAAGATTCACTTAGGGCCTTTTTTTGTCCCTGTGAATTTTTCTGAAAAGTCACGGTCATATTAATTTATTTGAATCTCAGCACCATTTTACAATAGTATATAGAGATTACAAGAACATAATATAGATGATGAATACAAATTAATAATGCATGTATATAAGGCATGCGTGAGAAATAAAATACAAAACTTAGAGTACCTTTAGTGTGAAGTATTGGAATTGTATACCAGGGAGCACATTTTATTTTCTTTATAAATGACCATCATTTTCTCAGAAAGCAGTGCTTATTACTATTCATAATGTTTTTAAAAGTAAGTATGTTCTTAAATTTTATTTGTTTATCGGTTAAACATGAAGTTCTGTCTTTTTGCAGTGAACTCCCCTTTAGTATATAATGAAATTCATCTCCGATTCCTCTTGTCTTGATATATTAACCCAGTGTCCACTTTCAATCGGTAAATAGTTGTTACAAGTTCGAAATCTACAAAATGTGATACATCCTTTTTTGATATAATATTAAAATAATTTTCAAACTTTAATTCGTCTTTGTATATTCTACAATTTAATGCTTTAGATGAGGTTTGAATAATTAATTTCCAACTGTGTTTGAATTGATCAATTAATGCGAGTTTGACTTTCATCTTTAACCATTTTGCATTACTTGAGCTTGCTTCGAGCCAAATATAAGACAGTCCACAATTGTTCAAAACATTTCTAATGTTTTCAAACCAACCAATTTCCCCTCCTATTTCTTGATTTATAATAAAGCCTAATTCATAGTATGGATTTGCAATTTTTGTTTCCTTTCCAGTAATTAATTTTGACCAGTAAGATATCATGCATGTTTTTATTTGAATTTCCATAGGGCATCGATCAAGTTCACCATATACCTTATATCATAAAATCTGGAGTTGTATCTATTAAATGGAGTAAAAGTTTACAATATGTTAGGTGAATACTTTGTATAATTGCATTATTTGAAAATCCCCAAACTTCACATCCATACAATAATGGTTGAACAATTTTGTGAAACAAATCAAATCGACACTATATTGATAGATTATGTAATCTTCCTTTCTTTAATACTTCATATTAATGCTTTTGACAATGCATTTATTATCACTTGAACCCTTGGTGACCATATCTATTGAAAATAACATAATTTCCTCATTAGTGAATGCATTATGATGTCATGAAATGCGTCATTATTCCTGTGTACTGAAAATTCCTTCAAAAATGGCCAAAAATTTTAGTATTTTTCAATATTTCATACAGAGCACAACCTCTGATCCAAAATATGCAACTATATAAAGAAAAATCTGTTTCTGAACATTATAAAACATGTTTTATTTTTTGGATCAAAGGGTGTGCTCATATTTTAATTCTTTGCTGAAGATACTCAAATACACCTGTTTTCTGCAAAATTCAAAAACACAAAGCCTGTTTTCCAATTGGACTCTCAAAAGAAACTTTGTTATCGGAAATGAAAGCACCAAGTCTCTGTTTTAATTCAATGTAAGAAATGGGACAGAGGAAAGAGCAAAAATCTATATGCAGAAATTCCCTGTTATACAGTATAAATGCAAAATCATATATTAACACAAATATATATCTTCCTTGAAAACTTCAGCACCAGCAAGCAATATGACCCAATTAGTTACATGTGTATTAATGCAAATGAATACAGAAAATGAACATAACGGTAAACTAATCTGAAAAAAAAAAAAATTGTGTTCTTATCGATGTCTTTTGATAACGTTTTCTTGTGTAGCCATGCCAGGTCAGGGGGCAGTGGCAAGGTTTTTGTGGAGAAACTTGTACAGGATGTCATGAAACTCGTCTGGTTTGTTTATCCAGGCTGGGTGACCTGCCCCTTTTATTTCATGTAGTTCACTGTTTGGTAAGTTCTTTAAGTTCCTTGTAGAAACTGGGCCAATAGTTTGGTCATTTTCTCCATATACAATGGCTGTTGGAATCTAAAGAAGATAAAAAATACAAAATATAAATGCTATTTAAAAAAATACATGGTGTGTTTCTAGGGCTGTAGTTTTGTCATCTATAAATGTTTCGTTGGCATTAAATTTCGTTGTTTTAAAAGTAACACTATTCAATTTATGGTCATATAAAAATTTCGTTTGGGATTTAATTTCATTGCTAATTGTTGACAACAAAAAAAACATAATTAAATCCCCAATGAATATTTCTGCTTTTACAGTATCTTCCATGCATTCTTTAACTTCTTTAATAATCTTAATACATGCTTGCACATAAAAGCCCCTCGATTATCTGGACATCTTTAACTCACATGAAGACTTTTATACTCCTCTGCTTTATAGTCCTCAGTGTGCACTGGGGCCACAGGCACAAACCCCCTAGAGCGCTTTTGTACTGTTGATGGGTCCTTGAAGAGATAGGGTAGTGAGTAACCCCCACTCATGGAGGGACTGACAATGACAGGGGCTGTCAGTTTGAGGGTAGAAATAAGTTTCTCCAGAAAGACTCCTTTGTCTCCAACATCTGTCTTCTCACTCTCAGTCTTTGCTCCTATAAAATGTTCCACATGAATTATGGGTATGTATAAAAATTTAACACTGCTTATATCGATTGCCGAGAGAAAAAAAACTTTTGGACAGGATGAATGTTATATTGGAAATGCTTATGGCCAAAGCTCATCAGTGACACACAAATACTCTGATCTGATAGAAGAAATTTTGCCTTTGAACATATCCAGTCAACTAAGGTATATATCCCCAATATTAAATGCAAAATTTTAGACTGCATTATCGTAAGGAAGTATTATTATTGATTCCTCCTATTTAAACAAAATGGACATATACCTGGTATTTATAGATTTCACAAAGTTTGCGAAATGACAACCATCATTGTATTAGCCAACAATGGTAACATTTTACTTTTGAACTGGAAAATCAGCCATACACTTTGAACTATAGGTGAATTTTTGTTACTTTCTGTTAGCATCATTTTTCAACTGTACAAAGCATATGGGGTGCATTCAAGATTTTAGCACCTATGTAGTTCTATATAGTCTATGATCTTCCATAATAAGCTAGTCTAGCAACTATGTAGGGATAAACAGAATAATTCATACAGTGCACTCCGTAGACCTAGATATCTAGCCTAGCAGTAGCAGCTATGTTAATTGCAACGATCTTAAAAACATTTTTTATACCTCCGCTCTGAAGGAGAGGAGGGTATCCTGTTTTACCCTTGTGTGCCTGTCCATCTGTCTGTGTGTGTGTCTGTCTGTCCGTAACAAATTTTCGTCGCAGTTTTCTCAGCAACTACTCATAGCAGATGCTTGAAATTTTAGCACACTCTTTGTTTAAGCATCATGCCATATGGTGGGATACAATTTTGTATGAATCTGAAGTCAACTTCCTGTCTATCTGTGAGTCTGTCCGTACCAAATTTCTATCGTCACTGTTTTCTCAGCCATTACACATCGCTGATGCTTGAAATTTTAGCACACTCTATCTTTAGGCATACCATATGCTGGGTTTCATTTTTGTAAGAAATTCTGTGTCTTTAACTGAACTTCTGAGAGTGTATATTCACATCAGAAGCTGGGGTATTACTAGTGAGCATTGACTCACAGACTTCTTGTTTTTCCTGATATATCCGATGTTTGGCTTGCATAAAAATTTTAACAGTTAAAATTTTTAAAGCCAATGCTATCTAATGCTACATCAAACCTTGTTATCTTAAACTCAGTGAGAAAAAACTTCTGAGATATCCAAGGGTTCAAGATATTGGTATTGAGGTTAAAATACAAGAAGAAATGGATACTGGCATCCAAAATCAATCTGACATATCATGGCGTTTGAGATATAGAAGTCTGAGATACTAAAGTTCAACTGTATTTACAGCTGCTGTTAAATAACAGACACTACTGGGGACAAGACTCACCTTCTGGTAAATCTACTGCCACAGGATGGTAACCAAGAGCAGAAAAGATTGTCAGGGTGTCTATTTTCTCCCAATCCTTTGATGAAAATGCTTGTCCATGCAGGAACAGAATGTCACCCACCCCTAATGTTGGTATGACCTCACGTACAACTATATCAACACTCTGTCATGTAAAAAAAAAAATCATAATGATCAATTTCCTTAACAAGTATTCCAAGTCACAATAAATAATTACTTTTGATCTTACTTGTAATGCAAAGGATGCAAATCTGCTAATTAATAACTCTGCTATATATCTAGAACTACAATATTACTGCATGTATTTTTCATGTAAACAAACCTTGCCATCCTTTAACTCTACTTTAACCTTGCGTTCTTCTACTTTTAAGGTTTTGGCCTTGTCAAGAGCATCCTTGGGTATTGAGGTCATTCCTTCTTTCTTTCCCCCAAACTTCAGAAATGTCCCTATGTATTTGTAGTTCTTATAAACAACAATTATGGCAGTGATAGCCAAGACAAATAAGACCACTGTTTTGTTGACATGAATGCCGGAGGGACTCATTTACATATCAAATCTGCAAAGATAACACATGACACACATGCATATAAGATGTAACAGTTGCTAATAAGTAAATAAAATGCATTATCAGGTTCTCCCTCTTCACGTTTGAAGTGAGCTGTAGCTCTCCAGATAATATAAGATTGGATTGTCAATTAATGGTTCTGCAACTAATTTTAAGCAACAAGAGGGGAATGTGTGAATTTTCAGAGATACTACAGTCAAACCTCGTTATCTCCAACTCAATGGGACCATGAAAAAACTTTGAGATATCTGATGATTTGAGATATCCAGGGTTAAATACTTAAAGAATAAGAGGCTGGGATTTCCAAATCACTTCAACATATCCATGGTATTCGAGATATCAGTGCTCAAGATACTGTTCAACTGTAGTAGGCTCCTAAATATCCTCTATCAAGCATTTAATTAGTTATTCAGGAAATGAAATATAATTTCTAAATATATACAGTAGATTCATCATTTTTCAATGAACATTTTATTCCATATATGTCATTTTTATAGTTGAACAATGGGCCATACAAAAGTTGTATTTTCTGCCAAAATGCCAAAACTTTGGAATTTTATCCCAATGAAAATTAAAAAGACCACAATAGTGAATATTGCGTTGTCACATAGACAACTCTGACACACATATAAGCCCAATATAAAGTACTCTCCCTTTAGGAGAACCTTTGACTTGCCATACTAGAAAGAATGTATGACCTTCAGAATATCCTAATTGGAAAAATCAGTAGACCAGGCCTAATCACCCATTAATTGTGTGTGTGTGTGTTTTTAATTGATTACTAAAATCTTGTAAGAATGGACATGACAGTAATTTCGACTTTAAGTGAAAACCAGAAGTCTCTGATGAGACTGTAGTTCTACTGATCTACAAAAGTAGAGAAAGTAGCACTTTGTCTTAAAACTATGGCAACAGCAATAAATAAAATAAAGATCCTTGGTTTAGTCTCTTTCTGAGTCAAGTTTAATTGCAATTGAACAAAAACTGTAGTAGATTAAGTAACATTTTCAAAGAATTTCACAGAAATTTCTATTTTTAGTAACCATGACAACACTTCAACAACATCAAAAACCAATACACAGAATTATAATGTAGTCTACTTGTTTACCAAGTTATATTGATATCAGACTGAAACTGTAGGAGTAGCATTTTGAAAGAATTTCACAGAATTTTCTATTTCTAGTAACCTTGGCTGAATACTGTTCAATAAATCAAACATAGGTAATCAGAGATTACAGAGCTTACCTCAACAAATGTTGTCTTTAAGTAAGGCAAGTCCCACACTAAACTAATAATCTAGGAGTGTGCATCCCTCGATGCAACATTTATTCAATTTTGGTCTGATAGGGCTTGCAGTTACTTGGGAATAGACTTATCTGAAAACTTAAAACTAGTCACTCATCCAGAAAATGTAAGTCAAATCCAGCATCCGAAGCAAGTTTGAGATTGTTCATCCCTTGATGCATCATCCATGCAAGTTTGGTTCAGATAGGCCTTATAGTTACTTGGAAATGAGATCTGCTCCAAAAACTTTAACCTGGTTACTCATCCGAAAAATGTAGGTCAGATCCAGCATCAGAAGCAAGTCCAGTAGTGTGCATCCTTAGATGTATCATCCATGCAAGTTTAGTCAATACAGGGCTTATAGTTACTTGAAAATGACATCTACTCCAAAACTTTAACCTGGTTACTAATCCAGAAAATGTAGGTCAGATCCAGCATCTGAAGCAAGTCCAGTAGTGTGAATCCTTTGATGTATAATCCATGCAAGTTTAGTCAATATAGGGCTTATAGTTACTTAAAAATGACATCTGCTCCAAAAACCTTAACCTGGTCACTAATCCGGAAAATATAGGTCAGATTCAGCATCTGAAGCAAGTCCAGCAGTGTGCATCCTTAGATGTATCATCCATGCAAGTTTGGTCAATATAGGGTTTATAGATACTTGGAAATGACATCTTCTCCAAAAACTTTCACCTGGTCACTCATCCGGAAAATATAGGTCAGATTCAGCATCCAAAGCAAGTCCAGTAGTGTGCATCCTTAGATGTATCATCCATGCAAGTTTGGTCAATTTAGGGTTTATAGATAATTGGAAATGAGATCTGCTCCAAAAACTTTCACCTGGTCACTCATCCGAAAAATGTAGGTCAGATCCAGTATCCGAAGCAAGTTCAGTAGTGAGCATCCTTAGATGTATCATCCATGCAAGTTTGGTCAACATAGGGCTTATAGTTACTTGGAAATGACACCTGCTCCAAAAACTTTAACCTGCTCCAAAAACATTAACCTGGTCATTTTTTAGCTGAAATTGCAGCATCTGAAACCTTGACTGGTACAATGAAACACACTAGAAGCATCCTCCATGCATCTCTGACTAATATAGGCCATCGAAGTACTTGAAAAGAAAACTGCTCCAAAATCCTTAACCTGGGACGGTGATGCCGAAGCCGAGGGTATTACATAAGCTCCCCCAACTTCGTTGAGGTGAGCTAAAAACCTACAAAGAATCATGTATCTAAGTGTAGTCTACTTGTGTACCATTCCAAGTTACATTGAAATCTAACTAAAATTCTAGGAGGAGCATTTTGAAAAAAAATTCACAGAAATTTCTATTTTAAGTAACCATGACAAGCCTGTTCCTTGAAATCCAAAAATTGATACATAGAATTGGGTATCTTAGTGTAGTCTACTTGTGTGTCAAGTTATACTGAAATTTAATTAAAACTGTAAGAGGAGTAGTGTTTTAAAAGAATTTCACAGAAACTTCTATTTTTAGTAACCATGGCAACATCATTTACTGAAATCAAAAACCGATAAAAAAAAATATGTATCTTAGTGTAGTTTATTTCTGTACTAAGTTATAATGAAATTGGACTTAAACTGTAGGAGGAGTAGAGTTTTGAAAAATTGTTTACAGACAGACAGACAGACATCTTCCTATCATGTAATCTCTTCTAGTCTCTGACCAGTAGAGTTAAGGATTGATCGTACACATGTATACTCCCCTGTAAGTCGGTCCGCCTATAAGCCATTTGTATTTTTTAAGCTTAAATTAGACACACTTCCAAAAACGCCAATATAAACTTTTATATGCACTGTATGAGGAAAACCGCATGTCCAATATGGCGTCGAGAGAAAACTGAAGAGTTATAGTTAAGGGGGATAACTGGAGGTAATACCGTAGTGACTCTAAAAATTTATCGACGCATTGTATGGGGAACTAGAGGGAAATTGCCAAAAATAGTTAAGGAGGCAGGTAAGTGGAAATATTGAAATGAACTAGAGGGATTCACCCACTAAAATACCAATCTTTTAATAATGCGTATTAGTCAGATAAAGAGTTTTGGACCAAAGTTTAACTCCCAAAAAACCGACTTATAGGCGAATATATACGGTACATATATTTTACCCTTGGATGTTACATGTTCTTTGGACTTCATGTTGTTTGATGCATGTACAATACATGTACATGTGTATATTGCCTTTGAAATTTGACATTGATCGTGACTGACGTCACTTTAAAATAGATATTTTCTTCATTTTTTCTGTGTTTTCTTTTTCAATTTAATACATGATAACAACTTATTGATCTTTGATGACTGAAATAGAATGTTGAAAACCAACCATAAGTGAAGATCTTTTATGAAGTCTGAATAAAGTAATATAGGACACAGTCTTTAAGTAGTTTATTATATAGTCTATAAATAGCCCCTATATAATCTATACAAACGCAAACGGTTCATAACAGTACATATTCACTGGATTTGAAGCTGTATTCACCGGAGGGTCAGTGCGCGTTGAAAACAATATGGTTACAACGGCCGGAGCCAGCTGTGTATCTGAGCAGGAAAAAAAATGTTAGGCAAGTCTTTCGCAGAATTATTTTTCAAACATTTTGATGTCTTACACACAGCGAAATGAAATCATGGAAGTTATAAGTTGTAATCTCTATGCTTTTTTTTAAATTTCTACGACAGAAGTTCATTAATGAAAAAGGTATTGTCATGCAGCCTTCAATGTCTTATTTATTCAAATACGGACTATATAATAAAACAATTATGGACTCTTTCGGTGGTGAATATGGTTTGTTATTCACCAGAAAAATATCAATATTGACCGAGGCGAAGCCATAATTGTATAATTAGGACTTATAGATGATGAACCTCTTAAATGTAAACATACCCAACTTTTATGCATGTATATTTGTGTCTGCATGATGTTGTTTCACTTGTTTGAAATACAGACTTAATTCTTGTAACATAATACTTAATGCATTTTGGATTAAATTAACCAGCAATACATACGCATTATGCCAGGGCAACACAAAGTGTACGTGCTGTTCTTGATGTATTTTTCTGCATATTCGAGTTGCCACCTCAAAATATTACCAACCATGTGTTTCTAACATATATGTATTCTTTTACTATTCCATAACAAAAAATATCCCATAACCATCGACCATTAAGCCATCCTGGGTCTGAAATTGAGACCTGAACAACAATTTCACTTCATATTACTTGTATACTGAAACGCAAAAGAAACACAACAAGCAGTAATCTAAAAAATATTTGAATTTTTTATCTAATGATTTTCAAAAATAAATACACTAAGGTAAAACTTGATTTGAAAACATCAGAGATTTGATAAAAATGTTAAATGATTATCTTTTACCTTTAGAAAGTAACACATGACTGTTAAAACACCCCCACCCCGGCAATTCAATTACACCGTGTAAGACTGCCATGCGCAACAGTTGCAGCTTGATTTCTATGATGCAATAGGTTCATCAATCTCGAGATTTGAGCGAAAAAAATATTCTTTATCATTTTTAAATGCCTGTTTTTCAGATGATGAGGTCGAATTTTCTCTAGCCAAGCGCAGTGTAGTAACCCTTGGACTTCCGGTCCAAGGACTGTCATTCATGCTAATGATACGTAAGAGCCTGTTGAGGCATGATGTGGGTCATATTTGCATCTGCAACTCTCCATCTCCTTTAGTTGAGATTTTCCAGCTAGAGCAATAAGTCATTTTCAGAAAGCCTTGGCGTCGCTTACGGAAAAGAAAGGGGAATTTATTCTTCGAAACATTGCTGCATTACTTATGATGAACAGATACAAATCCTTAAAACCCCATATTATTGCCAAATGTTTTGTTAAACATAAAATTTTTGATTTCTGTTAAGCAGACTCAAACTTAACTTCCGGTAATCATATGAAAATCATTCAACCGTTAAATTACCGATATTTGCAAAGTTGAAGATGTCCTTACTTTTTTAGATACAAAATTATATCTTATATGTAATATTTCCCTCTAAAATATGATGTTGCGTTTCTTTTGCATTTCAGTATATTTACATTTGTGACTGATTTATAACAAAATATTTGCAAACTATATTTTTAAATCTATGAAATGATTCTTTTAAAAACCTCAATGGAATTTTTGTTGAACACCACGACCACTTAATTGTGATGTCACTGTGAAATTACGTCGATCACTTATGACTTAAGGTCATATAAGGCGTATTTTTTATGATTTCCAACTCACAAAAAATTAAAAAGATCTTTCTATTTGTTTTACTACTTTATATAAAGATAGGACTTTCCTGCAAATTACACAATTTAAATCAATCACGTTTCAAAGATATTAGAAATTTAAAACAATAACCAATTTATTTACTGACTCTGCATCTAAATAACAGACACAGTTTAAAGTCAATTTAACTATGGAAACATGAGGTTATTCAAGTTCAAAATTGGTGAAAATTTTAATATGAACGTAAATAACATATGTCATGTTTATATACACTCAATTTCGTATTTTTATTTTTTTTAGCTCAGATACGCCATATATAGCTTTAACAATATTTTGGTCATGTTGAACCTGTTTATATACAGGCTTAAATACTCCTTGTTCAAATAATTTTATATAAGGAAATGTAAAACATTTTGCAAATATAAATATATACTGTATATGTATAATTGCAGATATACCAACTCATACAGACAGTATATTTGCAAGATTAGTAGATAGTCCTCCAAATATACAAGATTTTTTAATCAGAACCAACTTAGAACACTCCTTCTGACCACATCTTATTTTCTTTTCATGATGCCTTGTCGATTTCCTTTTTTACGAACATGAGAAAAGGTCGCAGAAAATGAATGACGTAAAATTTTATAAAATCATAAGTATATAATCATGCTTCTAAATGTTCAATTTAAACAATACTTAACTGACACGTCTATTTATAACTACATTACCTTAGCTGGGCTAAAAATATTCATTAAAATCAAAAATGATTATTATTCCTTGACGCGACGTGTAACGAAGAAAGTGAAAGTAGAGTCCGATGCCTTCCGATAGATTTTCTGTACTTTCGGAATGATGAAATGAGAAGATGATATCACACACGCACATTTTTACGAAGATATAAGACGTAAATCATGTCAGAAGAAGAGTCGGCAGCTCCATCAAATGGTTTGTATACTTTTAAAAGGAGTTGACAATTTATTATATCATGGCTTCAGTTGTTTTAAGAGTTTGCAGAAGCGATACCTTGTCTGAATTTCCTCGACCATAACATTTGTATTTGCCTATGACAGCATTTTCTTAAACCCCCTATATGTTAGCCAATCCGTAGAGCATTGATTGAGTGTTAAATGATCATTTACCTAGTTTAATTAATAAACAGACCGATTACTCAACTGAAATTACTCAGCTAAAGAGATTCTCGTGACTGCAAACCAAGAGGAATAATCACTTTTATATAAAAGAAATATAACAGTTATATATATATATATTAAACAAGACAATCACTTACAAACTGAATACTGCCATATACACTGCACAGTGACATACACGTGTAACACTTTTGACAGCCTGGTGCTCTTGCAGATTGACTAAATATATTAAATTTCCCCCACCACAACACCCCCATCCCCCCAAAAACACTACACAGCATTTATTTTACCTATGTAAAGAAGTTAAGTAAAGAAGCCGTCGCTCAAATCCCTGGGTAACCATAAAAGTGAAAGGCTACTTTGGAGGCACCAGGAAGCTTTCTACATTTCGATATACTAACAGTGCTAAAGTACCATTGTCTGAAGGCAACAGCCCAGCAGGAATTAAGAAAAGCCAATGATGAATACACAGACGAAACAGTTTCTGGGGAACTACAGAAAAAACAACAAGCATTTCTGGTCATACTCAAAGAGTAAAAGAGAGCATGCTCAAGGATTGAGTTTCTCCTCTCCAGAAGCCTGATGGACATCTCTACAATGACAGAGAAACAAAGGGAGAAATATTGAACCAACAATTACACTCAGTGCATAAATGGGAGAACAAATATGCCAGATAAAGGCTCCAACCCATTCCCTGATATGCTTGGCCCCAATTTGTGTACACCACTGGAGTTCAGAAGGTTCTGAGGAACACCAACCCCCATAAAGCAGATGGTGTACATACATGCAAGAGTTTTACAGAATATGAAAATCACAGTACCAGCTCTGACTAAGATATTCCAGGTTTCTTTAGATTCAAGTGCAAAACTAGATGACATTTTAGTGGTCAGCCTCAGTTGTCCCAATCTTCAAGAAAGGTGACAAACATCAATTACCAATCTTAATCTTAACTGTTACCTTAATCTCTTGCAATATACTAGGACAAATCATCCACAGCCAGATAATGGATCATTTCAACTGCCATACAATTCTCAGAGACTGTCTGCATGGCTTCAGTTCAAGATGCTCTTGTGAAAGCCAGCTGGCAATCACCATAGACACCTAGTCCTGCAAGTCCTGCTAGATGGTCATATCTCATCCACAGCTATTGTCCTATCTGGAGTACCACAGGGGACAGTCCTTGACCCACTGTTATTCCTCTCTTTCATCAAAGACTTGCCAGAGGTAACTAAATGATCAGCTCAATTTTTTGCAGATAACTGTTTATCATATCATCCAGTCAACAGTGCAGAGGACAACAGATCTCTGCAACATCACGGCCAGGAACACGTTAAGTTCCTAGACAGTACCGTTGTCAGAAACCTTTAAAGTTAAGCACTAAAACTGGTTCGTTGTCATGAACATACAGGTAAGGTTATGATAAAATCCGTCCGGTGTCATGCAAAATATACAAGAATTTATACATGATGCCTAAATTTTAACGTTTTTGACAAATTCCAAGAATAAATTTGTATTTTGGGAAACAGATACAACATTCAGTATTCCATACAAAGATTTATGTATTTGATATCCACAATACATTTTGATGAGTTTTGGTTGGCGATCACATGCCCATGTGTGAAGCCATGATTATGAGCTGGAAATTTATATATTTCTTATAATTAATTCATCGAAATGGTATCTTTATTTTAAAATATGAAGAGAAACTTCAATTTCAATGTATTAGGCAACTGACAGCCTTTTGTAGCTTACATGTTTTAAATCGCAGTTTATAAGCAAAAAGTCCGTTGTCAGTACATGTTAAGTTTATCTGGTCCGGTGTCATTTTTCTTAACATGTAAGTAAATCAATAAAATGCAACAGAAATGATCAAAAATATGCTTAATTTAAAAGAATACAAAGCATACTACAAATACATGTATATTTGAATCTCGGGGTTGTCTTAAAGCAGCTCACACGAACGTACTAACTATTCTGCGATGTTTTTATTTTCAATTCATTTTCTCTTAGGAACCTGCGTCCTAGCTAGTATGCAAACATATACAATTCTTGTATATCATCAGTATAACAAAATTTAAATGTTATGCTTAGGTCACATTTAAGCCCATGGTTGGGCGACCAAATTATTTTCGTATCGTCGGCTGAAAAAAACATGATCGGCCAACACTAGTATCGGGCGACGCAGAGTAGTCATATTAATTCCTAGGAACACCGATACTTTTAAAAGTAAAAATACTTATAAGTTGGCCAACCATCACCCGATCATCATTCGCTAGGCCGCAGTTTGATTTTCATCTTCGGTAGACAGTTGTATGAAAACCCAATTCCTAAATGTCGACCGACTGACGACCGACTTTAAAAACTATATGCCGATGGTCGGCCGATGATCGAAGGTTGGTGGACGGACTATTCAATGAGTGCTTCAATTGAATCGGCCACAGACGAAAAAAATAACTTGACCCGACTGACATGCATAAAGTTGGTCGGCTGACGAAAAAAAGAGATAAAATTGGGCAAGACAACGCCCTATAATATGAAACTTATGTGGAAGCATCCTCAGGTAATGTAGATTCAAGTTTGTTCAAATCATTACCCCCGGGGGTAGGATGGGGCCACAGTGGGCTATCAAAATTTTACATAGGATAACATAGGAAAAATCTTTTAAAATCTTCTCGAGAACAGCAAAGCCATGATTGGTCATATTTATATGGACGCATCCTCAGGTAGTGTAGATTCAAGTTTATTGAAATCATTAAGAAATCTTATTCTCAAGAACAACAAAAACTTGATTGGTCATAATAAAATAAAAGCATCCTCAGGTAATGTAGATTCAAATTTGTTCAAATCATGACCCAACAGAGGGGCCAAACAGGGGATCATAGTTAAACAAAGGATTATAAAGGATATATCAATAGAAAATTTCTTTTTTAGAAAACAAAGCCAGTATTAGTCATATTAGTTCAAAAGCATCTTTAGGTGGTGTAGATTCAAGTTTGTTCAAATCATACCCCCCCCCCCCCTCCACTTTAATATTTAAACTTTTGAATACTTAATTCAAAATTCTGCTATTTCCGAACCAAAGTGCTTAGGTGAGCGATGTGGCCCATAGGCCTCTTGTTTTTGGTGGATTTGTGAATGTAATTGGTTTGTAAATCACATTGACGTATGCTATTTCATGCAGCGTGATTGTGACGGTACATTTTGTCGTCCTGTTCATATTGTCGCCGGCGACAATGTGTACAAACACTCACTGAGCATATTGTCGTCCATCAGTACATGTCGCATGACAATGCATGGCAATGTTTCCATATAGATATGACTAATCATTGCTTTGCTGTTGTTGAAAAGAAAAAGTTTAAAGAATTTTCCTATATATTCCTGTGTAAAACTTTGATCGCCCTTTGTGGCCCCAACCTAGGCCCGCGGGTCATGATTAAAAGAAACTTGAATCTACACTACCTGAGGATGCTTCCATATAAACATCACTAATCACGGGCCTACTGCTGTTCTCAATATTTGATCCAAAAATTTCAGAACGCGGAAAGGGGGGGTGCGGTTCAGATTTTTTTTTTTGACAAAAAAAAAACAACACATTTGTGTGTGAAGGAGTGTTACTGTATAAGTTAAATATATTATTTTATCATGAAATTTTACCTGTGTACAAAATTGAGAGTATATACAGGTTAAAAAAACAGAATTTACAAAGCAAAGAAAAATAAAAAAACAAACAAACGGAGGGGGCAGGGTGGGATAGGGATTGGGGAGGGGTTGGGATGCGCCGGTGCTAGATCCGCGTTTGGTTCTTGAGAAGATTTTTAAAGAGTATACCGTATATTCTAACGGAAAACTTTTATCACCAATTGTGGCCCCACCCTACCTATGGGGGTTATGATTTGAACAAAATTGATTTTGTTTTTGTTTGTTTGTTTGTTGTTTTAATATCCCTCTAGAGAATTTTTCACTCATAAGGGGACATCACCACTTGCCAGTGGAGGGCCAAAAATTTAGACCTATTCTCGGAACTCAGGGCCATTGAAAAGTGTGAGATCTTTTTCGTGCCAGAATCTAAGAAATTAAAAGTATACTTCATGTATGTACTTTCACATAAGTATCATCTCTTCTGATCCAGAAGTTCTTGAGAAGAAAATTTTGAAAGAATTATTCTTATATATTCTATTAAAACTTTGCTCACCTATTGTAGCCCACCCTTTCACAGACATGATCTGAATAAAAATGAATCTACACTTAATAATAAAGCTTTCACATAAGTTTCAACTTTTCTGACACAATGGTTCTCGAGAAGATTATTTAAAGATGTCACTAAATTTTCACTAATTCTTAACTATACATGTACTTTCTTGAAAGAGGGCGTGACAATTAATTTGAACAAACTTGACTCCCTTTATCCATGTTTGCTTTCTGGTAAGTTTGTTTGAAAATGAAATTGGCCAGTAGTTCCTGAGAAGAAGCTGAAAATGTGAAAAGTTTACAGACAGACAGACGGACGACACAAGAAATGTGATCAGAAAAGCTCACTGGAGCTATCAGCTCAGGTGAGCTAAAAATGTGTCAACCCCTACACCAATATATCGGCACTTGTATGAGAATTAAGCAAAAGATGAATTCCAGCTAACAATTCTACTGAACAAATAACTTTCAATCTCATATCTATGTATATATAACGAGAATAAATAATAGACTGATTTTTCAGATATCTCAAGAATTACGGTATTTTGACATATCAAAGTCATGTAAACCAATGCTGGACACAATTTTCTGAGCAACACCATTTCTCCCTACAATATTGCGAGTAATGCTAAATAAATACAACTTGTTTACTTATTTATCAGCCAAACACTTTGTCCTTTTGTCTGTCTATCTCTTCACGACCTTAGTAAATATTCAACACACCACATCGGCGATAAAATGTGCCAATGGTCACAGTACATATTGTCGCCGACGACAAAACTTGCCGATACTTGACTGTGCATTTTGTCTTCCATTACGCAGGAGGAAGAAAAAGGTTTTTCTCGGTACAAATTGTCGCCGGCGACAATATGTATCGATGGACAACGATATGTGCAGTCAGGGTAGGTACATTCTGTCGCCGATGACAATATGTACAAAACGACAATATGTACCATCAAACCTCTCTTTTTGATGGCATGCTAAACGATACCTAAAACAACATAAGATTGTCCTTTGTAGTGTATACAATACAGTAGTGACAACGGACCGATGACAACAGACTGAATTTTCGTATCTTGTCATGACAACGGACAAAAATTGAAATAAATCAAAATTTTCAGTTTTAATTTGTTCTCAATTTTTTTGTAAGGCTTACAACATGTCTTGATACTGTCTGCACCAATTGGTGTGTATATTATATTCTATTTACAAAAAATATAACATCTCAGAAGGAAAATGAATGAAATCCACATGTGTTTTCAACAAGGTTTAATATCGCCAACGTAAACTCCTCTTTTATTACTTGTTTTTAACGGCTGAAATTCATACAGCACCAATTAGGGTGTCAGCCCTGTTTCCCATTGCAATTTCAGACATTGTTATAGATAATTTAACTTGAAAAATGAAAAACTTCTCACAACCTGTCTTCTCAAGTCATGACACCGGACGAATTTTATCATAACCTCACCTGTATGTTCATGACAACGAACCAGTTTTAGTGCTTAACTTTAAAGGTTTCTGACAACGGTACTGTCTAGGAGCTTAACGTGTTCCTGGCCGTGAACATGACATGGCAGCCCTTGAGAAATGGGAGGAGTGGCAGATTGTTTCACCTTGAGAAGTGTGTGGTAATCAAGGTGGCTTCCAAGCACAGGGTCAACAGTACAATCTACATCTTACACAACCATCAGTTAGACATGGTTCAGGCAAGTACTTGGGCATCACTATCAGCAACATCTGAAAGTGGGATAACCACATTGAAACTATAACAGCTAAAGCAAACAGAACTCTTGGGTTCCTCAAATGAAATCTTTGAGGGTGCAGAATATCAGCACAAGACAGAGCATATGAGGCCATCGTAGGATTATTATTAGAGTATGCTGTATCTATCTGGAGTCCTCATACCATCCGTCAGAACGCCCAGATAGAGAAGGTCCAACACAGCATGATTTGTGACCAAGGATGTTGGGATATTCAATCAGGTAGTGTCTCCAACATTGTCAGCTCTTTGGGATGGGAACAATTACCAGTCAGGAGAGTTGAGATCTGCCTCCTACTGCTATTTAAGATCAATCAGAACTTGATAGCAATCCCAGCAGACTTCCACCTGACCCACACAGACAGCAGAACTGCAGGCCAACATACCCTCATTTTCCATCCACTAGGAAAGATGTGCATCTGTTCTTTTTCCCATGAACCATCTGGGATTGGAACAGAATGCCACTGCATGTCATAGTAACATAGCGAGTTTCATAGAGGAGTTTAGGTCAGCACTGACCACCACATTGAGCATAATGCTCAACACCTTGAGTGAAATCCTTCCTGGAAGAAATATTTGACAACTGTTAGGCCTCCTATGTGTACTGACATTTGAATTGGAAATATTTTGTGAAATAGGGGAAATAGAGTAATTGTCATTTGAACTTCTGAACTTTTTAGGCCATCTGAGTCACTTAGGTGCACTATTGCTTTCTGTTTTTGTCCGTTGGCGTGCATTATCTGTCGTGCATTAACATTTGAACATTTTCAGCTTCTTCTCTGGAACTGCTGAACCAATTTCAACCATTTTTGGCATTTATACATTGTAGCATCTATGAGTGAAGGGGAACAAAAATTTTGAATTTTATGATCCCAGGGCCTGCCATATATTGAAAATGCATAAATTCTTTAAAAATCTTTTTCTCTCCCCCTGTATATAAAGCAGATAAACTAGGTGCATGGTAATGATGATCAAGGGTGCCTCTTCCAAAATTGTGAAATTTGTGGCCCCAGGGTCAGGGGTTCTGTGGGAGAGGGGGTATATTGATTATATAGCAAAAATGCATTAATTCCTCGAAAATCTTCTTCAAAAATTGTTAATTTCATGGCCCCTTGGTCAGGGTCCTGGTATTAGAGCAGGGCTCTATTGATTATACAGTGAAATGCAATGTTTTTCTGAAAAATTTTTTCTATGCTCCTGAATATTATGTAAACAAAGTGCATGGTTATGATGAGCAAGGATGCCTCTTCTAAAATTGTGAAATTCATGGCCCCAGGGCCGAGAGTTTTGGTGAAAGGGAAGAGGGGTGTCTATTGATTATGTAGTGAAAAATACATAATTTCTTTGAAAATATTTTTTTCTGTTCCTGGTTTTAAAGCAAGGGAACAAAGTGTATAGTAATGATGAGCAAGGGAGCTTCTTCCAGAATTGTGAGTTTCATTGCCCCTGGGTCAGATGTTCTGGTGTAAGGGTGGGGCTCTATTGATAATATAGTAAAAATGCATTAATTCTATGAAATAATCTTGTATGCTCCTGGGAATTGGGGCAAGAAGATCCTACCTTATGTGTTGTTACTAAGTACTAGACTAATTACTTTATTGATACTGATCATCCTTTTTCTCTTGCATTTGGGCAATAAAGCTTCATCTATCAGTTTATTTTATACTGGTATGGACCCTCTAAATTGTTGTATTATACTCAGGTGACCGTTAAGGCCCTTGGGCCTTGTATTTGATTTTTGTTATTGAAAATGGCTTTTCATCAATTTTTAGAGCAAAATGCTGCATCTGAAGAGAGTCAGTGTGAAGACAAGGATAAGGACCAAATAAATGCAGCCGAGAAACCCACAGACACACCCAACCAGTCAGAAGGAGGATCAGAAACCTCTAAAAAGAGCAAAATTCCAGTTAAAGAAATATTTGAACCAGGAGATTTAAAAAAGTGGGAACAGTCAGAGGTAAATACATGTATTGTGATATGCTCTTCTATCTTAAAAGTTACATGTTCATCAGACACATACTGGACTTTATATTTAGTTCAAATATGGGTTTATGGTCAGAAAGTGTGTCATTGTTTCCCATTGGATGTGTAATATTTTGAACTCATCTATTATGGAACGGAAAAAAACATTAATAGCTAATACTAGGCATAAAGATAAAAGTATGATCAGAGGATATGTCATAATGCTGAACAAGGTTATTTGGAGGAGGTCAAGGTCAAAGTTGACAAGGGCATGATGAGGGACATTCTAATTTATCCTTTTTTATCTTTAGGCATACAGAGATTTGGTTGGATTCATCACTGCCATTAATGAGGCTGTGAAAGGAAAGAAAATATCAGACCCTTACCCTGTCTCACAGGTAAAATTGTTATTGTGGGAAAGTGCATGTACTTTCATAATATGCAAGATAGAATGAGTTAATAGTTAAATACCAAAAGATATCACGTACAATCTTCAACAAACAATTATTTCATATCTCAGTGAATTCTATCTTTAAGCATAATGTCCAAACTACTTCTGTAGAGGTAAAGACAATTAGAACTTGTGTCCAGTGCACACTCTTCTTATCTTGCATAAAACACATGTATTATTTATTGAAGAATCTATGCACTGAGTTCATTGAACATTAGCCTCATCTTCCTGGTCATACGAGGCAGCAGTCAGTCTTTTGCTACAGTGTGTGTACATTTACTTCATACTGAGGCAGCAGTCAGTCTTTTGCTACAGTGTGTGTACATTTACTTCATACTGAGGCAGCAGTCAGTCTTTTGCTACAGTGTGTGTACATTTACTTCATACTGAGGCAGCAGTCAGTCTTTTGCTACAATGTGTGTACATTTACTTCATACTGAGGCAGCAGTCAGTCTTTTGCTACAGTGTGTGTACATTTACTTCATACTGAGGCAGCAGTCAGTCTGTTGCTACAGTGTGTGTACATTTACTTCATACTGAGGCAGCAGTCAATCTATTGCTACAGTGTGTGTACATTTACTTCATACTGAGGCAGCAGTCAGTCTTTTGCTACAATGTGTGTACATTTACTTCATACTGAGGCAGCAGTCAGTCTGTTGCTACAGTGTGTGTACATTTACTTCATACTGAGGCTGCAGTCAGTCTTTTGCTACAGTGTGTGTACATTTACTTCATACTGAGGCAGCAGTCAGTCTTTTGCTACAGTGTGTGTATATTTACTTCATACTGAGGCAGCAGTCAGTCTTTTGCTACAGTGTGTGTACATTTACTTCAGACAGTAGAGAAGCTTCTTGTCATGTTGGACAAAATGTCATCATGGATTGATGAGATTCCACCAGTCGATCAGCCACAGAGATTTGGAAACAAAGCTTTTAGGGATTTTTTCAAAAGATTAAAAGAGGTACTTAACTTTTATTAGCATCAAGTGTAAGATGACAAAAATTTACATATAGGCCTAACATGTAAGCTAAATATGATATGTGCAATTGTGCATGTATATATATGTATACATGTATAATATAAAAATGTTTTAGAAAGTACTGTTAGATAAATGTTCATATTTCCATTTTTTATTCCCCTGTAATCAGATTTGGGGGCATAAAGTTTTTGCTCTGTCCGTCTGTCTGTCCACAAAACCTTTAACCTTGCCTATAACTTTTAATCAGAGGGTTTTCATACTTTACATGTATATTCTTTGTAACAAGACCTTTCTTAGGGTATCAACATATTTAACCTCTTGACCTTGACCTTGGAGTTTGACCCACTTTTGCAAAATTTTACCAAACTTTAACCTTAACTTTTAAACAAATTGTGATAGGGCTTTTGTACTTCACATGTGTATTCCTTGTGATAAGATGCATATATTTTTGACCTTTTGACCTTGGAGTTTGACCTATTTTTGAAAAAACTTTTACTCTAGCCATAAATTTTAAGTTTTGAAAGGTTGGAGCTAGGGCTTTTATATTTCACATGTGTATTCCTTGTGACAAGACCTTCCCTTGGGTACCAACAATTTTGACCTTTTGACCTTGACCTTGATGTTTCACCTACTGTTAAAAAACTGTAACCTTGAGCATAATTATACCCCCGCTCCAAAGGAGAGGGGGGTATACTGTTTTACCCTTGTGTGCCTGTCTGTCTGTGTGTGTGTGTGTGTCTGTCTGTCCATAACAAATTTTTCGTCAAAGTTTTCTCAGCAACTACTCATCACATATGCTTGAAATTTTAGCACACACTTTGTTGAGGCATGCCATATGGTTGGATTTATTTTTGTACAAATCCGATGTCAACTTCCTGTTTATCCGTGCATCTGTCCTTACCATACATAATAAATTTTGGTCAGTTTTCTCTTCAACTACTGATTGCAGATGCTTGAAATTTTAGCACACTCTTTGTTGAGGCATGCCATATGGTTGGATTTATTTTTGTACAAATCCCATGTACACTTCCTGTTTATCCATGCGTTTGTCCATACCATACATAACAAAATTTTGGTCGCAGTTTTCTCTTCAACTATTGATTGCAGATGCTGGAAATTTTAGCACACTCTTTGTTTAGGCATGCCATATGGTGGGATTCATTTTTGTATGAATCCGATGTCAACTTCCTGTTTATCCATGCATCTGTCCGTACCATACATAACAAATTTTGGTCGCAGTTTTTTCAGCAACTACTGATTGCAGATGCTTCAAATTTTAGCACACTCTTTATTGAGGCATGCCATATGGTGGGATTCATTTCTGTAGGAATCTGATGTCAACTTCCTGTTCATTTGTGCATCCGTCCATACCTTACTTAACAAATTTTGGTTGCAGTTTTCTCAGCAACTAGTTATTGCAGATGCTTGAAATTTTAGCACACTCTTTGTTTAGGCTTGTCATATGGTTGGATTCATTTTTGTACGAATCCAATTTCAACTTCCTGTTTATCTGTGCATCTGTCCGTACCATACATAACAAATTTTGGTCGCATCAGTGTTTCACAAATACATCTTGTTTGTTTCAGGGTTTTTTTTTTTTTTGGTTTTTTTTTTGGGGGGGGGGGGGGGGTTTGGCCAGATTATTTTGTTGATTTATTCTGTTATCATTGACTAACTAATGTGTAAAAATATTGTTGAATTTACAGAATGCAGAGACTCTAGTAAGGGAAGCCATTGGTGATAAGTTTGAGGACTTTATCCCAGAAATCTCAGTATATCTCGTAGAGTCTGTAGGAAATGACACAAGAATAGATTATGGTTCAGGTAACAGAATTTTTATAGCTTGGTATCATATACAGTGGTCATACATGTAGTACATATAGAATGTTTAAAAATGCAGGACTATAGATGTGAATTTCAAACTTTACAAGATAGCTCAATTTTTAGTGCACTTGGGTGCAATTCAGTGGACCATGGTGTAAGGCTGGGTCTGGTCTTTCACATTTTCTCTGTTCCAAGGGGGTTTAATTGAACCATTTTAAATGGGGGGGGGGATCAGTTTTCATGGGCTTTTAAGTTTTACTTGTTTGAGGGTATGTAATTTCATTGGTAACTCTTATATACAGAAAATTCAATGAACCATTACATTGACAAAGTAATTGTTCGTGCAGTTTCTTATTTACAAATACTTTTTTATAATTTTTTTCCCCTATTAAAAATGAAATTAATACCATTTTAGTCAAGGGTAATTTATGCAATTTTTAGGTGTTGTTGGCACCGACATTGGAGATGTCTATTAAATTGGTCCAGATAAATCCAATTGAAATGATCTGATATCTTAAATCCTTAGATGTTTTTCTTGCTTAAAATGCATGTATTTTTTCACCTAAACATATGTACAGGAAATATTTTATATGGGTTAGTGTGAAATGATAAATAATTTTTTACTCCTTCCCCTCCCTCCCTCACTGGTATGGCCACATTAAACCTCTCTAATTTGATGTAGCCTGATATGTTTCTCTTTACTTGCAGGACATGAGTTAGCCTTTGCAGCCTTTTTGTGTTGTTTATTTAAGATTGAAGCCTTAACTGAACAAGATGCACCAGCAGCAGCACTCAGGGTGTTTGAGAGGTGAGGTCAAGGTCACATCGTTGTCAAGGTGTTTGAAAGTTGAATCAAGATAATGACATTTTATAATATATATGTCAAGATGTTTAAAAACAAGTTCATCATAGCATGCATGTTAATGACAAAATACATGTTTCTAATTTTCTGTTGCTCACAGTGGTAAAAACTTTCAAATTGAATGATTCAAAATCAATTTCAATGCAGTTTTCATATTTTTTAGGTACTTACAGTTTGTGAGGAAGTTACAGACAGTGTACAGAATGGAACCAGCAGGAAGCCACGGTGTGTGGAGTCTGGATGACTTCCAGTTCCTCCCCTTCCTGTGGGGCAGTTCTCAACTATTAGGTGTGTCAGCCAAACAATTCAGATTCTCAGTAAAGACTTTTAGGGTGATTGAAACCCGTTAAACAAACTTATTCAACATTCACATAAAAATTCCATGTAAATCGTAATTGAAGTTTATCAAGATGTTTGCCCTATGATACAACTTAAGGAAGCTCTAAACACTAACAAAAAGTGCTTTTTGGACTTGGATAAAAATATGTCATATAAAGGTGTGCATATTGAGACTATTTATTTCATTTTCAACAAAGGGTACCTGCCTTATTTCTGCAAGAAAAATGTTCAAAGACTTTGGACTATGCATGAACAGAAATCTCTGTTTACCAACATTGGGAAAATTAATGGAAATAATGAATTTAATTACTTATTCTTGGTCTAATATAATACTACGAATATATATACCCCCGCTCGGAAGGAGAGGGGGGTATACTGTTTTACCCTTGTGTGTCTGTCTAGCTGTCCGTCTGTGTGTCTGTCCGTAACAAATTTTTCGTCACACTTTTCTCAGCAACTACTCATCACAGATGCTTGAAATTTTAGCACACACTTTGATGAGGCATGCTATATGGTGGGATTAATTTTTGTATGAATCCGATGTCAACTTCCTGTTTATCTGTGTGTCTGTCTGTACCATACATAACAAATTTTGGTCGCAGTTTTCTCGACAACTACTGATTGCAGATGCTTAAAATTTTAGCACATTCTTTGTTTAGGCATGCCATATAGTGGGATTCATTTTTGTACGCATCCAATGTCAACTTTATGTTTATCCATGCGTCTGTCCGTACAATACATAACAAATTTTGGTCACAGTTTTCTCAGCAACTACTGATTGCAGAGGCTTAACATTTTAGCACACTCTTTGTTTAGGCATGCCATATTATGGGAATCATTTTTGTACTAATCCGATGTCAACTTCCTGTTTATCCGTGCGTCTGTCTGTACCATACAGAACAATTTTTGGTCACAGTTTTCTCAGGAACTACTAATCACTGATGCTTGAAATTTTAGCACACTCTTTGTTTAGGCCTGCAATATGGTAGGATTCATTTTTGTAGGAATCTGATGTCAACTTATTGTTCATCTTTGTGTCTGTCCATAACTGAACTTGTGTACATTCACATCAAAGCGGTGGTATTACTAGTGAGCATTGGCTCACAGACTTCTTGTTTAATCTATTACAAATTGTGTAATGAACTATAAATAACCATTTTTTCTATCTTACTTTTAAGGGCAGATCACTCTAACTGTATTAAACTACCCTACAATTAGAACTCTTTAGTGTGCAGTGTTTAGAGCTTCCTTAAATTTGTTTCAGGTAAAATTTTCACCATTGAACTGAAATAAAAATTTCAATAAGAAAAGCTCACTTGAGCCTTTGGCTCAGGTGAGCTAATAAGAGGGGTGAAGTTTTGAATTTTTTTATGAAATTAAAGTTAAAGATTTATTAAAGCATTAGTGTGTATCAATGGAGAGAATATTAACATGTGTCAATATTCACCAGTAGATTTCTTCATGGCACAGTAAATGTACTTGCAGGACATAGAAGAATTTTACCAAAATCCTTTGTGAATCCTGACATTTATGAAACCTTTGCTAAAGACTATATGTTTCTAGGATGTATTAAATATATTAATCAGGTAAGAGCAAAGTTGTGTATCAGTTTTTTTTTTCTCTTTAAATAGAATTTATGAATCATATTGAATTTAATCTTTCTTATGCAGAGAAACAAGATGTGTTTGTGAAACACTGATGCCCCCGTATGGCAACTTATAGCAAAGGTTAAACTTTCTCAAATACAAATCAAATATGTTGGCACCCAATGTAAGGTCTTGTCTCAAGGAATAAACCTGTGAAATATTAAAGCCCTAGCAGCAACCATTGAATAGATATGGAAAAGGTTAAAGTTTTTTCAAAAGTATGTCAAACGTCAAGGTCAAATGGTCAAAATTAATGGTGCCCAAGGAAAGGCCTTCTCCCAAGAAATACACAGGTGAAATATGAAAGCCTAAGCACCAATTGTTCAAAAGTTATGGCCAAGGTTAAAGTTTTCCAAAAGTAGGTCAAACTCCAAGGTCAGGGTCAAAGGGTCAAAGTTTTTAGTATCTAAAGAAGGGCCTTGTCACAAGGATTACACATGTGAAATATAAAAGCCCTAGAAGCAATTGTTCAAAAGTTATGGCCAAGGTTAAAGTTTTTCAAGAGTAGGTCAAACTCCAAGGTCAAGGTCAAAGTTGATGGTATCCAAGGAAAGGTCTTGACACAAGGATTACATATGTGAAAAATGAATGCCCTAGCACCAATTGTTCAAAAGTTATGGCCAAGGTTAAAGTTTTCCAAAAGCAGGTCAAACTCCAAGGTCAAGGTTAAAAGGTCAAAGTTGATGGTATCCAAAGGAAGGTCTTGTCACAAGGATTACATATGTGAAGTATGAAAGCCCTAGCACCAATTGTTCAAAAGTTATGGCCAAGGTTAAAGTTTGGTAAAATTTTGCAAAACTGGGTCAAACTCCAAGGTCAAGGTCAAAAGGTCAGAATACACATGTGAAATATGAAAGCCATAGCTCCAACCAATCAAAAGTTATGGGCAAGGTTAAAGTTTTTGTTGACAAACAAACAGACAGACGGACGGACAGGGCAAAAACTATATACTCCCGAATCTTCGATAAGGGGGCATAAAAATATGATGTGGTTACAATTCCAAAAGAAAGTGCACTACTGTGGAATAAATATATATGTAATTTATATGTATTATTATGTGTATTTTACATCTTATTTTTCTCATGAACATATGTTATAATTTGTAAGAACAAATATATTGATCAATATGCAGTCAAGATATGACCCTGAGATGATTAACTAATGCACAGTCTTACAATTTCAAAGTTAAGTCATTATGACAGTGATATCACCTTTTCCTTCTCTAATACAAGTATTGCGTAAATTGACAAGTTTTGGTGATTGCGGTATCACATTGTGCACCGACAAATTTGGATTTTAATTAAGTCCAATCATTCAAAGCTTGGACTCTGCCTTTTTGAAATATCTTTTGGATATTAAATACTTAAAGCAGCCTGTGGACACAAATTTGAAGTTAATATTTTCTCAAATTTTCTGTATTATATGACTTATATGTTGCTATAGCATTTCACATGGAAATATAATGAAAACATGTTCAGAAACTTCATTTATCTGGAAATTATTGAAACTACGAATTTCGAGACACATTTGATTGACACATCCGTGCACTTTCACAATGTAAACTTTATCCTCAATCAGTGTTCGAAATTCAGAATTATTTTCTATGGGTCCAAAGGACTCACAGATAAAGGGATTACACGAGTCCTTCCAGGGCAGCAGAGGCCCAAAAATAATACCATGAAATATTTGGGAAAAATAAACTTTTACGTATTGATGATCTCGGTAAGTTTATCGCTTCATATGAAATATGTCAATTTAATAAAGGGTATCTACAACTCGCCAGTATTAATAATATGAAAAGGTAAAACATTAATCGTCACACAGTCTTACTTGGTCATGTATAACACGTAAAGAGTTTAACATGTGTTTATATTACTGTAAATGTACTTTTCCTTGGAATTACAATTTTTTTTACTGTTTTTAAAATCCGCGGGTAGAAAATTATGCAGGTTTCTTAGATTGCCACAATATGTTGATAAAATGTACTTTAGTATACTTGGACAATTTTCCGTGGAAAGTTTGTAACCGCATACATATAGCACAAATTTGTTCCACGCAGGAAAAAAAATATCAAATCTTCAGTATTTATTTAAAATGCACATGAAAAGAAGAATTGATATGATCTTGATAAAAATAAGTTTTACTCATCTTAAGTCTAATTTCTTTTAAAGACACTCATTGGTTAATTTGTTTAATATATTCAATTAAAATGCAGGAAAAATATAAAAGTTAAAGTAAATGCATAAACCAATATACGTTAACTTCAATCGCAACTTATTAAGCATTTCCAACAAGCGGTAAAGAAAAACAACGGTGTATTTTTCCAAGCTCACCGGAAAGGTCCGAGAAGATGTGATTGACGTTAACTTGTTTCCCGGCAAATCATCGTCGGCCCAAAATTATTTCAAGGACCCATTAAGTCATACTATTCGTGAGTCCTTCCGTTTGTACGTCGGCGCAGGACCGACGCTGACGCTAATTTCAAACACTCTCCTCAATACTTAAGAAAAGTAGAAATTTTGTTTTTTATTAATGAATATTAAAACTGTAATCTAGAAAATTCAGAGTAGAAATGTGAGAAAGCAAAACCAACTCAACAAACAATGCAACTGTGTCCAGGCCCCTTTAAGTATACATGTAGGCATGAATCAAAAAAAATTTTTATTTGGTATTTGCATATTCTGTGAAATCAATTTAGAAAAGAAATTACTTTTATCATGTATTTTTGATATTTGTGTAAAACATTAATTTTTTCTTCCCTTCAAAGCTTACATAATAAATGTTTTATTTCATTCACAAACAGGTCAAAACGGGGCCATTTGCTGAACATTCAAATCAGCTTTGGAACATCAGTGGTGTGCCAAATTGGGAAAAAGTCAATTCAGGCTTCATAAAGATGTACAAAGTTGAGGTAAAAATCTGTTTCCTAACATTATGCATAGGTTAATGTCTGGGTACCTCTCCATCCTTAGAATTAAAATCCACTTGTGCATGACATCACTCTTTTGTTTGAGCACTCCATTACTTTTCAGAAATGGGGAGTTGCAATTTACATGTATATTGAAAATGGTTTTTGTTATGTACAAATTCTTCTTCCTGTGCTTCTACTTGGGCAAGAACTTGGAAAATTTTATAAAGTTACATTTTCAAATTAAAGAAAAAGTGAAGCACTCCTGGGAGTCAAACTCAGTACATGTACATGTACCTTCACTTTCGTTGGTGGGCACTAATCACAGGATGCTATCAACGCTGTTGGAGGATTGCAGATTTAAATAACTACGTAACACGTTCTTCACCATACTCTTTCTATATACATTGTATATGTATAGGAAAATATTTTAGGAATCTTCTTTTTCTTCTTAAGAACAGCAGGGCCATGACTAGTCATATCCTGGGGGAGGGTGAGAATCAATGAAGGAATAGGAAAAAATCTTCAAAAATCGTTGGGGGGGGGGGTAGAAATTTATTATACAATGTTCTTGATTTCATTTACTCATGAAATGAGAGGGGCAGGCTGCATAAATATGATAACAAAAAAAGAGTTCTTACCAAACAATAAAATGTATGTCTTAGCCAGTTTCAGGTAGGCCCAAAGTGGTCATAGCCTTAAAACTCGCAGTACTCAGGTGATCATTAAGGCCCATGGGCCTCTTGTTTGAACAAGTAAGCATGGTGGGCTACTTATAGGATGCTGTGTTTAACTAAGACTTATGTTTATTTTGGCAGGTGTTGGGTAAATGCCCTGTGATCCAGCATTTTCTATTTGGAAATCTTCTGTCCATCAAACCTGCCACATGACAAGGTGCTAAAGATGACAGATTTTGCCTTTATAACATATTTTATGTTCATAAATGTATTTATAAATCAGGAAATAATTAAATATACAGACTTTGCATTATTTTTTTATCCATGTCATCACAATTGATGCTTTTTTATTAAGATCGATATGCTTGTATATATAATTATACATGTATATATATATTCAGACTGAGTCATTTACAAAAAAAATCAATTGTGTTGCTTACTTATGTATGTGTATGAAATGCAATTTATACAATAGTAAAATCTGCTTACAAATGTCCTTTTGTGTGTAATTTTTGATTTGCAAAACATAAAAACCTTATTATTTTACTCTATACAGTAAAAGCCAGTTGTAGTGAAGTTCTGGGAACATGTGAATTTACTTGACTATATCTTGTAATTCATAACATCCAAATAATGAATTTCTTAAAGTATGTATATAATAAAACTTGTCTAATCTGGCCACCACTGGTTCCAAAAAAATTGGCCAGATAAGGCAACATTCCAGATTAGACATTTTAAACATTTGAAATTACTGAAAGGGACTTGAAGTTTACATTGTATTTGACAAGATTTCGGAATACACAACATCCAGATTAGACAAGTTTCAATGTAAAGTGTTTGAAACTCGTCGTAAAATTAGCCAGACATGCAGGGCTGACTGGCAGTGAAAGTTGTCAGCCCTACCAAATGTCTATTAATTATGTCTTATAAATTTGTTCTAGCCATTATCTGTATGTGATTGGGACGAGGTCGCGACATCTTCGATCCCGAATCTATTTCTTCCTCTTGGCTTGTTACACTTTGTTTCCAATACTATCAATTGATTTGAGAGAGATTTATAACTTATATGAATTTTACTTTTTATATAACTTATCAAACATTTTAACATGTCTGGCCGGGCATTGATACAATGTAAATTTGTTTGCCTATACTGCAAAATTTGTGCGTCTTGGGCTGCGGGCGCACTGTTATTTCAAACACTGTTATATAGTGAATTTGCAATATATGTTTCCCTTCAAGTATAACTATAATGGAATATGTCCAGGGAAGTATTACCTTAGAGTATTAAAGTTGAATTGATTGCAAAATCTAGGATAATGTTATTAATAAAATTTTACATTAGAATATGAAAGAAAAAGGTCATCTAAAATCTTGGGTCATGAGAGTAGATTATTCAGTAAGCTTCCATCTGATAACAAATGTAACTAGCTGAGAAGTACAGAGTGACTAAGCCTCATTTTATCTCTTGATTCTCTCAGTCTGTCTTGCATTTTGATTTTTGCAACTTTTTTTTTTTTTGGAAACCATTGTCACCTATTGAAAAATAACAAGAAAAGATTCTGCACAAATATATTCATTTCATTTAATTGTAACAATTATTGTATACAAAATCTCTGTCATGCATTTATTTCTTTACTCCTCTTGGCTGCTAGAGTAGAAATTTTATCGACGTAAAGCTTCGTTTTAGAGTCTATCTGAAAATAAGAAAATTAAAAATTCTCAAATTTGGTTTCTTCTTGTGATTTTGTTACAAGAACTGTTCTGAGTTATCTCCCCATTTGAATGATGGTCGTTTGCTATAGTCCCCCATTTCTTCATTGTTTTAAATAAGAAAGTAAAGAGAGAACAAAGCCTGCAGATACGAGGGCTGTTCGGAAATTATTGAGACATTGTGTATATTCTTCTTTCTAATGAACGTTTTTCGGTGAAAATTTGCATATACGTTTGACAAACTCTAAGAAGTAATAAAAACAAGAAATATTTTAAAAATATTTTATTTCATCTTTTCAATGGAATATTAATGTGTCAATGGTAGGGGTACCCGGCGCAGTCACGAAATCGGATATTGAAAATATGTAACACCAACGTTAAAACTCCCAGTGGACCCATAGTAAGAGCGAAAATAATTCAAATTATGTATATAATTTTTCAATTTAACTTTGACTTCATTTTGTGCAAGTTTGTTAGAATTTCGATCAGAAATACGGAGATCATTAAAAAATTTACGCGCGGTATAGCAATCTGATAACGACGACAAAACGGATTTTGACGTCAAGGCGGAGCAGCGATCATACCTAAAATTTTGTGTAGCAGTATTGAGAACTCTTTTCCAGACTAAACGACCCGCTAAACAATAACAATGCAATAAAACATGTCTAAGGGTTTATTTTTTTCATTGGTATATATCATTTTCTTACAAATAATTCAACCAGAGTAAAAATAAAAGCCCCGGACGACCATCAATTATTACGGACTAAATAACGTTGACGCGTTGCATAACTCGGTACTGCATGATGCGAAGTCAACCTGTATTTGACACTTTGTGTATATTTTACACTGGGGTAGCAACAGCGCTAGCACTGGTTTTATTTTTTTAAATTTTTTAAAGAATCAATTAAATATTATAAGACACAGTTTGATTTTGGAAATGTTATATGTAATGACAGAGAAAGTAGATTGAATGCTTCCTGGTCATTTCACAATAAGAATATATCGGCTGACCTGACGTTAAATGACGTAGCGATGCTGCTCCAGGTCAATAGACATATGCTTGTTTATAATTTCACCGGGACTTGTCTAATTATCCTATAAATTAGAAATTTTGCACAATTGTTTTATTCGTTCTTTATAAAATGTTGGCGAATTTTCATGAATTTATCTCTGTCCTTTGTGGAGTAAAAGTAATTGTCTCAATAATTTTCGAACAGCCCTCGTAATTAACAGAGATGTGTCTTTATAAATACAGTGTATATGGTTTATTAAGAGGTCAAAAATAGTTTTATGACTTTTATAAAATAATGATATTTCAATTCAAATAAAATTATATAGTATTTAATACATGTATATGAATTTTAACTCTATCCTTTTCATAAAATTCTTTCAAAAATTTATCAGTTTAATATTTAAAAATTGAATATTGTTTTAAATTTAAGCAATGTGAAACACTTATTACAGCATATTATTCCACATTTACTTTCAAGCTCAATTATGCCATGTACATTTAACAATTTTAAGAACCTTTTTAAATATCTTGGAGTATGGTTCAGAACAAATTTCCACACATTGTGAATGATTCAACATCCTGGAAATTGGCTTACCTTTTTGGAATATTCAAAAATAGTATCATCTGATTCGACGTCCTTTATAGAATCAAGCTTTTTGACATACTTGGAACGAATATGTCGTATCACATCTTTGGAGTTCTCAGCAATCTTTTTGACCCTCTCTACCATCTCTTGTCTGTATTCTCTGGTGATTCTGATAGAGAAGTTGAAAATCAGTTGACTTCTCAATATTTTAGCTAGATGCATGAAAATATGTATGCAGATACCACTTTAGCCTTTCTGAGAAACATAATTTGAACAAATATGTCTACTATTCCTAAAAAACAGATTTTGAAACATTCAAATTTGAAGATCATGTATGAATTACATGTACATATGATATGGAAATATTTGGTCCCCATATTGCAACCACTTTAGATCCTAATTTGAACTTGCATATATACATGTACACAGTACTTTTTATGGGATTTTTGGGGGGGGAGGGGGGGGGGCATTTTAATAGATTACATCTTCCCTATCTTGCCTCCCTTTAACTAGTGGTGTCTCAGTCCAAAAACCAGTAAAGAAAAATGTCAAAATATACAAAAAATTCAGAAAGACTGATGCCATACAAATGTTTTACTGACTTCTCAGCTCAGATGAGCAAACAGACAGTATATTACAGTTTTTAAACTTGCATGCAATTAAGCAAATTTAAAATCATTTGTATTAACATTCATCTTCATCATAATTGAAAATAAATGCATTTAATGTGTAAAAAAATAATGTTTAAAAATAAATACATGTTTTAAACATACTTAGGCACAGGCAGAGTTAATGTTGTTCCAGCCATCTGAGGATTTACATTCAGATTTTCTCTAAGTACATCTTCCACATTTTTAATGTACTGAAAAAAGGTAATACATGTATTTTGATTCTCCATCAGGCTTTTCAAGGCAAAAACACTTTATCATTACATAATACACATTAGCTAAAAGAATTAATTAACAAATTCTCAAACTACAAATTATAGGCATGTATAATTTCCAAACTGCTGAAAATTAAAATTGGATGAGGTTTATTTCTTACCTGTGGGGATATAGCCATATTAATAATGATCATAGGTCCCTGGATGGCAACTTGAGCTATTTGATTTAGAGGGTATCTTCCATCCGACGTCTCAATTATTAAATGTTCATATGCAGCTACAATGAAAAACAAAATTAAAATTGGCATATATCTAATTCATAGACCATGAAATGAACTTTTATAGAAGTAATGAAGAAGTGTGTCTTCATTATTCTTGATGCTCAATTATAATTTTTGGCAGTCCATAGTATGTTGTAGTGCATGTATATCCATGATTCATGAAACCAGCACTTGAACTAGTACACAGATTTTTGCACAAGTTACCAACTGCTAAGTTCAAAATGTAAGGACAGAGTGGGTAAAAGATATTGTTATGAAATATAAATGTTTCCCTTATTCAACCTTTATATACAGATAAATTAATTAGTTATTTGTCATAACCTACGTAAATATTTTGATGACTACCAAGTAAATCATTTCAAACAAATAGATGTGTAGAGAGAGGGTGAGAGAGTAATATGGGTAGGGTGAGAAAGAAAATGAGGAGAGGGAGCCCAAATAAGAATTATTGTAGGGAAAGCACAAGGACTGCCAATCAGACAATACAAGTAAAGAAGAAAAGCTGCTGGCCTTTGACCTGGAAATCAGTAAGGGACATATTGACCATTGCCATCCTGTGAATAAGGTCCATGACTATCAATCTGATAAGTCTTTCTTAAATATTGTTGGAAATAGATTTCATGTGGGTACTCAGATAATCATGTAACCTTTTAGTATTTGAACATCAATATATTACTGATTAGAAACTATTTGCAGAATGACAGAAAAACCAGTTGATAAAGACTTTGGTCTCTTAGCACATAGTCACATGCATATATTTAAACATACCTTGAATGTATCTCACCTGTTGATGGTCTTAAGGAGACATTTTGGATGAATTCCTTTTGCATGTGTTCTAGTGCTTGCTCCATTTCTTCTGTGAGTGTATCCATGTCCACCACTGCTCCTATCTCCACCTCATCATCATCATCATCAGCCAAGACCTTCTTTGACTTCTTCTGCTTTTTGGCTTTTGTGTTTGCTTTCTTCATATCTGCATAAAATCATGAAATCATAATAACAATGTAGAGATTTTGAAATATATGTGGAAGTGAAGAACTTGTCGCAAAATATTTTAGTACCTTTTCATCATTGTAATGCCAATTGTGAAACAGGTAAATTCAGAGTAATTCCATTGATTTTTTGGGGGTCTGCACAAAGCAAGAGTTTGTATACATGTACTAGTATATTAGTTTATCCCAAAGGCACTTGTTTCTGTAATAATTTTTTCAATCCATAGTATAATAATAACACAAGGTATCCAACTCCACATGGAGTACCCCTCCCCAGAATAGCACTCATTTACACTTTCAGAGGAAATGTACTGGCAAACTGTTTATTATTGTCTTCTACTACAATTTATCTACACAACCTATTCTATCTATTTTCTATCTATACAGTTGAACTTCGGTATCTCGTACACTGATATCTCGAATACCATGGATATGTCGTAGTGATTTGGAAGTCCCAATCACTTATTCCTTAAGTATTTCATCCTGGATATCTCGAACCCTCGGATATCTCAAAGTATTTTAATGGGTTCGAGATAACAAGGTTTGACTATATATCTGATCAATCTATTTTTGATCAGTTATGGTTTTTATTTCGTTGGTGGGGTGGGTTAAACATGTACACTAATGAACTTTTTTTTGGTTGAATAATGTCACGTTTACTAGGATAAAACTCACATCGTGCGCTCAGTGAGAAAGTCCGATTCTCCAGTCCCAAAGTCCCACTTGGCTGTAGAGGCGACACAGTTACTGAGCTTACAGCAGCTAAAAGCTTTGTACTGAAGGTGTTTGTTCGTGCATAAGAACTTTGCAAAACACGACAAAGACCAACCAATCGCGACATTTTTAACATCTTATTTATTTTATTGCAACCTGTGCAAAAGTCGAAGGAATTATTAAACTACAAGACTTGTCTGCTTTAGCATTGTATTAGATCAATCGAGGTCATATACAATGAATACTAAATCAATATAGTCTTCTACTCCTCCTCACACTTGCTCGCAGTGTCATTGAAACTTGTATTCGATGTTGAACGAAAGATTTAATGAATAGCATTGAATACCTTCCTTCTAAACGCTTATATGATGAAGATTGGATCGAGTGTTATCTAGGGACTATATTTACCATTCCACCAAACTAAAAATCTTTATTTTACGAAATATCAAATGGAAAAAAATAATAAGTGTTTTTGTGCAAATGAGATGATAATAATAAGTGCAAAAGAAATTATTATTATTCCCGCTTCTTTACACAATCATGGTATTTGAACACAGTACTCAGCCTAGTTTTACCAATAGCTTGCTGCAAAGTGAAAGTAGGGCAGGCGGGTATTGAATTGTTATTGTGAATTGAGAGATGGTGTCTATGTGAAGAGTGTTTGAAAGAGGTTTAATGAAAGAGTCCAACAATCAGTAAGGTTAGTTCATAATCTATAAGGAATTTTGATAATCGATATTATCATGATACTGTAACAGCAGGAAAGGAGAAAATACGACGGACCAGACCAGGAATCGAAGGTAGACAGACACTTCGGCCCAACGACACCTCGGCCCGTCACGTTTGACACCTCGGCCCTGACAGGTCGGCCCAAAATTATTGACACCTCGGCCCATACTGAAGACACCTCGGCCCAAGGAATTTTTTTTCAGAATTATTATCTGCATTCACTATGGTAATATAAATATATGTATGTTTATAATGACGATATGTATACGATAAACAGGGGCAATTAATTTCAAAATAGATTAATGACATATAGATCTATGTCAGCTGTTGTATCTATTGAGTGGGAGATAGAAGGTCTATTTATTTATTTATTTTGTTGCTTATGAAAATGCAACTTTATTCATTTCATAATGTTAAGAATTCTTTTACTTAAAAATCACTTTGTAGTAGGGGCGTATTGTACACATGTTAACCTCACAGATAGAAATTACGTTAACCTGATAGATCGTAATATTAGAGCATAATGGATATATTTCCCTAAACCAACCAAGGTAGATATGTGGTTTGTACCCAACAATTTGATTAATTTAGCCTGCTCGTAATTAACTCTTAATTGTCACCACCCCATATGACACACGCTTGAGACGCCAAAGGATGCGCCGTGTCTTCTTGTTTGTTTAACGATTAGCACTTTGGGATGGACAGTCTTTTTTTAATTACCGTCAATATTTACTCTCGGAAGATTATTCATTTATTTTTTTTTTTTATTTCATGGATATATAATAATATAATCCGTCGCATTTAGTCCCTATAATAATAAAATACTTCAGAATATATTAAATAAATATGTTTAAAATAATACATTTTTGTTTGTGGCGAGGTGTCTTTTACGTGAGCCGAGGTGTCTCAAATCTTGGGCCGACCCGTCAGGGCCGAGGTGTCAATGGGCCGAGATGTCGTTGGGCCGAGGTGTCTGACATTCGAATCGAACCCATGCTCGCGGAATCACCAATCAGGTGCTTTACCAACTAAGCTGGCCACTGACGATCGAACCTGCCTGACTGCCACATTCCTCCATCCTTAAATCCCCCCCCCCCCCTCAACACCAACCCAGACACTGCCAGACTCTTCCCTGACAGGTCTTTCACCTGTCACTTCTAGGGCATGGTCATGGCACCAAATGTAACAAGATAAGAGAAAAATATGACGTACCATACCAAAATTCAAGTCTGGGTTCCCTGAATCACTAGTCAGGTATTCTACCAACTGAGCTATCTGGCCACTGGCTATTATTCCTGCCTGCATGACTGCCACAATATAAATTATGTAGATCAGATATTCCTCTCAATAACCTTGTTAAAAGTAATATTTTTAAAATTAGTATCTGGATTTACTTGATCGTTTGAGTGCATTACAATGTTTAGAACTTACACATAGAATTTAGGTGTTGGTATTATAATGTCACAATCACAGTCACTTGTTTCGTATACTGGGCATCCTCTCCTTTCTCTTTCCACAAGGTTAATAACTCAATTTCAGACATCCCCCACTTCAAACTTGTATTTTTATTATTATTACATCTTAACCTACATTATTTTGATATAGTTCACCTCAAGAGACTTTTCTCTCTCTTGTCAAATAAATTGTTCCAGATGTCTTCTGTCAAGCTTCTTTATTACTGGTATATTCAAAACCACTCACTTATTCCTCAAAAATTACCTTGACACATTATAAAACTTTACTCAAGATGCATCAACTGCCAATTTTGTTTATTTGTGTACAATAAAACTAGAGACCAGAATGAAAATGAAAAAAATATAGTGCATAAAATATATGAAAGGAAATTCAAAATAAATAAGTATACTTTTTATTTAATGAAACTCAATTACTGGTACTTTTATATACAGTGTTGCCAATATCTTAAAGAATATTCTTCAAAAATAAGGTGCTATTTGTTTATTTTTACAAGCATTTAATTTAATCCATGAAACGAAACCAGAAGTTGATTATTTTTTGTAAAGTCTTAAAATGTGTCAGCAATTTTAGAGGAATAAATGAGTGGTTTACAATGAAGAGGCTTAGAGGAGGATGTTTGAAATGTTTTATTTGACAAGCAAAAAGTATGTTGAAGTGAAATATATCAAGACAATGTAGGTTAATAATGTATTAATAGTAAAACTTAGAGTTTGAAGTGGGGATGTCTGAAATTGAATTATTTCCCTTGTGGAAAGAGAAAGGAGGGGTGGCCTGCAATGTATATGAAACAAGTGCCTGTAGTCACAATGCTAAATTGTAAAATTCAGCCTGAATTTCAATACTTACAACATGTATAGTTGAACTTCGGTATCTTGAACACCGATATCTTGAATACCAATGGCATGTATATGTCGAAGTGATTTGGAGGTCCCAACCACTTATTCTTAAGTATTTTACCCAAGATGTGTTGAATCCTCAGATATCTCATATTTTTCTTGGTCCAATTGAGTTCAAGTTAATGAGGTTTGACTGTTTATATTCTAAGTTAATTTCCCATAATATTACCTTTTTTTTTTTGGCCACGGGGATTACTTTAGGCCCATAAGTTTTGCACGAACTTTATAAGTATAAATTTCTTTTATTTTTTTTTTTTTGATTCCTCTGTTTTTAAAGTCTTACCACTCTCTACCATCAGCTCATACATTCACCTCTGTCGTTGGCTTGCATAATATATCACAGTGATAAGCACAAGAAATAGGTTTTTTTATTAATGCATTAGAATTAAATGCTCATGCCAGTGTTTGTCTTTTAAGGTAGATATTCACTTAAAAGAACTAGAACTATTAGTCTAATTTGAAATAATCTTTGGAATATCGTGCTTTATACTTTATGTCAAAAATCTGGACACGAGCCCATTGCAGAGATGTCTGAGAGAGGAACGAATGACAACTCTGCATGGGAGATTGCCTGAATACACCTAGCTTATTTTAGAGCAAATTATTTTTTTTTGTGTGTTCATCAGTGAATCTTAGCAGACTTTTAAAGGTAAACCAAGTGTGTATTGAAATCTGCTGCATGTTAAAAATTTTGTATTTTTTTCTAAAATAAAATACAGTCTAGAGTGGATGCCTTGGGGACAAAGAAACTTATCTTTATTGAAGGAAGTGCATGAACAATAAACTAAGCCAACAAAAATAATCTCTCAATAAAACAAATCTGTCTAAAAGGTCTAATAAAAAAAAATGTGTTTGCTTATGTCTGTGCTTCATGGAAAAACATGTATTCTCTGTCTAAAAAAACATTCTGAATATTATGAAGACATATTAAGTCATCTGTATTGAAGAAATTGCATTAAAATTAAATTAAGTCAACAATAAGTTACTTAAGAATTGCCCAAAATATTGAATTTTAATCCATCCAAATCATGATACACAAATGACAGAAAGATAAATAAGTCAATAATATTTGAATAACAGTGGAGCCTTATTAATCTGGACACCAATAATCAAGCTTCACCCACAGACAAATTTTGTTGAAAACAGGAACAACATTTATATCTATCAATAATTATTATAAAAGTTTGTTTCAGTAACCTGGATGCTTCAGTAACCCATTTTTTCCAGGATTTGCTTGAGAACACAAGTTTGGATTAGTGAGGCTTGACTGTAGTCTATTTATTAAAAAAAGAAGGAAATAAAGTCACAATGTACTAAAATAGAGCCTGCATTAATATACAGTAAAACCTCGTTATCTTGAACAGGATGGAACTGAGAAAAAATTTCTAGGTAATGAATTAAGGTTATAATACATAAAGAAAAGTAGTTTGGACTTTAAACTTACTTTGACATATCCATTGTATTTGAAATATTGAAGTTTGAGATAACAAAGTTCAACTGTATTTATTTATATGGTTGGAGGAAACAAAACGATAAATGAATGGAACTAAGTTCGTTTTTTGTTTACAGTGGATACACACCATTTGCCACAAAGTATGATGTTGAAAAGACTATTTTCAGAATTTACTCTGATTTTGTAGTCCATCATTATACACACACTTCTGAAGAAAACTTTTTGTTTTAAATTGCTATGCCATATAGATGTGTAGTTTTTATCCTTGCCCCAGGGTTCCTTTGAGGCTCAGAAGCAGAGCTGCAAACCCTTACAATTTGGGGTGACTTGAGGTTTACGTCTAAATTACACCTTACGATTTCTCTATTTAATCTTCCATTTCCATTTTCTTCATCATAATTTTGAAATACATGTACCTGAATTTCCATAACTGTCCACCTTCATTTTTCACAATCATAATAAAAAAATCATAGTCCTTACAGCAATTGCTTTTACTGTTAAAGTTCATCTCTATGCTTACTTGCAATCTTAAACATTTAAAGTAAACAAAATAGAAAACAAGGTGTGTTTGTGAAACACTGATGCCCCCGTATGGCAGCTTATGGTGAAGGTTAAAGTTTCTCAAATGCAAGTCAAAATCCAGGCCAAAAGATATAAAATGTTGGTACCCAAAGAAAGGTCTTGTCTTGAGGAATATACCTGTGAAATTTGAAAGCCCTAGCTGCAACTGTCCAAAAGTTATGGCGAAGGTTAAAGTTTTTTAAAAGTAAAGTAAAACGTCAAGGTCAAGGTCAAAGTGGTTGGTATCCAAAGGAAGGTCTTGTCACAAGGATTACATATGTGAAGTATGAAAGCGCTAGCACCAACCATTCAAAAGTTATGACTAAGGTTAAAGTTTTTCGAAAGTAGGTCAAACTACTATGTCAAGGTCAAAGGGTCAAAGTGGTTGGTATCCAAATGAAGGTCTTGTCACAAGGATTACATATGTGAAGTATGAAAGTCCTAGCATCAACCATTCAAAAGTTATGGCCAATGTTAAAGTTTTTCAAAAGTAGGTCAAACTCCTATGTTTAGGTCAAAGGGTCAAAATGGTTGGTATCCAAAAAAAGGTCTTGTCACAAGGATTACATATGTGAAGTATGAAAGCCCTAGCTGCAACCATTCAAAAGTTATGGCCAAGGTTAAAGTTTTTCAAAAGTAGGTCAAACTCCTAGGTCAAGGTCAAAGTGGTTGGTATCTAGAAAAAGGTCTTGTCACAAGGATTACATATGTGAAGTATGAAAGCCCTATCTCCAACCATTCAAAAGTTATGGCAAAGGTTAAAGTTCTTCAAAAGTAGGTCAAACTCCAAGGTCAAAAGGTCAAAGTGGTTGGTATCTAAAAAAAGGTCTTGTCACAAGGATTACATTTGTGAAGTTTGAAACCCCAAGCACCAACTGTTCAGAAGTTATGGCCAAGGTTAAAGTCTCATAAAATTTTTGCAAAAGGGGTCATACTCCAAGGTCAAGGTCAAATATGATGGTACCCAAAGAAAGGTCTTGTCACAAGGATTACACATGTGAAATATGAAAGTCATAGCTCCAACCAATCAAAAGTTATGGGCAAGGTTAAAGTTGACAACAGACAGACATACAAACAGACAGACAGGACAAAAACAATATACCCCCAGGATCTTTCAATCCCGGGGCATAAAAAAAATCTCTAGCTGAGGGGGCTAGGTGGCTCCTGGATCCACTTCTTATGATTGTTCATTTCATGATGTCAGGTCTGCAGAAGGGTGGAGTTTTATCAGGGAAGTGTGTCATTGGAACTTGTGCTAGATTTTTTGGTTTCAAAATTTTTATATGCTGTGGTATAGTTGTACTCATCTTGCAGAAGTGTGGGTGTCAGATGCTGCATGTAAACAACATTCCTATCCAGATTCATGAAAAATTGTGAACAAATTTTTCCACTCCTTTTCCTTAATTCTATATGAATCTTTTCACAACTTTTTCATATATTTATAGACCTTTAGACAGACATGCAAACATTTAAATAGAGTGGAAAAAAAAATTAACATTCCTATTTATTAGTAGGAGTTTTTAGTTACATTACTTTTGCAGAAAAAACTAGAGCAGAAGGGATACATGTACTTTGAAAATCACATTTAAATTTACTGTATATCTTTGCAAAAAGGGGGAGGGTGCAGACATTTTAGGAAAAAATGATATACAAAACTAGAAAATGTTTTTAATAGTGAGTCATTGTTTAAAATCATTTTCCTCTTCAATCAAATGATCCCCCCCCCCCCTCTACTGATTATCGTCTATAAAAGTTTTATTAAGGGAAAAATGATTTATCTGTCTAAGTCTTTGAGTTTTGAACAAATTGTCTATTATAAATAAATGATATCAATAAAAATAAGTCCTTTAGATTATTCCAAGTAAATATATGATGAACTCTCAATCTCATTAAATAAATAAATAAAACTTGTTCCTTCGTATGTATACATGTGTACTGGTATATGCTTTTAGGGTGGAGAATTCTTGTCCTGTAGTAAACAAGTTTATTGACCTACATAAAAATCCCATTCCCAGCATATTTTTCAAACTCCACCACCCACACTGCTTTCCTAAATAATTTGTTTCTAGATGTGTACTTTTGCTGTTGTTGACAAATATTGCTGAAAAAAATGAGTCACCCCAACAACTCTCTGTCTGAGAAGAGATGATAGATAATTAATAATTGTGAGGTCAGGTGAAGCCTGTGTGAGCCTGACTGCCCATGGGAGATTGGTGTAAAGATGGACCCTTGACAAATGGCCTACACATTCCTAGGACACCCCCTGGCTCAACATCTCCATTTTGATGTGTTTTGATGTTATTTCTCTACGCATCTAGAAGGTTTCATAAATGTATATAAGGAGCACAACACCTCCTGCAAAGTAGCTTATCTTCAGAAGGATTTGAAACTACTGCATATTTAACTTGCTTGTGCATTTGTTGGACATTTATCATCTCCAGTAGGAAAAAATCAAATTGTGACTTTGAGAGAAAATCTGACCATGTATAGCCGTCATATTCCTATCTACCATGATGACTGGAGTCATAGATGGTCATCCTTCAATCAAGGTCCATTTTATTCCAGTCGACTCTCACGATTCCCAGAGATACCTCCAGCTCCAATAACCACGAGGTATGACCCAGACCCTTTTTTTGAACGGGCACCTATGCCTTTTCCAGACTATGAGAGGAGAGAGCTTGTGCCTCGTAGTGAGCCAGCATGGACTTACTCTGCCCCACCACAGTCTGCTCCCTCCTTAATGGAGAATGAGATGCGCAAGATGACCCAAGAAATGAACAACATGACCAGGAATTTTCAGAGGATGGGACCAGCAAGTGGACTTAAGTCAGTCGAAGACATGAGACTGACAGAGGATTTCAATGTTAACAATCCAGTTCAGCAAGATATTTATGGAAACAGAAGATTCCAACTGGAATTTGATTTGCGCCAGTTTAGACCAGAGGAAATTCACATCAAAACCACTGGAAATCAGCTTTCTGTACACTGTAAGCATGAGGAAAAGGAAAATGGGAAATCATCATTTAAAGAATACAACCGACAATTCGTCCTACCAAAAGAGGTCAACCCTGAGCATTTAACTTCAAAGCTGTCAGCTGATGGCACCCTCCATATTACTGCACCATTGCCAGCACTGCCTAGTTCCAGAGATAGGCTGATACCCATTGATAAGAAGTAATGATTAAAAAATATATATATATACATGCTAGATTCTCTGGAGAATATAATTGTGCTTATGCATGATGATGGAATTTTGACTCTTAATTTACTGTTATATTTTTAGAAATTGTTTGAATTTGTATAATAATGTGTTCTGCATCAAATTAAAGCAGGCAAGACCATGCTTACTTTTTTTGTTGTGTTTGTAAAATTTCAGTTAATATGCCATTGAAATTATACATGCAGAATATAATGGGCAAAATTTGAATGGACATTTAGAGTTCAATAAAGTGATGAATTGTGTATTATGACCTGGATAGCAATCAAATGCAGAATTGCAGATTGGATAACTGTGCTGCTTGGCAAAATGTAACTTTTCTTACAGTTTTGATCCAATTTCAGTAAGACTTGGTTCACAAGTATACACAATACTAAGATACATAATTCTCTCTATTAGTTTTTAATTTCGAAAAATTGTTTTGCCGCGGTTACTATAAATAGAAATTTCTGTGAAATTATTTCAAAATCCTACTTTTCTTGCAGTTTTGATCCAATTTCAGTAAGATTTGGTTCACAAGTACACTATACTAAGATGCATAATTCTGTTCATGGGTTTTTGACTTTGACAAACTGTGTTGGCATGGTTACTAAAAAATAGAAATTTCTGTGAAAATATTTCAAAATGCTAATTCTCCTACAGTTTTGGTCCAAATTCAGTAAGAATTAGTACACAAGTACTAAATGAAGGTACATAATTCTCCATGTGTTTTTTTTAGTTTGCCAAATAGAGTTGCCACGGTTACTAGAAATAAAAATTTCTGCGAAATTCTTTCAAAACACTACTCCTCCTACAGTTTTGGTCCAATTTCAATAACACTTGGTACACTAATACACTATACATGTACTAAGATACATAATTCTTTACATTGTTTTTGATTTCTAGGATTCAAAATTTTGAAAGTTTGTCAAACAGAATAGTTTATAAGTATACAAGTAAATTAAAAAATAAATCAAATTTATTTAATGAATTGCAAATTCAACACTACCATCATTAATTCTTATATCTGTTAAACCAGTAAGCTAATGCCACCCCTAAGAGATAGCAATCAAGTAACAGCAGACCATTCACTGTGGATCATCTAAAGGGTGTATCCTTGTAAACCATCCATGACAGCAAACAGTTGCTTCAGGCTTATTGGCCTAACAATCTTTACAAGTTGTCACCTTTGATAAGTAGATATATTATCACACTTTGTCCTTATGGCAAAAATGTTTCAACCTATCTGGCATGTGCTCGGATGCATGAAAGAAGTTTCTTTTCACCAATATAAGCAGTTTTATACTTGAATCTACACATTTCAAAGAATTTATGTCCATTGGCCTCCATCTTTAGAGAAAAACCCATACAATCTTCATTGTAGCCTTTATAGGTTCACAAAAGTGGGGGATATTAAATCTCATTTGTCTGTCCATCTGTCAGTTACAAAACTTTAAACCTGGTCATATGCATAACTTTTGAATGAGAAAAGATGGGGCTTTAATATCTGACATGTGCATCACCTGCATTGTGACTGTACAATGATTTTCGACCTCTTGACCTTATCAAAAATTGTAACTTTTATAATAACTCTTGAAAGAGAGAAGATAGGGCTTTCCTATTTCTTATGTACATTACCTATGTCAAGACCTTTTCCAATGTAGATTTTTGACCTCATGACTTTGACCTTGAAGTTTGACATAGTTTTCAAAATTTTAACTTTGGATATAACTTAAATGAGAGGAGATTATAGAGTTTTCATAAATTTTGTGTACATTGCTGTTTTTTTATTGCCTGTTCACAGATTTGTATTTTAATTTGTAGATTTTTTGAGATTGATCACTGTTTGTTATCTTGACCTTTTTCATTATTGTTTATTGCAGATTTAATTGAGCCTAAATTTCATGATGATCTGTATATTTGTATTTGAAGGTAATGAGAGTGTATGTGTTGGGTGCAGACCCTCTGGTTTGTTTGAGACCTCATTGACATTACAGAGAATGTCAGAGCCCCTGCCTGTCCCTCCTGAATTGTACGAGGAGTCCGATCATCGCCTATGGATAGGAAATTTGGACTCCAGACTAACAGAGTATGACTTGTAGTATAACCCACTCTGTTCAATAAGCGTATGATTTAATCTGGATGAGAAAGTTTTTATGCCAGTAAAATAAAAGCATCAAGTGTAAACTTATATGATTCATTTTGTTGTTTTAGATAATTAGTGCTTATAATTGCGAGTATTACTTTCTTGAAAAAATACTGGAAACCAACTGTTATTTGCCACAACTTTTATTTGTCATTTATCAGTTTAAAACCAATCCACAACTATTAATTTTCACAGTTGATGAAACATTCTACAAAAATACACAATAGAATAATTGCTTCACGGTGAGAACTTTTCGTGAATGAAAGGTCACAAAACTCACTGATATTTATTGCACATGAATAATAGTTGGTTCACATGGTAGCTGTTCACATGTATGTTGACTTCCTACCAAATATTATAGTCAATTCTTTTAAGGTTCAGCTTACTGAAGATTTTACAAAAGTTTGGATCCTTGAAAAAGTTTGACTTTTTATACCACAAATCTGGACCTGAGCAGGGAAAACCTAGAGGATACTGCTTTGTCAGTTATGAGAGCAAAGAGGTGAGATTTGATAGACGATTAAGGATAGAAATCCCTTAGAGGGAACAACTCTTGAAAAAAACAGCATTATAGCTTAAAAATATAAGTTAAGAAAATGTTTTTTAACAATGATTCTTATTTATAGCTCATCTCAATACACATACTACTAAGATGGCTTATGGTATATCCCATTAGAGGCATCAAACATTGGTTTACTCGGTTGAAGTTCATGGATCAAATGTGCATAAATGATTCATCTAAGGATGCACACAATAGACATACCTTTCTTTTAAAAATATTTGATTCACTGCAATATGAATTTGTATTGAACTTTCTGATCCTTAACAAATTTACCTTGATAGTACATCTAAGGATGCATACTGCCAGACTTGTTTTGGATACTGCATTTGACTTACTGGTACATTTTCCAGATGCATGCAGTTGAACAAATTAAAATTTTTGAAACAAATCCATTCCCGAATAATGTATATATACAGGGTTAATTTGAATAATTTTGCCCTATGTAATTGTGCAAACAATTTTCCCCAATTCAAATTCGTTAATACACAGTTCTGTTAAAGAGATAATGCTGTTTTCTTTGAATTTGCCCCATTTTAAATCATCAACTTTCAACAAGGGCGAAAGGGACAAAAATAAAATGGGGGAGAAAATTTCCCTGTACACAGTAAAAGTTCTACCCAGACACACATCAAACTTTTTTGGATGACTGGATGCACACTACTATACTTGCTTCAGATGAAGCATCTGTTCTGGATAAGTGACAAGAATAACTTTTTTGGAGCAGGTCCATTCCAAGTTACTATATGTCCTACCTCACCTGGATCTATTGTATGGATGACATGTCTGGGTTGAACACTAACAAACTTGATGCTGCATCTGACCTACATTTTTAGGATGATTGGACAGGTTAAAGTATTAGGTGCAGGCCCATTCCCCAAGTAACTGTAATCTAAACTGATCCAAACTTGCATAAGGTTTGATCAAGGGATGCACACTACCAGGTTTGCTTTAAATACTTAATTTATCCTTAGAATATTAGTAAACTGAATGTCTTCATCATATTATGACTTTGATATTATAGAAGTACATGTATTTATGAAAGGGGTTAGAAGTGTTTCTAAACTTCAAAATTATTTGCAGAATGCAGAGCGTGCCATTGCTAAAATGAATGGGAAATTGGCTCTATCCAAACGACTGATTGTTAAATGGGCTCATAAAGACCCAGCAGAAGATCAGGTAGATTATAAATGCTCTTACACATACCCATGCATAGTATAAGGGTAATAAAAAAACCCAAAATAAACAAGAACTGTATTGTAAAGAAATATCATTTCAGAAACCCAAGTCATGTGACAAAGACAGCATTGCAAAGGAAGATGTTTTAAGGTATGGTAGCAATAGTTATAGGTTATGAAAGAACCCCATCAGTTAACAATGTAGAGCTTTAGGGGAATGCTGTGTCTACCTAATGATCTACTAGGACAGATGATATAAAAAAAAATCTCTGCCTGGATTAATATATATCTTTTGACATGTCTTGGTTGTAAATGATCCAAATATCAAATTTCTTAAATACTAAGCATAGGCATCATAGGCAAATTGAAAGGGGGGCTGATTGAAAAGGGGGGGGGGGGCTAAACCAACGAAAAAACAAGAGGCCCATGGGCCACATTGCTCACCTGAGCACATTGGCTAAGAAAAAGCACAAATCAGTTCAGTATTGAAAAGTTTACATCAGAGGAGTGGGGGGGATTTTAAACTACCTGAGGATGCTTCCATATCAGTATAACAAATGGCTTTGCTGTTCTCGAGCAGAAGATTTTTAAAGATTTTTTCCTATATATTTCTAGGTAAAAATTTGATCCCTCATTGTAGCCTCTTCCTACTCCCGATGGTCATCATTTGAACAAACTTGAATCTACAATACCTGAGAGTGCTTCCAGTTTTTTTCCGAATATATTTCTATGTAAAACTCTGAGTGTCTATTGTGACCCCACCCTACACCCAGGGGTCATGATTTGAACAAACTTGAATCTACAATACTGGAGAATGCTTCCATATCAATATGACTAAACATGGCTTTGCTGTTCTTGAGAAAAAAATTTTTAAGGTTTTTTTCTATTTATTCCTATGTAAAATTTTGATCCCCCATTGTGGCCCCACGATATCTCCAGGGGCCATGAATTGAACAAATTTGAATCTACACTACCTGAGGATGCTTCCATATCAATATGACTATTCATGGCCTTGCTGTTCTTGAGCAGAAGATTTTTACAGTTTTTTCCTATATATTCCTATGTAAAACTTTGATCCCCAAATTGTGGCCCCACCCTACCCCCAGGGGTCATGATTTGAACAAACTTGAATCTACACTACTTAACAATGCTTCCATATCAATATGACTAAACAAGGCTTTGCTGTTCTTGAGAAGATTTTTACAGTTTTTTCCTATATATTCCAATGCAAAACTTTGATCCCCCATTGTGGCCCAATCCTAACCCCAGGTGTCATGATTTGAACAAACTTGAATCTTTACTGCCTGAGGATGCTTACATATCAATATGACTAAACAAGGCTTTGCTCTTCTTGAGAAGATTTTTTAAAGCTTTTTTCCTACATATTTCTATGTAAATCTTTGATCCCCCTTTGTGACCCCACCCTACCCTTGGGGGTCATAATTTGAACAAACTTGAATCTACACTACCTGAGGATGCTTCCATATCAATATGACTAATCTAGCCATACTGTTCTTGAGAAGAAGATTTTTAAAGTTTTTTCCCTATATATTCCTAGGTAAAACGTTGATCCCCCATTGTGGCCCCACCCTACCCGCAGGGGTCATGATTTGAACAAACTTGAATCTACACTATGTAATGATGGTTTCCTATAAGTTTCAAATTTTTTGGGCCAATGGTTCTTGAGAAGAAGATTTTTAAAATATGCCAACAAATTTTCACTATTTTTGAATTATCTCCCCTTGAATGAGGGCTTGGCCCTCCATTTGAACAAATTTGAATTCCCTTCACCAAAGGATGCTTTGTGGCAAGTTTGGTTGAAATTGGCCCAGTTGTTCTGGAGAAGAAGTCGAAAATGTGAAAAGTTTACAGACGGACGGACTAAAGACAAAATGTGATCAGAAAAGCTCACTTGAGCTTTAAGCTCAGGTGAGCTAAAAAGTTTGGAGACTAATTAAACCCCAATTTTCAATGCCTATATTATGTCCATCTTTGCCACAAAAAAAAAAAACCCATGCTAGGAAATTGTAAACATTCTATGATGACCACGTTCAAAATTCTACCTTTTTGCTATCACCCTTATAAATCTATACAAATTTTATAAGTTTTTAGGACATTATTGTGAAAACTTGAATGAAAAATTAAAATCTATGTGGCTTAACTTATTCATTTTACTTATTTAAACATAACTTGAGGTGTTATTTTCATGAATTGTGAAAAAAGTTTTTATCATCTGTCCTTAAGGTTCATTGACCTTCTGATAAGAGAGATAACTCTCACTGGGTTAATGACTTTTAATAAAATTGCTAAAGGACATTTCCATCAAATGAAATACGGAAATTCTGGAACATTTTAATTAGAGATTTATTTTCAATAGCTCTGTAGCAAAATCGTTTATGAGTGAGTAGAGGGATAATGAAGCTGGAGGTTCATTTCCCAAACGCCACTCAAATTTCAGTTGATTATATATTTGTGTAAATTATCTCGTTTACAACATTTTCAATTTGTACAGATCCTTGAAATCAAATTGCTTAATCCTTAAATTTCCTTGCTTTTCGTAGTCCTCAGAGCAAAATTAAAGCAATAGAAGCTAAGCTGCAGAAAATGCAAGAAGACGGAAGTGCATCCTCAGACTTGAAACCATTGCCTGGTACCAGTCGATTAAGCATGATTCAAAGAGAGGCTAGAAAGATGGAGCAAGCCAATGCTAATAAACAAACTAAAAAACCATACAAGAGATGACAGACCTTGTTGAATTGAGTACTTTACAAAATACCAAGCCAACTTGAAATGTGGCTTAAAAGTCAGTCTGACTTTCCGATTACTACAAATTGGAAGGTCATCCAGGTTCAATATCTGTGCGAACAAAACTGAGCTAGAGTTTAACTCTGCTTGAGAAAAAAAAATCAACTCAAAGTAGAATATGATGTCTTTGTTGACATCTGTCATAAAGTTTATGTTAACTTCAAATACTGTCTGACATGACGTCAAAAAGAAATAAATACTCAACAATTATTGGCTTGTGCAAATTTATTGTCAAAATATTTGAGTTCATAGTTTTTGAACACAAAATTTTTCACTGGGATTTTAAGACTTTTCTGCAAGAAGATGGAACAAAAGTAATTTATAAGCATGACAGTGCAAAAATAAAAGAAAATTGTGTGAATGCCCTCCTTTAATATCATTATAAGCACAGTGCCCTAAAGAGAACATGAAATAATTGTGTGTTAATTCAAACATTATACTTTAAAAAAGAAAACAAAGAAAATTATGAAGTGATATGGTCACTTTGAAGGAGATTATAAATACACAAAGTGTGCGAAGTGGAGGGCACTTTTTGTTTTTCATGAATATCAAATGGTTTAAGCTAAAAATTAAAAGTAGATAATGACCACGTGTACATTCATGAAATTACTACCATGTCAAGTCAAATAAAAGCGATATTAATACAGTGCAAAATAAAACAAAGGTAATAATTGCCACATTTAGCACTAATATCAAAAGCAAAGAATGTAATTACAGTTATGGCACACTTGAATATTGCAAGCACAAACTGATGAAAATCAAAACTCCAGCACTTCACAAAATTTATGCTTACTAATGAAAAATTTATGCATCATAATGGGTAGAGAAACATGTATACAGTATGCACTTTTCTGGCCAGTTTTACCTGTAGATACATTAACAAGTACCTACAAGTATTTTTACTTACATAATATACCTTATTGAAGTGGTGCACTTTGGGTTTAAATTCACATAACTGTCACACAGGTAATTTTACATGGCAGAAATCTAAAGATCAGACTTTTGAAATTGTTATTGCTCTTCTGGAATACATATTATATATCATTAACTTTTAGACAATTGCAATAAATAATCGTTTCAATTTTGATTTTTTTTTTTCAAACTCAACAATCCTGGGAAAAGAGTGTGGTGAAATTTTTCTCGCTGAGGAAAATGATGACCGAGGAGAAAAGTGCTATATTGTTGTACATGTTCTACAAATAGTTAATGGCTAAGATTAGACATTCAATGGAATATCAAAACTTGCATCTCTACCTTCCTTACAGGAAAAAGGTATCTAAACAAATGTAAGAAATTCTGATTATACATTAAAAATGTATGTATACCCTGTTGAACAGGCCAATTTAAGCATCAATCAATGTTAAACAAATGCTACGTTTTAATGTCGTTATTCTGTACATTATGTTACAAAAATATATACAATTTACATATAAGTTCTGTTATTTTACAAGTTAGTGCATGTAGCCCGTGAGCAAAATCTGTAGATTCCTTATTTTATGCTTTTTTTTCATATTTTCTCTCAGAAAATTCACCTCTTCTACTCAATTGATTCTTTTGGAATCTCAGTTCCAGTTTATCAATACTGCTTAATAAGATACTGCCATAAAATAAGGAATTTACAGATGTGTATAAACATGTACTTTCTTTTGAAAATTCTCTCAAAATTTGACTTGGCATGTCAACAATTTTAATTACCGGTAATATCTTTTCAAAGACAGAGGAAAAAATCTCCAGGTATATAAATTTTTGCTTTTCAATGACAAGATGCTTTTGTTAATTTAAATACCAATACTGTGGAATAATTTTAATTTGTAGGGGTCAATGTTCGTGGGACACAGTAACTTTACTGGTTCATGAGGATGTAATTTTGTGGGTAACTTGTATTTACAAAACATTCAATGAACCCATACGTTGACGAAGTTACTGTTTATGGGTATGTAAATTCATGGAAAAGGGTGATCCTTGAACATTGGTCCCCACCAAACAATGATGATTCCACAGTATGCCAGATGAAAATCTAACCCCTGGAGCCCTCTCAAGATTTTTTTTGTTCAGAGACCCATTTCATTAAAACTGTCATTAATCTGTCTGCTATGGTTAACTCACTATAAAAAATTAAACACAAAATTTTACAATGTTAGAATATTAAATAATGACATAAATATGCAAACCAAAAAAAAAAAAAAATGGTAAAGAGGGAAAAAAATTAGCATATCATACTGTGAAACAAAAAGTAAAATTTATGTGATAATAAAGTGGAATAAGGTTGTGTTACAGTGCAAAGCTCAAATAATTCAACTGCTATATAAGTTAATATGGATGGATGCTTAAAAATATTAGATGTGCAAGACACATAAAATTGAACTGCAAATTTATGAATTGTATCATTCTGTAATGGACGAATTGCCTTCATCTGTCTCCTGATAAGGTGTAATCTGAAATTTGTAACAGCAATACTACAATCAAGGAGTATGCCCTTAACTCCTGAAAAAATGATGTTAATACAAAGCAGGACATGTCTGGTCCAATTTGAATTGAAGAAATACTGCTCAAGAAATCTTTGAATGTTCAACATTTAATTTATGCTGAGACAGCATCAATACTGTGAAATCCCTATTATTTACCAAGGATTTAATTTTCATTGTTATGTTTCGAAGACACCCATAAGTGAATCTCATCCTAAAAATGTTACAATTTCAAACTTCTGACACTATCATCAGTAATTCTTCATTTCTTTAACTATTTCATCAAATCCCAAAAAACGAATTATTTTTTACCTTCAACCAAGAAGATTTTGCCATAGGAAAAAAAGTTATTTTGCAGTACTGTATAGGGGGAAAATAACTCGCGGTGTTAATATTCGCTATATTCACGGTGTTAATAAATCCGTGAATTCAAGAAACGGTGAATAATTTTTAAATATTTAAACCTTAATGTTTTATTTGGAAATTTGAGAATAGACTATGATAGTTATATAAACATGTACGTTCAATACATGGTCATTCAGTAATTACGAGTAGTACTTGTTATCCAATTATCTTAATTATCACGCTATGCTTTAATTCAAATAAGCAGCTTATAACCTGTATTTATCGTTAAAAAGCTGTTTTGATAGATACGTTTCATCAATCAAAACACATGGGTCATGGGTTTTGATTATTCGTGGATAACGTTACCACTTGTAATTGTTACCTGCATTAGCATTATGCGTATTAGTTTTTATGGAAATTTTGGTTAAAAGAATATCATTCGAATAACTTTCGAACTTGCTGGAAGGATATTATTATGTCCACCTACATTAAAACATTTATTAGCGTCCAGTGGTTTTTTTTTCTCTCGATGCGATGTGTATACCTTCGGAAAGATGTGTACACCGTAAAAGCATATAGGAAAGTCATTTGACGTTTATAGTCAAAAAATTTTAATAACGGCACTTGTTTTTATTAATAATCAATTAACTACTAAATCTAATAATTTTATATAAACCTACCCTGTTCGTGAAGTGAATACATAACGCCGATAAATTTCGTTCTTGCTATACTAGCTATGGATTACACGGATAAAGACAAAGGAGTGAACTTTTGTTATACACTGATTCCGCGAATTCAACAAACCGCGATCGTGTCCGAGGAGAGAAAAACGTGAAAATTACAACCCGTGAAATTAATCCCCTATACAGTATATGGCTAAATAGCAAGAGTATTTTAAGAAAAAGGGAAAACTGAGTTTTACCATGTTAACACAAATTTAAAACAGGTTTCAACCAAAGAATCCATTAATCATATGTGTCTGGCAGTGTATTACTTCTTGTGTGTTAAAGAATTATAAATTAAAGCAAACATTCTTCTTACAAAGTAAAATATATTCATGGCATTATTTTATTGATAGGATAAAGAGATTTAAGTGAGGCATTAAAATATTGTTTTACCATATATTGTATGCAATGATTTTATATTCCTCAAAGTTACATACCTATGACATAAATTCTCCTGTCTGGAGTCCTGGCATGAGAGTTAGAGAATTTACCTCATTGAAAGCACCTTTTAGGTTTTCAATGAGTTCATTCTTATTGGTTGGATCACTCAATATGGCTTCCAAACTCTCCATTACGGATTCCTCCATTGCTGTAGATGTCACACTACCAGCTGGAGATGATGCATCAGAGAACATGGACTGGGAGCATGGAGACTGCATACTGCTAGTCTGAATACTCCCAGCTGGAGATGCAGCATGAGAAAAGGACTGGTGTGGAGGAGACTGAAGGGTAGCAGCAGCATGGGGTGAATAGGCTGGGGAAATTGGTGGTGGCAGTGCAGCAGATTCTGAACTGCAACCCCCAATCTTTCTTTGAAGTTTCTGGAACTTCAACATCTGGTCTTCAATGTTTGGTTTTGGCTTCTGTCCTGCTGTTGTAGATGTTGTCTTGACTGGGGCTATATCAAACAAAGATCAAGGTCAAAGAAAAACCAACCTGGATGAAGGGTCCATTATAATGTGCATGGGTGACTACAGACTACTACTTGTGAACTAACAGAACGTTAAATGCTGTTTAGAAGAGTTGATCATGAAGATTGTAGGCATTACCATAAACGGTGGATGCCATGGAAACAAATTGGGTGCTGTGGTCCGGACTCTGTAGGGAATGGACAGAATTCGCTGGACTTGGTTGCTGCATGGAATACATGGATGGTGCTGGACTAGTCTGTGGAGTATTGCTGTACATGACAGGAGATTGGCTAGTCTGCTGCTGAGCATATACTGCTATGTCCTGAAAGCCAGGGTCTATATTTTGTGGCAGAAATGTGTTACCAAGTGCATTTTCATCAATCGTCTGAAAATTATTAGCATTTGATGAACCAAGCATTCCAGACAATGTAGGATGCGTACTAGATAGACTCCCATTAGTGTTGAATGTTTGGGCAGAACTGAAGGTTGAATTCTCCATTATGACTTGCTGAGAATTCTGCATAAAGGGTACCCTCTGGTACAGGGTGGTGTGACTCTGGCTCCCCATGCTGTCTTGTGATTCACCCCCACTGAATTCCAGTACAGTCTGAGGTATGATCTGCATCTGAGGAGACTCTGGGGGCAGGGACATTGGGGAGTAAGAGGGATGCTGCTGCCCATCTGAGTAGACATTTGGCTCTCGCTGTGGCTCAGATAAACGTTTATTTTTTATTACTCCAGGTCTGTTGTGTGCTCCCTCTCGTTTCTTTGAAGGAGGCACTGCTTTCTTAATATCTCTCTTTCTTTCTGAAGATGAGTCCTCATCTAAATTCATATCACTGAAAAAATAAGATGCATTGTCTTGTTTATGAAAAAAAATACGTCCATTAAGATATCGCAATCTGAACAGAAAATTAATGAAACAGATCGTTTCTACAGTAAGTCGGTAAATGTTCATTACTTCAAGGTGACAATCAGAATTTCCTCAAACTTCTTGTAACCTGGAGTTTCTCCCTTGCTTTTGCTTTCTACAATGAAAATTGTTTCTTAATAATAATGTGTACATATTATATAAATTCACCTCTTTTTAAATTTAATAGTCAATTAAAATACTTCCGGTATATATCAAGTACCAGTAGACAAAGACAAAGGATTTATATTTTAGTTTAAAAGGATGGTGAGACAACTCAACAAAATCTTCAGGACTGAAAGATGAAAGTTACCAGTATTGTACTGCTCAAATGCCTCCTCTGTCCTGACTAAACAAGTTGGATTTTTATACAACCATTGCAAGAGATAAACTTTTGTATCACCCGGCATACATGTATTTTTCACACACTGGGCAAGGGACTTCTTCTTGAAGGTGTCTGCTTTAAAGGGATCAGTTGGGAAGCATTTCCACTGTCCTGAAAAGAAAAAAAAAACAGTTATATTCACACATTTATTCCAGTTAACATTAAAGTTATGAAAAATTTTTGTAGCATTTTTTATCCCCCCCCCCTTTTTTTTGTTTTTATACAGAACTGTTTCCACATTCCTGATGGGAAAAAATTACTTATAAAGTATACAAACATCTATGAAATTTAACCAAAGGGTTTTGAAGCATTTTTTTAACCAAATATTTTTAAATTTACCTTTTTTGTTTTTGTACAAGACTGTAGCAGAGATGGCTCCACACAGGTTTTGACCTTGACCATCAGTGATGACTTTATCTGAGAATCTTAACAGGTAGGTGTACTCCTTCAGTGGATGGATACTGTTCTTCAGTCTTTGTTCTGCTGTTTCTTTCTTAATGAATCCTGCTATCAACCTATAAACACAAATATTATACTAGTACTTCTGTGTCCAAATACTTTTTTGTTACAGTGTGCATGTATTTTTACTATATGTTCATGGTAAATACTGAAATCTGAATGGTTTAGATGCATTTACCAATCTGTAAATTACCCTTGGCATGAGCAACATACTTGCCAACAAGTAACATTATGATAATGTTATGTACATATACATGTAATTCATGCATGTAGGATTTCTAATCATTTTCTAAATCTTAGTTGTATTTTGGAAATAAGCTGAATAAAAATGACAAACAAAAGAAAAAATATTTGGAGGAAAGACTTTCCCAGTACCAAATGAACAATTAAGAGTCTGTGAATTTTTTTTTATTGAGAAAAAAGGAAGTGGTGATTATGAAAGCCTTTCAAAACGAGAACTGAGGCCAAAAAAAATAATAGTCTTGTTTCCTGCTACCAGCCTGAAAAAAATAGGGTAGGTACTAGGTAGGAAAATTATTTTATTTTTTATTTTATTTTTTTCCGACGGCATTTTTTTGGATATGAACTAATACAAGATCAAATTAAACATGTCACAGGTCAATATTGTCTTTTAAAATTAACTTTCATGTCTTTTTATGCACAACTCAAGTGGTATTTTATCAAAGTCCATATTCAAATCAATGATTTCATGAAATGCTTGTTTTGTGTTAACATGGAAACCAAATACGGTGACGGAACAATGAAATTCTGGAAATTCCCAATTGTTTTTCTTCCAAAACTAAAAAAAAAACTTTAGGGTCGGGTGCAAAAAAATAGGGTAGGTTGGGTAGCAGGAAACAAGACTATTATTTTTTTGGCCTGAATGACAATTTCCAATCAACTTTGTTATGTACATGTATTAATCAAACATTCAGTATGATAAAATAAATAGTGCATGTTTTGTAGGGTAACAGTTATTGACTCCTTTGGAAAACCATTGAAAACCTTGCTGACCATTTCATTGTCAGTGATTAACTGTTACCCTACGAGCACTATTTATCAGTAATTTTTTTTGAGGGGGTGGGGGTGGGGGGTCTGTATATCAAAGAAAACATGTCAATTTAGAGTATCTGTACAGTTATATATTTTACTGACAGAGTTACATGTGTTAAGTTCCTGTGACTTTTACCTGCCTACCGATCATTCTGGTAACTTTACCTACTCTTTATTCCACTACCATCACTTTGGGTAACTGTACAGGGTATCAATCACTCCAGTACGTCTACCTATCCATCATTCAAGTAATCTCTACCTTCTAGTCATTCCATTAACTCTTCTTACCTACATGTATTATTCCAGTAACTCTACCTTCACATCATTCCTATATCTCTTTTTATCCAAATTCAAGTTATTATACTTATCTATCTTCCATTACACTTCTCTCCCATTATTCTAGTTTTTACTGTCTACACACTCCTGAAGTCCCTACCTACCCATCTTTTCAGTATCCGTATCCTCTATTTACCCAGAATTCCATTATTCTTTACCTACCCATCATTCCAATAGTCTCTGAGGTGAGATTTGGTCAGGTTAAAGACAGCAAGAAACCACATCCAAAATGTAGCAGATTTCTTCTTGTCATCCCCTTCCTTAATATCCATCATCTTCTCCTAAAGACAGAATACTTTATTTTGAGATGAGAGAAAAGGCACATTTTGATTTACCAATGAAAAAAGTGAAGATAACGAACAGTGATCAATCTCAAAAAATCTATAAACAATACAATTCTGTGAAGAGGGCATAAAATATGGACGCCTGGAAATTCCAGAGGTGGGATCAGGTGCCTAGGAGGAGTAAGCATCCCCTGTTGACCGGTCATACCCGCCGTGAGCCCTATGTATTGATCAGGTAGATGGAACATTCTGTAGTCAAACTATCAACTAAGAATTAACAACCTGTATGTATTACATTTGGCAGGGTATTCTACATGTATTTAGCACCTTTTGTGGAAGTACATATAGCTTCCGTTAAATCAAGTATGTCACTAAATGACTTGTATTATATATTTATATCTAGCACGTTCAGAAAGCTCTAAATTAAATCTACTGTACACTAGCTACTAAAAACAGCTAAATATTGTACACTCTAAATATAATACAGAAATACTACGGGTCTGCTTCTTCAACCTCACACAATTACAAGTTAAGATGAAGATACGCTCAATTAGGGGTGCTTGAGAACAAAAAATTTATCATAACTTCTCAAGATTAAGAAAACCTTACCACACAAAATCTTCTAAAGGGAATGTCCATGTCATCTGGTATTGGGTTTTCCTCTGAAAGTAAAACATGCAAGAACTTTAGTTTAAATGTGTATGATATCAATATCATTTCTCAAACATTTGTGTTTTTGGTGGTTTTTCAAAAAATTATGAACTCATGTGCACTTCAATGTAAATGCACATATACATACATTGGATCTTAGTTTCATTTTTAATAATTGGAAGAAGCAGTAATTCTTGTCCATTCAAAATAGCATGGATAAGACCTACCCAGCATCAATCTGCTCCCTAGATGAGCCTTTTCATCATTACAGAGATCTCTTCCTCCTAATGTTTGCATCTTTTTGTTTAGCATATCAAACACAGTGATCCATTTTAGAGAGTTTGCTGTTTCTATTGGCAACTGAAACTGTTAATTAAATGAAATAATTAATATTTAAAAGTACGTGTTGCCTAGAATGGTGAAGGGGGTTTTACTGCAATGTAAGTCAGCATACAACATTGATGCAAAATGGATGTGCACTGATTATTATTACGTAAAGATAAAACTTACAGCATTTTCGGTACTGTAACACTGCCAAAGTAATGATCCATGTACATTACAGCTCTGACTGGCTCCAGTTGTTACAACAATGGGCAGAGAAATAGTCTGTAAAATTATCATAAATAAGGAAATAGAGTCCAGATAAAGTAGATCATCCTTCAAAACAAACTCTTCATATATTTCACCACTTATAATTTCACACACGTGTACATAAATTTTAGATTTTCATATTATTTACTGTATTTGTAGTAGGAGGGAAACACTGATCATCCTCTTTTCTGATTTATACTTACTGCTACAGGTATTTCCTGTTCTGCAACCTTGACCCGAGTGGTAAAAACAATTCTAAATTTATCTTCACAGACTTGTACATCAGGCTTTCTCTCAAACTTTTCTATTTCCATTTTTTTGAAAGAAGCCAATGCCTTCTTTTTCTCGAAAGTGGATTCATCGGTTTTGGCTTTTAGTCTGATCTCACAAGGACTGTCCCAGTTACCACTGTGAAACTTCTCATTGACCTCAGACTCATTACAAAACTGTGCCTTCACTTTCCCTTTACAATCTATGTTATCACAAGCCAGAAGTCTACAATTTAAGATGTATCAAATATATTTTTTTTTATTTAATGTCCTTGTTCTTGTTTTTGACATGGCTGGTATTATAAATGAATTTCAATCATACAAACTGCTAAAATCTGGGATTTACACTGCTGACAGATTAACAAACTTAATACCTTAGAACATAATTTTACACATGTAAACAGCTCACCTAACGGAGCCAAAGAACTTCGGACATCTAAACTTTTGATTAGCTGTTTCCTCTCCTCCTTCCTCTGCTTCTTTATTCCTCTTTTTTGAGCCAAGTTCCACCTTAATTATGTGCTTCTGTTGTTCCGTCACAACAAAGGAACTATCAAAATATTACCATATAAAAATATTATACACCTGCATCACATATATGTAGATGATGTACTATATAGAAATATAAATTTGCAGAATACTTTATTTATAATAGTCAATCTCTGAATCTCACCTCTGTAGAAGCCTTTCAAAGCATTTTCTGAGAGTACAGCTGATGCTATGTGTGACATCAGTTGCTGCTGATAATTCAAGTTTAGGCAAAGCATATTGTAAAATATCATAAAGTATCTGTCCCAGCCAGGAATACCTGAAAAAAAAAAACAACATTTTATTAAAATATATATCAAACATTCATGAACATATAAAAAGGTATTTCTCATTTTGTAGAATACCTGTATTCAATAATAGGGATGGCAATCGAATACAGAATTGCTAATCGGTTAACCACAACAAATCAGAACGTTTAACTGGTTAATCGTAGTACACATTTTCATTTTCTTGACATTTTTTTTTCAAGAAGCTCTATTTATATACATGAAAAGACTATAAAAAAATGTTAGAAGGTAACACATCCTGTTTATCTTGATCAGAAAACTATACATGTATATATATTTTACTTCAATTTCAGTACACAAAAAAACCATGTCTAAGAAATCAGATATTGATAATTTTCCACAGCCGATGTCACAAAAGTTTATTTAGTCTGAACTACATGTAACACTTAATTTACATATTTGTTTAAAAATATAATTTGATAGATAGCTGCAAAGATAGACATACCAATTCACAGTGCTCAACGATGATTTAATTACCGGTAATATCATTACAAATATGAGAGTTCAAGAAATCAAGAGTAAATTTGCTTAGTTACATGTATATGGGAAAAATTGGGACCAGAGACTTACTTCAAGAGAAAATTGATTTTGAGAGTTCTATCCATAATTTTGAGAGTTCTATAACTTCTAAGTTCAAAGCCACAAAGGTTTACTTAGAAATACCTATAATTTGCCATTTGAGAGCGACTTAATGACATACCCCCTCTCTACTTCAGTAGGAATCGGGGGTCTGTGGTCCACCAGGTCAACATAGAACAACTGCAACTGTTTCTTAAAATCCGACATCTTCCTGGAAAGAATGTTCTCCGCTTCCAGGGCCTTTGTCTCAATTTCTTGCAGATTATTGGTTATATCTTGATGAAGTACCTGAAGAGTTGCATAGAGTGTTATTAAGATTCACTGCTCAGAAAAATATTAGGAATGTTAGACTTTTTTTTAGCATAGATTTATACAGGAACTAATTTTTAAAGGTATAACAATACATGAGGTTCTTGCTTTTTACAATGACTTAAGTACCACTGCTGTTCATGAAAGATTTTTTTTCTTTATATTCTCATGTGTATACTGGTCCCATACTTGAACAAATCGAATCTACACTTTATCAGGAAACTTTCATATATTTTATTTTCTGGCCCAATGGTTCTTGGGAAGAAGTTTTAAATGAACCCACCCAATTTCTATATGGATGTGGCCCTACATTTGAAAGAACTTAAAAATTCCTATCACTTAAGGAAGATTTGTGGCAAGTTTGGTTGGTCAAGTGGTTCTTGGGAAGATGAAAAGTTCACATATACTGGTAGATATACATGTGCCAAAGCTCACTCAAGCTGCTGGCTAAAATATAGATTATTGAATTAATGAATATTCAATAATAAAATGTGAGACAGTGGATCGAGATAACATCATACCCAAACTTTCTTCTGAAAATACAAGTATAGTTAGCATCTTACTACCCAGAATGTCATTAAGGTATATGCAGTATGGTTTAAGCTAATATAAAATATATACATGTAATTCTACATAAATTGATTTCAATAACAGAGTAATAACAAGCATGAAAATAGTCTCTAAATCACATCCTTATTACAGCTGTTTTGTTTAATGATCTATATATTTTTTATTATGTCTTAGAGGTTCATATCAACCAAATTTTGCTAAAGATTAATGGTTTAAACTTAATAGATTAAAATCAAGAGGAAATTTACACTAAGATGATACGACACCACAACTTAAATACAGGAAACATAATTTAACAAAAATTATATATCTCTTTGGAGAAAGATATAGGACTGTGAATAACCCTGATTTCTACAGGAAATACTTGTTATCAGTACTTCACAGACTGAAGAGTTCCCCAGTTTAATTGATTTACCCTGAAACTCATCAGGAAACATCATACGAGCACTTACTGCATACATCTGTATTTTTTTCTGATGTGCCTCCATCTGCTTTCTTTGTTGATCAGTTGCATTCAATCCGTTGAATCCTCCCCCACTTAACTGTTCAAAGCCTAATAAAATGAAAACGATAAACAGCACTTGTTTTACATTTATGTGGAGGTAAATACAATAAATTTTAATTTGCAAATATCACCTATGCATGTTTATTGGCTGCCTTATTTCTTAGGAATAAGCTTACCTGCTTGAGCATTCATTGTATCCTCTAAGGATTCTAACTTGTCAATACAAGTACTGAAGTTCTGCAAAATAAATAAGGTACTCTGTAACAGATGAGGTTTTTAACACACACTCACACACACACAAACAAACAAAAAATAAAAGACATACAATGCTCCTTTGAGTCATCATTTTCAAATTATGCATACAAATAAATGAAACTTGTAACTTCCCTTAGGATATATACATGTACTGTAGCTTAAGTCCATTTTTTGAATTTATAGTACCTATATTGAGGCTTAATGCCCACTTTACACATTGTTGCCTTTTTATTCTTTCTGGCTGTGGGCATATATTTCTTTTTAAAAAATTGTTCCCCATTTGTGGTCCAAAGTAAGTCCCTGAGGTCATGCTTTGTACAAACTTGTACAAATATGGGGATGTCAGTATATTCTGTAATACCACTAACTGAGGCCCTACTCTCTTGAGATAATTTTCCAATACATTTGTATGTAAAACTTTGACCCCCTTTTCTTTAGAAAAAGCACTTCATAGTTTTCACCCTAAATATTCCAATGCAGAACTATTAATTGTAGTCCTTTTGTTCTTGAGAAAACAACTTTTGAAATATTTGTTCATACACATTACTATAAAAATGTTTGCCCTCTCTTGTCCTGGGTATCATGATTTGAAACAAATTTGAATCAACACTGGTCCACTTGTTCTTGAGAATTTTTAAGGGACCCCACCCTATTTTTGTCTTGATTATCTCCTCTAGGAAAACATAGGTAATCAAAGATTACGAAGCTCAGCTCGACGAATGTTATCTTTAAGTAAGGCAAATTTCACATCATATTTTTTTTTAGTTAGTGAACATCCCAAGATCAATATCCATGCAAGTTTGGTTTAAGTACGACTTATAGTTACTTGGAAATAGACCTGTTCAAAAAACTTTTATCCTGTTTACTAATCAAGAAAATTTTGGTCAGTTCCAACATCCAAAGTAAGTCTGGAAGTTTTCATCCTTAGATGCACCATCGATTTAAGTTTAATCATAACAGGCCATAAGGTTATTTAGCTACTCAAAAAAAATTATCCTGGTCACTCATCTGGAAAATGTAGGTCAGATTCAGAATCCAGAGCAAGTCTGGAATTGACCATCCCTAGTTATATCATTTATGTTAATTTGGTTAAAATATGGTCTAAAATTCACTCATGTGGAAAATCTAGGTCAAATCCAGCATCTGAAGCAGGTTGGTTAGCGTACATCCAAAGATGCATCATCCATGCAAGTTTGGTCAAGGTAGAGCTTATAGTTACTTGGGAATGGACCTGCTCCAAATACTTTAACCTGGTCACTTATCTGGAATATCTAGGTCAGATCCAGCATCCGAAGCAAGTGTGGTAGTGTCCATCCCTTGATGCATCATCCATGCAAGTTTGTTCAAGGTAGAGCTAATAGTTACTTGGGAATGGGCCTGCTCCAAATACTTTAACCTGGTCACTCATCTGGAAAATATAGCTGAGGTCAGATTCAGCATCTGAAGCAAGTGTGGTAGTGTCCATCCCTAGATGCATCATCCATGCAAGTTTGTTCAAGGTAGAGCTAATAGTTACTTGGGAATGGACCTGCTCCTAATACTTTAACCTGGTCACTCATCTGGAAAATATAGGTCAGATCCAGCATCTGAAGCAAGTGTGATAGTGTCCATCCCTAGATGCATCATCCATGCAAGTTTGGTCAAGGTAGGGCTTATAATTACTTGGGAATGGGCCTGCTCCAAAAACTGTAACCTGGTCACTCATCTGGAAAATGTAGGTCAGATCCAGTATCCAAAGCAAGTGTGGTAGTGTCCATCTCTAGATGCATCACCCATGCAAGTTTGGTCTAGTTAGGGCTTATAGTTCCTTGGGAATGGACTTCCTCCTAAAACTTTAACCGGGACGCCGACGCTGGGGGTATAGCATAAGCTCATCTCTACTTCGTCGAGGTGAGCAAAAAAGGGCATGGCCCTTCAATTGAGCAATTTTGAATCCCCTTTACCCAAATATGCTCTAAAAGACAAATCATGGAACAGAAGGGAATATGAAGACTGCTTACCTTGCTGCACTGATCGAGGTATCTGATGATCTGGTCTTGGTCATCATAGCAAACCTCCATAGCTTTTGCCTATAAACAATTGAAATAAGTTGCCTGTTCAGTGTTCAAATAAAAATTATTAAGACACGAGCGTCACACTCAGTAGTATCAAAGTGCTGATCTAATTCAAAGAAAATGGAGGAATAAAGTGCCTATAGCTTCAACTGTATAAAAATCGAAATTTATTTTTTATAACTAAGTGTTAAATCAATATGAGCTGCAACTTTGATGTCAAAAATTTTTGTTGCAATATTGTAATTAATAGGGATGTCAAAATATTTATTTTCTGTAGTCGAATATTCGATTGCATTATTCGAACAATAGTTGAATATATATTCGAAACTTTTTCGGAAACTAAAATTTTATTTTAAACTTCACTGGTACATGACATATTTAACCCGAAGTCCCCTTTTCTTAAATTTATTAAAAAGTAACATCAAATGTTACACACAGATGTTTACATGGACCTAAAATGTATGATTTCCCAGTCAATCATGTTCATAAATTGATCCGTAAAGTCGTTTTTTTTAGGAAGCATAAAAAATGACAGTATGATATATTATTTTAAAGCTTATTAAAATGATGGGGGGGGGGGGGGCACACATGGTAAATTTCTGAAAATGTTGTATTGTTAAATATTTGAATATACTTTTTGTACCAACTATCAAAATGTCTTTAAAATACATAAAAGAATATTAATTTTATAATAATTATCTTAGTGTCAAAACATGTCACAGCTATAATGGGTACTTGGTATGAGATCAGTTCCAATTAATAATTTTACAAAGAAAGCGCAGTGTAACGAGATAATTTTATTACAAAAACAACACACTAATTGACAAATAATACTCGCGGAAGTGAAGCATTTCTAATTACTGTACTTTCTACATATAAAACCAGCAGTTTTTAATGAGGAAAATTATCTTATTAACTGTGTCTGAGGAAAGACGGCCGGTTTCTCAATTTTAGGATGAGAATTCTATCTCTTTATCACTCTTTTATTGTTTATTTATTCAAATGTCGTTTCATTATTCGATCGTCGGTCCATTCGACTGATGGTCGAATAGTCGACTATTCGTTGCCATCCCTAGTAATTAACTATTTCAATGACAGAAAAAAGAACATTTATAAACTTCTGTTGTTCATGTTTGCGATGGAAGAACTATTTATAAGCTTTGATTGAAGCAAAATTACATTATTGTCATCCTGTACAATATTGATTTCTTTTATAATACTATACATTCCATTGTACAGAAATCTTCTAAAAAAATTGATACTTTCTTTTAGTCTAATTGATCATAAAGGATTAAATTACATACAAATTTAATATACATGTAACTGTATTTTACAACACATTTTAACAGCAAAATAAATTTCTCAAAAATGCAACTCATATTGCTTTAAATGCAATGTTTTTATCATTAAAAGAGGAATTGTGCACACAATGCTTTTCTATTAATATACTGTACTAAGTTAGTTTGTTTAATACCCAGAAGCAGAGAGGAAGATTTTCAAAGAATTAATGCATTTTCACTATATAATCAATAGAGCCCCACCCTAACACCAGAACTTCTGACCCTGGGGGCCATGAAATTCACAATTTTGGAACTGGCACTCTTGCTCTCCATAACTATGTACTTAGTTAATTTATTTTATACCCAGAAGCATACTTTGGTAAAAATATTATAATAAAGGAAATGCACTTTTGTCTCAAGTAGACATTGAACCCAGTGAGAAAAATCTAGAATATCAGTTTCCTACAGTGAGATCGATAATTAACCACTGAGCCATGCAGCTAAGTTTTTCTGGATATTAATTTTCTTTGTGATATGACCTTAGAATAATTGGACTTAATTATTTAGACTTTTAAGAAAGAGACAGTTTGTCAAAAATATGTTATACATGCTATATTTTCATGTATAGAGGGTAATCATCCCATATTTTTATGCTAATTATTAATGAATAATTTTTTCATTTTACTTCATATTTGGGAAGATCCTTTAAACAAGAGGCCCAAGGGCCTTAACAGTCACCTGATCATAATAAAACACTAAAGCAGAGAAGATTTTTCAAAGAATTAATGCATTTTCTTATATAATCAATAGAGTCCCACCCTAACACGAGAAACCCTGACACAGGACCAAGGAATTTCGTAATTTCGCAAACGAACTCTTGCTCATCATATTATGCACCTAGTTTGTATGCTAAATACCCAGGGGCAGAGAAGAAGAATTTCAAAGAAATTATGCATTTTCACTATATAATGAGTAGAGCCACACCCTTACTCCAGAAACCCTGACCCTGGGGTCATGAATTTCACAATTTTGGAAGAGGCACCCATGCTCATCATAATCATGCACTTAATTTATCTGCAGACTATACAATATGACTGCTGTTGTTTGACTGCTTGATGTCCAGGAGTAAAGAAGATTATTAAAGATTGCATTAATTTTGATGATTTAGCTCCACCCCTCAGGCCCCAGGGAGGCAGGGACCATGATATTCAAAATTTTTCTTCCCCTGCATCAACAGATGCTATATGACAAAATTGGTTGAAATTCATTCAGCAGATCCAGAGAAGAAGCTAAATATGTTAACACAAAACACATGATGCAGAACACATGAACAACAGACAAAAACTGAAAGCAATAGGTCACCTGAGTGATTCAGGTGACCTAATAAAAAGGAGAAAACAACCTAAACAGCATCACTTTGACTAAGCACACGTATATAACAAAAGAGATCTTTTAAAATATAATTTGAGACTTTTTATAAAAAGGTTTTACGACACATACCAAATTACTACAAAGTTAACCAATTTATTGTGTAAATATTTCTTATACAGTTTTACCATTTTATTTATGTAATTTTTTGTTATACAAAGCTTCGAGTGATGAGCTCTGTTGGATCTTACCTCTACAGCCACAAACTGTTTCAGCAGCCTCTGTTCTTCCACCAGAAATCGGCACATGCTGCAGATGAAGGGTTTGGGGTTTCTTTCATAAATGCTCTACAAGTTGATATCCGTTGTCAGTCAATACAAATAACAATATATATCCTCATTACTATTATGCAGTATGTTCAAATTTATACAATGTTCCATGCATATGTGAAAAATAATTGGCTTGAAACATCATAGGCCTAGTCTATGAAATTCTGGAGCTGCATGAAAAAGTTGTCTGCTTTGCTGACAGAAAGCAAAGAAATGTGCAATGAAAATAAACAGGAAGAAGTTATCTATGATTCTAGATAATATATAAACATGCAGATCTCTTTAACAATCAGAAGCTCCCCCCCCCCCCAAAAAAAAACATTGATGCTTATTGACCTATCAATTAAATACATTTTATCTAAAGTAATTTTTGTCCAGCAAAAATAGCTCATTATTTGTTTGGTCACATTTTTACTAACGGCACATTTGTATATTGGTACTTAAACTCTGCTGAGGTACACATACCTTTATACTGTCATAGATCACTCTCTGTGACAATCTCTGGGTCTGGCCAGCATCCTCATGTTCCAATCTATCAAAGTGTTCCAGAATCATGTTGAACATCAGTTTGTAGGCTGTGTCACTCTTTGGGTCGGATTCATCATGACCCAGCACAAACTGCTCCCCATTTTTCCTTCAGATTGAAAGCCATAATTAAAGTAAGCCATTATCTCAGGCATCAATTATTTTGTTTCTTGTAATTATGAATGATTAATTTTTACAACTGAAAAGGATATCCCTTAGGGGGGAAAACAACAGTCAAAGATCTAATTAAGAAAAAATAGAAAATGATAAGAAAGTAGAGAGAATGTCAGATGAATCTGTTCTGATATGCAAAGTATAAATGTTTGTAAATTTATCTACATGTTAAATGTTTACTGGATTTAATTTACCAACAAATAAATCAGGAATCCAGTTTTTGTCAAATTTGGGTTCATATTCAGTGGTATTTTAGTCAATATATAAGATAGCAGGTAACTAGACTGTAAGACACCTTTTGAAAGGTTTCCTAAAGATTATTTCTGCATAGTTTATGTTAAATGAAGGCAAGAGACCAAAAAAAAACAAATTACACTTCCTGTTACATCATGTTATGTTTTAGTGCACTATTTATAACACAAGGGCACGCTAAATTCATCATTTTCTATTTCAATAAGTATCATTCTGTGTTCATTTAAAAACTGACCTTTCATGTACTTTCTTTTCAGTTTTAGTCCAGTTTAAAACATGCTGAACTCTTACAATTTATGGATAATTATATATATAATTATATATATATATATATATATATATATATATATATATATATATATATATATATATATATATATATATATATATATATACATCTATGATCTTATCTATTACATGTAGATGCAATGAAAAACAACAAGTCATAAGCCTATATAACATTGCTGCGATAGTAAATTACCATTCCTCTGAATCAAATAAATCTTTGCAGTTCAAACGGGTTTCCCATATGTGTTCATCAGCTAACTTGTAGATGTCCTGCCAGCGTTCTCTAAATTTCTGATTATCTAAACAGTAGCTAAAGACATCAGGCAAGGGTATCTCATTTGTGATCTCCATTTTAATTTTCAGTTGGTTGTACTCCTGAAATATAATGCCAACATTTAGTGAATTCATCATCATGATATAATTTGGGAATTGATTTCAACCAACAACATAATTAATGCTGTTTATGCTGAAGGGTAATAATCAACATTGAGCAATTATTTCAAATTACGGGCAACCTCAATTTTATAATATAATTATGTATTTACAATCTTACAAACTTAAAACTTTAAGCTTTGTGTCAATTGTGTCAAAAAGCAATAATCTGTTCTTTTTTTTCATTTGAATATTTCAAAACTTTTTGAAAGAAGTAAGTGTTTTTTTGTTACAAGAAAGTTGAATTCAATGTTATATTTTCTTTTCATTACTACAACTGAAAATGATTTAAAGTCACAAACATCTTGACTTCTTTTGGCAACAATTGCTTTAGTCAACGCAATAATGGAATGAAAATAAGGTGGAGGGAAATGAATGAAGATAGGGATGGGAGGGAGAGATGCGGAAAGAGGCAGCAATTGGAGATGCAAACTCCAGTACATAATTGAATATTTCTTTTCATGTTCTGTTTTGTAGCCTGCTTTTATTAAGAATGAATTTGTTTAATTCAATTTGCATAATATATTTCATGAGTTATTAATGTAAAAATTGGTAAGTAGGAAACATGTACATTCATTACTTAAAATATCTGTAATCTTGATCCTTTTTTGTTCATCTTAAGGACTACTGTACTAGCATTTTGTTATTCAACAGCCAACATACAGCTGACATACATTGAACATCTATCTCCCTATTAAGCAAGTATAAAATATTAGATGAAGACTTTATAAAAAGCACTGTATCCCCCCTTTTTTTCCTTATAAAGATTCCCCTGCAAAGTATGCCAAAATATTTCTTAATTTTTCATAAATAAGTATTTAATTGTGCCAGGTCGGTGTTCGATGGGGTGAAGTTAAAGGTGCTAAGACACAGATTTGAAGTTAATATTTTCTCAAATTTTCTGTATAATATCACGACTTATATATTGCAATAGCATTTCACATGAAAATATAATTAAAAACTTATTTTATCTGGAAATTATTTGAACTACGAATTCCTGGACGCGTTTGATTAACACATCCTTGCACTTTCACAAATTTTATCCTTATCCTTAATATTTAAGAAAAGAAGCGATTTTGTTGTGTATTAATGAAAAACTTTACATCTATAATCCGGAAAATTCAGAGTAGAAATATGCGAAAGCAAACCCCTTCACTAATATCTTCAGCCCGTGCTCAGTGTTGTGTACAGAGATTAACAAATTGAATACACCCGTGAAACGTAAACTGTTTTTGTAAACAGGGCACGAGCTCTGTTACTGTTAATGTTTACGATTCACCGGGTGTGTTCAATCGTTAAAGTCTGCACACATCACTGAGCAAGGACTGACAATACTGTGAGTGGGTTTTGCTTTCGAACATTCCTACTCTGAATTTTCTGGATTATAGTTTTAATATTTTTCATTAATACACAACAAAATTGCCACTTTTCTTAAGTATTAAGAATAAAATTAAAATTTGTGAAAGTGCAAGGATGTGTCAATCAAACGCATCCAGAAATTTGAAGTTTCAATAACTTCGAGATGAAATAAGATTTTTATTATATTTTAGTATGAAATGCTATAGCAACATATAAGTCATGAAATTATACAGAAAATTTGAGAAAATATTAACATCAAATCTGTGTCCAAGCACCTTTAAAGGGAGAGATGTACCAACAATCCCAACCCACCCCTCAGCTCTCTACGGCTGCTAATTAAGCTCAAGAAAGTACACTGTGGATGTATTCTCTACTCTGTCACGATTCGCATACAGGACACTCTTGCTAAGCTCATTACCATTCGTGTTATTTTTATATTTGACCTAAATTTTCTCCAGACAATAACACACTTTTTTGTGTTCACTCAATTCAATGACAATGTAAACGTTATCACTATCAGTCACGTAATCAAAATACTTCTCTATTTCATGTCTTGATTCTCTAAATTGACCAGACTTAATATTTGAAACAATACTTACAATCTCATGTCAATGGTTAACCGAGTTCCGCGTTTCTCTCGGAAATGAGAATATTAAAATATTGACCTCGGCATTTCCAGTCCATTTTCCGAAAACGTTTGTTTACATTTCAATACTGTCGTACGATAAATCGAGAGAGTAAATATTTCGGAACTTTTCTAGATAGGAGCGCGGATCTAAGGTTTTCATCTGATGGGTGACATAATATTCATTTTACCAAGGATGTATATATACTATATGTATATAGGTCCCCAATTTTACCTAAATTTTTACATTAAAAAAAGGTAGTCTCGCTACAATTTCACCAGAGGCAGAAAATGAAAGGTCAGAAGGCCGTAGGAGAGAGAGAGAGAGGGGGGGGGGTCCTAAGATTGATAGTTTTCACATACATCGTATTTGTTACGGGTCACATTCAAATTAATCACTATACACATAATAAAATTTTATGTCCTTTCGTCCTCTTAAATAATGATTAGAAAAAAAGGAACAAAATTTACAAAACAAAACAAAACAAACAAACAAACACAAATATTATGCAGAAGTGTCAGCTTAAAAAAATATTACTTCCCTATTGAATAGTTATTCCAAAAAAAAAATTGGAATGTGTATTCAGTGTCTAAAAACGGGGTCTCCATTGGACAAGAGTATCATGGTAACAGAATATACGAATTCTAGTATGCTATTAAAAAATTGGATTTTGACCCGTCATAAGCTATTTCGGGGAGTTAAGGCTCAGAAGTACGAATATGATTTTATGATTTTTTTTAAAAAAATTTTCAAAAAAAACAAGGTTAAAAGTTGCCCTTACCATTTTGCTTATTGTACAGCAACCGTGAGCCAACATTAAGCATTAAGTTCAACTAATAAAAGTTCCTTCAAACAAGGTTTATACCCTGAAAATCCACTGTGAAAAAATTTTTGCACACATGATTTGGACCGATACTATAGTTGTCCTGTTCTTTGGGATATATTTTCGTACTTATACACTATTGCTCTTCCTTTTGACCTACAATTAGAGGGTGAAAGTTCATAAGTGAAGTGTTCAAGTGACTCAGACTTACTGTGAATCAGTCTTTACTAGAAAAGCTTAGAATAAGGAAGGAAATATATTGATTGTAGATATAAGATAATTGGAGTGTCCAGTTTTACATCTTCAGGCATGTACATGTAGTATCAGAGAGGGGACAATGCCCCCCTCCCCCTACTTTCTTCTACTGTTAAATATAAGTGTGGGAATGTTCATTTTAAGTCCCCTCCCCCTTCTCAACGAAATAGGTAGTTTTGTTTTACCTTATCGAAGTTTTTTTCTTGCAAATTTTTGTCATTTTTTTTCTTCTGGCTACCCTCCACATCCCCGATCTGAAAAACATGTTCCTTCTCTGAACTCACCGTTTCTTGAGGGTTATTACATATCGTCGTAAACTCTAAGAAGTTTTTCTTTTTCTGAGGAAGTTTTTCTTTTTTTGAGGAAGTCAGACGTTTTACCATTCATTTTCCTCTACAAATTATTTTTGGGGACAGTAGTTTTGTCTGATTGTGTGTTACATATACATGTACATTTTTGTAAGAGGATTTTTGGAACTTTCCTAACATTTTGTCCATCTCATGATTTGGATTTTTTATGCAAAAAATTTAATTGAGTTGAATTAATGGTTTATAAGTCCTTGCATGCATGCCACATTTTTTTTATACCTCACAAACTAAAGATTTTTTGGTCTTATGTTTATATATATATATATATATATATATATATATATATATATATATATATATATATATATATATATATATATATATATATATATATATATATATGAATCGTATACGCGGAGTTGGACTTCTATTAAATGCTTTTGCTGTATCTCAATAAAAGATGATGGGTAAATAAGGCGAGCAAAATGCCTTTTGTGTGAAAAATATGAAAGTAAAAAATGAAATCTCAATTGTGACAATTTTTTTTTTTGAAATTTCATTGAACACTAACGTAATACTAACTTTATGTAAAATCTCCAAAAATCGCATCAGTCTTACAAATATTGAAACTATTCGTCTATAAAATAGTATAATTACGACATACACCAAAGAGAGCAAATATTATCATTCATACTAAAACACACTTTTCCCTCATGAGTGGGTCTGCTTCATTTTTTTTTTTGAAAGGTTATATTCAAAGTATGCCTAAAAATATACATTCTTTGGCTAACAAAACAGGGAGCAAAGACCCACTTTACCTTAAAAAATACGCATTCATAACACAACATTCGTATCTTTCCGAAAAATATTGGACGTCTATTGGACGTCCAGGGTCATATTACAAACATGAGTTAAATGCCGATTGTGGTATAGCATAGTGGTTAGCATGTTAATCTCGAAGGAAAAAATGATACTCAGGATTTTTATTTCTTGGGTTTGAAGCACAAGAAAATCACATATTAAAAAAAAAAAATCATAGTTCTAAATGATTTTTGTCGAAAGAATTTTCCGCAGAAAAAGTTTTGTCATATAATTGTGATACCTTTCAATGATAGAACTTTATTTTAAATGCTAAATTCACAAATTGAATATGGCTTTTATTAATTCAAAGCTATAGGCATTTTGCACGCCTTGCTCGCCCATCCCCTCTATAAGAATCAAGCTAATATGGTTATGGATTTGAATTGTCAATATTTATGAAATACTATGGAATATAAAAAATGATAATGTTACAATTATTACTATAAGTTAACCTCTGTGTCTTCTGTATAAACAACTGGTTTATGGATTCCTTCTAGTTTGGGTAACAAACGCCGTAACACAGACCTGTAGGAAGCAATTTCAGTTGGGGGGGAGGGGTTGTTCCGACCAAACAATTCAGTTTGGGTGAGCAGCACTACTAAGCAAGAATTCCTTAAAAAAAAAAGGTCATCAGATGTAATTATTGAGGGGGTATATCCATGAAGTAGCTTTGTTTTTCTATATGATATTATATACATACCGGCAAAATAATTGGGGGAGGGGACAGTCCCCCCCCCCAGTTCTCCTACGCCCATGTAACATAAAAACTACTGGTTCGTGAATTATGAACACCAAAACAAAGATACATTTATGATTTATTTATTTGACAACAGTTTCATTGATAATTATCTAGGGCATGTGCCCTCCCGGGGCTCCTCAACTAAATCTAGATCGTAAATATTGTTGCTGAATTTCCAATACACGATTGTACATCGGAAGGTCTAATCCATCCACACATCTCATGATACTAGCCTTAATGACTGGACCATCCTGCGATGGTTCGAATTGTCCAATCGCCTGAAACAGAGAGCCAACTGTTCCCTCCAATGGTTCAGCTAGGGTAGTATCTATACACACAAAAGAACTGGTCTGCGGGTCGGTCAAAGTAGCCTGTCGTTTCACACAGTTGTGATGAGTTAGTCTGTAATGAACAATTTGATCAGATTGACATTGCTAAATGCACGTTATCCCTAGTTATCACTGTAAATAGTCAGTGGCGGATTTAAAGGGGGGGGGGGGGGGCGAACACAGCGCGCGTCCCCGTAAAATTGTCAAAGTTAGCGTAAATCATAGTTTCGTGGAGAAAATGTAAAAAAAAATGTCACAACTCGGTAGACCTCATTTTTACCCTACAAAATCTCTAGAATCCAGGAGCTTCCGGGGGCTTCGCCCCCTGAGCCCCCATCAGGCCTCGAGACCATAAACTGAGAACATACTTAAGTCAAAATTTTGATTTTGAATATCTTGAGTTTTATTCAACATGCATACTTAAAAATTTGCAGGTTTGTATAATATTTCAATGTAAATATGTGATGAAAAAATTGTTCCATTATCAAAATTATTTCAAAAGTTATATTTGAAATTTTGACCTAAGTCTGTTCTCAGTTTATGGTCTTGGGGTCAGGGCTTCGCCCTGGACCCACTGGGGGCCTCAAGGCGATCCCCAGACCCCCCTGCCTACTTCTTGCACCCCCTAACTTCAATTTCTGGATCCGCGCCTGATAGTGTACATCGATATCTGTAACTTGGCATAAAAAAAAGTAATTCCTTTATTCAATTGTAAGGTTCAATCATATACCAAATATTTACTGGACTTGTTATAGTGCATTTGTGTATTACATGTATATGTAACTTTAAAGACACCTTTGATGTACTTCCGATTGCTCATCTCTTGTGATATTATTGGAAGACAGAGGTTCGTCCCTTCCATTTTTTTTCAAAATATCTAAAAAATGTTTTCATTAATATGTGGGACAAGTAGACCATGCTTAGTGAATAGATCTGCATCCAAAAAGTGTATGCGTGTGGGTGGGGTGGGGGTGGGGGGGGGTGTCTGAATAATTCCAAAAAAAGAAACAAGAACTCAAGGAAAATGTGTATTTGAGGGGGTGGGGGCAGTCCAGGGCACCCCACTCCCCTCAGTCGTTCTTGGTGCCTGTGCTGACCCTATTGATTTTATACACGTAACAATATAGTATCAACAAAAGAAGTTTGTATTTTCAATCATAATATTTCTCTATAGGGATTCTAGAATACTTGCTAAGTAGATTTATGCCACGACAACGTTCAAGATCGTAGCAGCTATATCTATAGCTACTAGTTAAGATTTCTAAGTCGTAATGTATAACTATTGAATGCAATATAGGCCTATAAATTTACGCTTCTTATTGATAGGCTATCATATAGTTCAAGATCTTAGCGACGATACTGAAATTACCCCTCAGGAATATGTTCAATGTAGAAGCGGCTATATACTTGTATGCATAAGGCTACGATCTTGAAATGCTTGCCACGTACGTATAGGGATAACTGATGCACACAATGTATATCTCATTCTTAGTCCGAAATATCTGACGTTTTCCTGGCTTTTTTTACTATTTTTATATTTTACTGGCACGTAAAATATCAAAATGGTAAAAAAAAAAAGCCTGGAAAACGTCAGATATTTCGGACTATCTCATTCTATGAGTACGACCTTGTATGAACAAACTCGAGTAGGCTTTTTTATCTTAATCTTAACTGTCAGAGATTTGGTTAGGCTGGATACCTTTAGTGAAGGCAGGGGATCTCAGCCGAAATTACTCTGATCTCATCTCAGCCGAGATTACTCAGTTACTCATATCTCATGATCAACCCCCTTCTCGATGGGTAAATCAGACGAATAGAGCTATCGTATATAAAACATATACCTTCCTGTGACTCGAATATTTCTAACTCTGCATGTCAAACTCTCAGATTCCTCCAGTGGAATGCTCGATATATACATTACTCTCCCACATTCTGGCAGGTCCATATTTTACATCTCCCGCCAATATTGTAATATATATCAGACAAATATGGAAAGTAAATATCCGAAAATCTTTTTATTGATCATCATAAATTTTAAGGACATATATATTTAAAACTTACATAAATATAAAATACAAACATGAGCATTTTATAATCGTTTATTTTTAAGTGCTCAATTTGTTCACTGAAAATTAAAATTACAATCCGGAAGTATTTCCGGTTTTATATTCTATTATTTCCTACCAAATAACATCGGTGTTGTGATTCGCCGAGAGACTAAAAAACAAGGTGACTCAAATGTAGATCATTTTACTTATATAAGGTAAGTTATCCATATACTAATTATATCTTTCATTAATTTTTCAAGGGTTATCATTTTGCAGTGTAGAATGAAAGAAATATTGCAAAAAATAGCTTCAGTTCCCATAACAACGGCGGAAAATAGTGCTTCAACCAGTGTAGGTGTAATCAAGATGGTGGAAGTTCATCTAGCTATCCGATTACAACTTATATATTTGGGTTGAACTGGTATTTACTATATATTTCAAAGCATATTGAGTTAATCTCAAAAACATCATAAATTCTTTTTTGCAAGAGAGTAATCAAAACAAACATAAACACCACATGGACATCAAAATTTATTTTCACAAGTTTTTTTTTCTTGATGCAAGATGATTAAAAATGTGTTTTTAGACTCTTTCTTGATTTTCCAAATTATTCAATAAGAAATTGTTCCAATGTATGACAAGAGATTAAAGATATTTGCATGAGAGTTATTTGGCAATTTTCCCAGAAAAATGGGTGTTAGCTATTCATAGCCACAGGCACAGTTGAAACAAATGAGAGACCTGTAGGGCTATACATTTTGTGACTTATTATTTGGGAGGGGTAATGAACATCAGGAGTGCATGTTTTTACTTCACGAATTTTTTCTTTTCTTTTTTTTTTTTTTTTTTTGCTTTTTAAAGCATAAAATTTCTTGTTTTGAATTGTTATTTTTTTCATTTCTCTGTAGTTTGGTAATAAGAATGAACACCTTTGGTACATGCTAAGGAAGGGAAAGGTTTATCCATGACGACTTATTATAGTCGCCACAATATGCCAGGTGTTCCTAGACCAACAGGATACACAGGAAGCTATAGCAGCGGTACCTCTAGAACTCTACCGAGACAGCGTGCATCAAGTTTAAGTCGAGAAAACAGTGCATCAAGGCTTTACTCTACAAGCACTAGCAGGTATTTCAAAATTTTGCAGCTTCTAAACAAAGCAAATCAAAGAAGGACTTTTATCTAGGTGCACAGCAATAGTTGTATGACCTGATATGCTTTAATGCAAAAGCAAGATATTTATTTTGTTTTCTTAAGAACACAGTGCTTTTTGGATAATTTTTAATCTGAACAGTTTATATTTCAAAGCAACATGAAAAAATAGAAGAATATGTATGCTGCTCTTTTCATATTAGTGATCTGCATAGTTCATGATTTTTTGTTGTTGTTTTATTTATTAGTAAACCTAGACCACTTCCAAATGGTCCAGGACCCCTAGACAGCTATGGCAGAAAATTAGATGGCACAAGTTCCTACAAAATAAAATCTACCTCATCTACCCTCCGTCCCACTGGACCCATCAAGGCTACCAGTGTATATAGCAGTACATACTCATCTTCCTATGGACCTTATAGTACAGGTACAAGTTCTGGGTCTACATCTAGGCCTGATAGTGGAATCAAGCAGAGACGTTCCACAAGTATTTCAAATATCAGTGATACATTGTCAGATGTAAGGTTAGACAGTGAATCACGAAGATCAAGGAACAGAGAGGAAGCTAATGGACTCTCATCATACAGGTCTGAATATACCCCAAGGAGTTCAAAGACAAAACTAGACAATGATAAAAATGATGATATATTCAATGCATCAAGAACAAGTTCCAGAAACAGTAAATTTTTAAAGGATAATTCAATTGATTTGAATGATGATAGCTACACACCATCAGTTAGCAGGAAGAGAGATGCTAGTTTGCCTCCCTTGTCCAGGAGGGACTCCAGTCCCCTTGACTCAAAGCCCTCATTCACAAGACAGAGTTCTGTATCTCCTCCAAATGTCAATGTAAGTTGAATATTGTTTAATTTTTATGGAAATATTTGTTTGAAACTCTAATGTTTTAAGATACATGTATTGTTCATTTTGAAATTCAGATTTTTCTATGAATTTGATCCAACATTGAACAACCTATTACAGAACAGAAAAAAAAACCAAAACATTTTGAAGCAATATAGTAATTTCTCAACAGGGTTCCATGTCTCAACATATGAATGGTGGAAAAGTCGGTCTCAGGAACTTAGGAAACACTGTAAGTTGATTTGGTTGAACAGTCATCTATTTTCTTATAATTCTAAACATATTGTGAATCAGATCTCGACTTGGCTCTGAAGATGACATGGTTTTTTTCTAATAATTTTACTTTCAAAATGACATACTCAGGAATTTGTGAAAGATTTGGATTTGAATCTCATTACCTATTTGATTCCAGAAAACCATTATCAATTTATGAGCTATTTTTGATGAAATTCAAATTTGATCTTTATGCAAGTCTTTTGTTGAGTATTAGTACCTGTTTGATAGCTGGAGGACATAATAAAATATAATCCTAAATGCTGGGATTAAAAGTGAAATCTTTTAACACAGTCTTTTTTTTTATAATATGCGACTTCCTGAGCAGAGATCAAAGTGATAACTCAAGATTATATAAAGCCATAGTATCAAGACCAATAAATTTGTTATATTCATTATCATTCTGAATTCTTAGGTAAAAACGGTAAATTTATTTGTCTGATGGGCTGTGGCATTTATGTTTAAGATGCACCTGTCCCTGTGTTTCCTCATATTAAATTCTAATAAACACTAATGATTTTCTAAAAGTAACTTAATTTATAATTTAAATGAGCATAATTTCAGCATATCTTGTTGGTCAAAATTTGGCAGAAGTAGACTGTAAACTTGATGAAAGGAATATTGGTCTTTCATTCACTTGTTACTTTTATTTTTTTTTATAGTGTTTCATGAACAGTGTACTGCAGTGCCTTAGTAACACCAAGCCTTTGTTAGAGTATTTTTTGAAGGAAGATTATATTTTGGATAAAAACTCTAGCACCAGCTCCATGAAGGGCCAACTTGTCACAGGTAATTATAAATACTGTATACAGGGAAATTTTCATCTCTGTTTTATTTTTTGTCCCTTTCGCTCGAGACACAAGTGAGCGAATTCAAGACGGCACGAATTCAAAGAAGACAGTATAATTTCTTAGACAGAACTGTGACTGGACAAATTGAAAACGGGGCAAAATTGTTTGCAAGTGTGAAAGGTCGAAAATAACACTGGGCAAAAATAACCTGGTGTACAGTAATGAATTTGTCATAACTGATGCATGGTATTTTCAAATGTTATCCTGACAGAATTTTGAATTTTAACTGGTTTGTGGTTTGAACATACAGTGTATTTTGTTGCCTTTAAATTTTACAAATGGGATCGGGCAAAAGCTGTAAAATTTCATATGCCCTTTCCCTACAAGTGAAATATTTTTACACATGTTCAAAGTATAAAATGAAATGGCACAAATATTCACAGAAATCAGAGAATCAAATATTTCTATAAGATACATGTACTAGTATCATATGACACACAAATTGGATAGAGTTCACAAAAAGTAATTATTGCATCAATCAAAAATTACCTGACTTTTTAAGAAGTGTACAATTGGAAAAAGGTATTCATTTTCAACATCAGTTAACAATTTATCTCCCCAGGGTAAAGTATGAGTAGCACAGTATGTAATTTCCCCATCTGCAGAAATTTGTTGAAAAAATCCTTTTTGGTTTCTGTGTATTTTTTGCACGAGAAGAAATGATGGACAACCTCCACTTTTCCTCTGAATTTTAACCGTAATACATGTAGTATTATATAGAATTAGAATCAAGATTTTTACTAGTAATATGGAGGAGGAAAGGAATTTTAAAAAAGAAGGGATTTTAATGAATGTTTTAAGTTCTGTATGTGTATTTGTTATAGCATATGCCAACTTGATGAAATCAATGTGGGCAGAAAGAAGTGATTCCCACGTGTCCCCAAATGCCTTTAAGACACAGATTCAGAGGTTTGCCCCAAGGTTCATGGGATATGCGTATGTATCCATGTTTTGTTTTTTTTTTAAACATGAATTCCACCTTTGTACAATTGATTTGAAAAGCTTAATTTTTTACCTTGTTTTACAGTCAGCAGGATGCTCAGGAGTTTCTTCGATACCTTTTGGAGGGTCTCCATGAAGATGTAAACAAGGTCACCAGTAAACCCAAGCCAGTCACCATTGATGATGAGGACTTCAGCAAGTAAGTCTGGTAGCATTTTTGCATTTCTTTTAGAGATCAGCTGATCAAATACACTGTAAATATGCAAGTCAGTTTAATGAAAGTCTTTTTATTTTGTAAGAATTGTTTTGGGGAATAAAGAGTATTCAGTAATGTTAAAAAAAAATCTCTTTCTTAGAAATTTCCAGATTATGGAGAAATACACATAAGAGTAAGAGTGTAAAAGTATCTGAGCATTTACTATTTGGAGACATGTATCACTGTTTTATAGTATTTCAATTATGTCATTATTTCCAGTGATCAGGACAAAGCCAAAGAATACTGGAGAGTTTATCTTACATATGACAACAGTCATATTGTTGGTAAGTACATGCCTTGTTTATGAGAAAATTGCTCCCTGTACTTCAGTAGAAATTGTATTCAGGTGAATTACATGTCCATGTGCCTGGCTTATTTGCCTTTGTTCATTGTACTAGATAATTGCTATTAAATGTATAATGACCTGTATCATTTAATCCATTCAGTTTAAAATAGAGTATTTGATATGTCTCTAATGGAAAGAATATACATGTATATGTACTAAAAAAAATTTTTAGCTGGATATATAGTTTATTTTATTTTATTTTATTATTTTTTTTTTTTTTTGCTTTAGAAATATTTGTTGGCCAGTTGAAAAGTGAGCTGAAGTTTGATTGTGATCACCGTTCAGTGACCTTTGACCCATTCTGGGATTTGTCTGTTCCGATACCAAAAGTTAGTTTAGCTGTGGGTATCATTATAGCTTTATAATCAGAGAAAGATTAGCATGCAAAAGAAATTGTTTATTTTCATTTTTAATTACAATATAACAAAATTAGAAATGTTTACAGATGAGGAGTGATGCAAGCATTATACAGTGTATAACAGCATTTATGAAGGCAGAAGTATTGGATGGCGATGAGAGACCAGTAAGCTCTTATTTAATTTGATCTGTATACATGTAATAACTTTATTTACTCTTCAAAATGATCAAGATTCATAAAATGCTTGCTGTGGTATTGATGGTATACGAGGGGTTATCAAAAAGTTTGTGGACTGGCGTCATAAAATTAAAACTGCTTAAGGTACATCTACAAATTTTTACATAATGTATTTATTCTATGTCATCTTTTCTGACTACAGAATAAACTTTAAGACACACAATGGGCAGTTAAATCCTAAGTGGGTTTATGTAGACATGCACACATTAACAATACAGCACATACACTTTATCTTTGAATAAATTGTCAGTGTTTTTACAAGCATGACCACATGACGCAACCTCAGAAATACTACATCTTTCTACAGTGAATTTAATGGAGACAAATGTTTTGATATGAGAATTTGTTGTCCAATTTTCACATTCATTCACTTGTGTGATGTGACACAGTTTGCCAAAAAATTTACAATTTTTATTATATGAGATCTTATTGTAAGTAATATAGATAGTACCAGGTACTAAAAAAAACTGAAATTAAAAATGATGCTGGAAGGGGTTTGTTTGTCTTTTTGCCACAATTTATAGTTTGGCCTTTGAAAAACTTGCTTAGCCACTGGAAATGTTTGAACAGGCTGAAGAGAGAGACAAAATAAATCCAGATTACCATTTTTTAAATGGGACAAAAAGTTTTGAAGAGAGGAGTCCCAGGTTTTCAAAGTCAGTGATGTTGAAAAGTTAAAGTGCTCTTGTGTGGTAGAAATTGAATTCAGATTAAGATGCCAAAGTCAAGTGAAGATCTTCAACTTCTGTATTTATATAAATTTATTTACAACATTGTGTTCTAAAATCAGCTGTACATAAAAATTTTAAGCCACATAAACAAAATAGGTTTCAGATAATATATAACACCAGGGTACCTCATCAAGAAAATTGTATTGAGGCAGAGGAAACAGACATTGAGAAGCAATGACATTGTTGATTTATGAACTAAAACTAAACACCGACAGTGCTGGGTGATCATATAATGCCCTTTGTACATTGCATTTAATGATAAATTGGCAAATTATCAACATGTCAAGCTAAAATGTGCAATACTTCTTAAACTTTTGTTGTTTTATGTTCCCTGTAAATTTTGTAAGCACAGCCTCCATATTATTATCCATATTATTGATTTTATTGCATCAGTCCACAAACTTTTTGATTACCCCTCATATATGTGGGTTTTTAAGTTTATTGATATAAATTTATGAGTATTTGGATTTTCTTTCAGACTTGCTCAAAGTGCAAGAAGAGAATGCGCTGCACAAAAAGTTTTTCCATACAACGATTTCCTACCATATTGGTATTACGTATCCTTAATGAATCATGGAAATATTGGGTTGCTTTACTGACAAATATATCATTGTTCTACACTTTTATTAATGATAGAAATGATCTCACTGTATCACATTTAGAAAAATCATTGGAAATGTCATGAGAATTTTGATATTTAATACTTGAAATTGTGAGTGGACAATTCTAAGAAGTGTTTTATTTTATTAGACAATAAATTATGCACAGCTACTTGTAAATGTATTCAATGTCTTTTGAATTACAAAAGATACAATATATTCCATACCCTATATCTGACAGTTAAAAGAAAATGTCTGGAACATTCTAGTTTGTATGTAATTTAAGAATAACAGTATATGTGTAGTTTAAAGCTCTGTCACCTACTGATGTGCTATTAGACTGTTCCTTAACACCATACAGATTTAAAAAGATTTAGTCAGGGCAGATACAGCCAGAAAGTGTCCACATGTATCGACTTTCCACAAGTTCTGGACATGACAGAATACTCATCAGAAAAAGGTGAATATATACATGTATATTACCATAGGAAGTTGCACATCAAATATTAGGGATGAAAAAAAAATATTGAAATCTTTGTACCAAGGATGAGATGATTTTCTTCCTTGCAATCCAATCTGTTTTTGATAATTGAAGAATATTTTAACAGGCATAATGTGCTGTGGCAGTACACTTTATTAGGAATGGTCAAGCATTTCAGCTTACAATTTCTTTTTGATGGATAATTTGCAGGTGGAAAGCGAGTCTTGTACAATCTGTATGGAGTCAGTAATCACAGTGGAGGGGTACATTCAGGTCATTATACAGCCACCTCTAAACATCCCTACAGTGGAGAGTGGCATGTTTTCAATGATACTAGGTATGTTATACATATTTACAGTATAAATAATGGCAGTTTGGGATTTTTGTTGTTTTGATTTTTGAGTTGTTTTCTGTGGACAATTTTTTCTAGGAAAAGCATGTAGTAAACTTAAGGTGCATAGTGCTTTTAGGTTTAACACTATGTGCAAAAAATAAATTTCTCTTTTGGTTCAAAATGATTTTATACTTCCTTTCACAGAGAAGCATAATTTGACCACCCCTCATTTTGTCCCATTTCTTGTGTTTTCAGGGTCAGCCCAACAAGTGCTAGTCGAGCAGTTTCTTCTGAAGCTTATCTCCTGTTTTACGAGCGCACCTTTGACACATCTCGTCTATGATTGAAGTCGGTAGAAAGCTTAGGAAGTAGGAAAGTGTATCAGCATTAAATGTGCAGTTTATTATTAATCATGACACTAATTATCAGCACTTTTTGGTAAATGAATATAAATCCTCCTCCTTTCCAATATCCATTCTATCATACATGGATCTGTCCTATCACTTCTTGTGATATTTTTTCCTGGTTTCTTCTGAAATGTTTAAATACATGTATATTTTTCTTGGACAGTTCAGATTATATGTATTTCAATGGATGTATGTCTTTTCAGTTCAATTTCTCTAAATTGTAATTCATTTTCTCACACACCTAAGGAATTTAATATGCAAAACTGCATCTCTCAGATGCATTGTTAAATGAAATTGGTCTATGCATTATCATAGATTTGTATATATCAAATTGTTAGTGGTTGTTATGAAATATTGCTGTTTGTTACTGTTATCATCTCTAACAATAGATAAAGGTCAAAGTTGACAAGGCGATGAATCGAAGTATTATTGTGAGTTTGTGATTCATATCACAGATAAGAAAAAAAAAATACACTAAAGAAATGAACATGTGTAGGTTGTATTTGTTATTGTTGGACGTTATTACTGCTTGTAGAAGCTCTGCTTTAATACACATACATTGTATATTGAAAACTGATCTGTACAGTGTTGGTTTTAATTTAATTAACTTATTGGCATGTTGATGAGTGAATGACATTGTACTTTAAATGTATGAAAGCATAGAACACACAGTATATTGCTGTTTGCTGTTGGTAGGCCATGTAGAGCACAACTTTTCATATTTTGGAGATTTAAAAGGAACAAGCAGTCTGTGATACATTATTTAAGGCACAGTTTGAGCTTTATTATTGTTTTTAGTTGCACAAAGAGAAAATATGGAGATATTCTCTGGTTTTATATATTGTACTAGAAGGTAAAAGAAATATTCATATATACATGTACATTTGATTATGAATGATAGATAGATGATATTGAAAATATTTTGAAATTGTTTTAAATGACCCTAGAATAACATTTAATATGTGTTTCCTTTCCTAATGCAGAAGTGTTATTAAATTGACTTCATTTTTATCAACAGGATGAAATCTTATTGTTTTGGTTTAATATGAAATTTCATGTGCTTCCTTTTAATACTTAAAATTCTTTTTACACATTTTTAAATCTTGTACAACATTGTATAGAACATATAATGTAGTTCAGAATAAACAAAATCTAGTGTGTCTTGTTCTGACACAGTTATAGTTACACTGTTGTTGAGCACAAAGTGAAGATATTTTACATCAGAACAAATTTTATATCATGAATTGTTTTATCAGGTGTTTTGGTGTTTTACTTGTATTACAAAATGTTATCATATTTTACTAATTTAAGTCCATTTTAAAGTTTGATATTGGCACATAATGGCATTTATTGTTGAACGGTTTGCCCTTCTTGCTAGCTTGTTTTTTTTTCATACATTGAATTGTTTGGGTATATTGGCATGTCAATCTATATTTTAAAAAAAAGTTATTGTGATCAGTGCTTTACTCATAGATGTATTTATTCTTTGATGATTAAATTGTCCTTAATTTTTTTTTTTTTTTTTTTTTTTTTACATGTATCCATATTTTGTCATGAATGTGACATTTGACACAAACCGTCCATTTGTTTTGTTTTTCTTGTGTTTAGTCATTTTACCTTTGTGTACCTAAGTATTTAAAGATTATTTTGTTGCATTCTTTTGTGTTCATTCTTAAGAGGTCATCTATATGTTTCTTTTTAAAAATTCACTTAATGAAGTTTTCTTAGCTGTATACTTTGTAGATATATCCTTGAAGTATACATTTACATTGTATACATTTAATAGCAAATTTGAGACAGTAGAATTCTAAATTTTATTTAATTTTTTTTAAAAACGATATACTAAAATTAAATGTTTCTACATGTACAATCATCAAAATAATCATGATTTCGTTCTTTTCTTTGGAGGGGGGAGGGGGTTCTTTTTCCTTAATTGTAAATATGTGGGTATGAACAGAATATTTCATTATGTATTTAATACTTGTTTATTGTACCTTCATGTCAAATGAAAAGTTTGATTTAATACTACATGTAAATGAATGTTGATTACATACATGTATTTCAAACATTAAAAGTTACTCTTTCAGTGCTCATTACTTAGTTCTCAAGATAGTTTGGTAATACATGCACATGTGTACATTTTAAAAGGAAAAAAAAAACATGTAATTTGAGCAGGAAAAAACAACAGCTAAGCATCATTAATGACAGTATAGAGATTTAGTTAGAAATGATACAAGTTAATATTGCGTTGAATTAATTCTGTTTACATTAGTTACGTGTATATGATGTATCATATTTTTAACAATTTTCAAGGATCATATTTCTGTATATTATAGATAGCAAAGCAGTGAAACATTCTGTCCACAAACTGATGAAACTAGAGGATACTATGTATCCCAGCAAAACAAGTTCAGGGGATTTCCAGAATGATATCTTTTAGGTTCACTTTGTAATGGGAAACATCGGAAGGTCATTTAATATACATGATCAAGATCAAAGGTCATTTTGATAAGGAACAAATCAATTTCATTTAAAAGACCAGCAATGTAAAAAAAAAATAAAATTCTGTGTTCAAAAAGTGTATACTTGATACAACAAAAGATACATACATGTATTACGAGAAAATGGGTAACGGACATTAGTAAGGTCATTGAAAACAGTCAAAAGGATCGAGAGTAAAATTGTCATGCAGATCATAAGTTGGTAAAAATTTATGTGTTTACTTGAACATTTGCTTATAATAAGCATGATATGATATTGGTTCAAAGCCATTTGGACAAGATTACAGGAACTGAAAATGTGGTACTCTTGTCACAATACAAGGACTAAGTTTGATTACACAAACTGACCTTTAAAGTTCTACTTTAAAAGGTCTTCATGATGTCTTATTACTTGGTACATGTAAATATGCATTGTTTTCAGTGCATGGATTTATTGGTCCAGTAAGGACATTTTTATTTTGTTTCAGATTTTATGTTTAAAAGTGGGGGACTTAAACAAATACAGGAATTTTACCGCATGGATAATGGGTACATGCGTAATTTATACATATATTAAATTGTGAATATTTTTATACTGCTCTGAATAGAGTTAAAATTGTTACTTTCTTAGATTGAATAATTATTATTCACTTGCCTTTAATAAATACAGTCATCAAATTTTGTGATTTTACTTACATGTGTATATTTTCTACAGACCAGAAAAAGACTCTTTATCTTTTTAAAAAAAGGATAAAATTGAACTTATTCTATGTCTTTGAATCAGAACAAGACCTACAAATGGCTTTCGTCTCTGCAAACCAATTTCTCAAATCTGAATGGCCACAATCTGTGTACTGATATGAAAATGGTCAGTACCTGTGGTGGTCAGTGAGGTTGCAACAGTGGTGATGTCCATCTCTGAAAATGAAATATAGCGATATGTGTATCATATCGCCTAATAGTTGTTCATTGTTTCGGCATCTGTACCCAATCCACTACACTTCTAGTAGCTGCAAATTTTCGATACAAAATTAACTTGCAATTGTTGTGTGGTGTCTGTTAAATGTTGTGGCTTCCTGTAGTATGTATACATTTTTAGCTCTTCTGAGCCAAAGGCTCAAAGAGCTAATGCTATGGCCATTTGTGCGGTGTGCAGTGTGCGTAAACTTTTTAGAATATGGGCCATAACTCAAGAACCTCTTGGCCGATTATTGTCAAATTTGTCACAGGGTATCCTTGGCCAAAGGGCTTCCGTTTATACTAAAACTAGGGTTGTGACCCTTAAACAAGGGGAGATAATTAAGAAAATAGAAAAAAAAGTACTGGTTGCTAAAAAAATCTTCTTCTCAAGAACCACTGGGCAGATTATCACCAAACTTACACAAAAGGATGAGGATATGTTGTAGATTAAAATTTCCACGGGGATTTACCCTGGGGCAAAGGGCGTGCTCTCAAGGTCACTTAAAAGTTTACCAAAAATTACATTTTATTAAAATATTGATATTTTGCTTACTATAAGGACTAGGATCATCAAGTCTTGTCAGTTGATGCATCTGAGGACCTCATATCATGTTGACTCAAAAGTAGGTCACAGTGACCTACTTTTTAAATTTGTGGCCATTCTTTTACAAAATGATTTAGAGGCATATTTTGAACAATTTAAGGCCTGTGATCATCAAACTTTGTCAGTTGATGTATCTTGGGTCCTCGGAGTACGTCAACTAAAAAGTAGGTCACCTTGACCTACTTTTTTAATTTTATGGCTAATCGTTTTCAAAACAATTAAGGTCAATAATTCAAATACTGAGAGGTTTAGAATCATTAAATCTTGTAAGATGATGCATCTTGGAGTCATAAAACATATTTATGAAAAAGTAGGTAACAGTGACCTACTTTTTGAACTTTGCAGGCATTCGATTTCAAAGCGTTTTAGAGGCATGATTTGGACATTTTAAGACCTATGATCATAAAACTTTGTAATTTGATGCATCTTGGGTCCTCAAAAAACGTCAACTGAAAAGTAGGTCACTGTGACCTACTTTTCAATTTATATGACTATAATAAAATATTTCGGGTACCAATTGGCTTAGAATCATCAAATTTTGTCAGTTGATGCATCTTGGGTCTTCGAAGTAAGTCGACTGAAAAGTAGGTCACCATGACCTACTTTTGAAAATTTATGGCTTTAATTAAATATTTCAGGAACTAATTGGCTTAGAATCATCAAACTTTGTCAGTTGATGCATCTTGCGTCCTTCGAGTATGACAACTGAAAAGTAGGTCACCCTGACTTACTTTTGATATTTTTATGACTGTATATAATATTTTCGGTACTATTAGGCTTAGAATCATCAAAATTTGTCAGTTGATATATCTTGGGTTCTTGCAGTAGGTCGACTGAAAAGTAGGTCACCATGACCTACTTTTCAATTCATATGACTATAATTAAATACTTCAGGTACTAATTGGCTTAAAATCATCAAACTTTGTCAGTTATTGTATCTTGGGTCTGCAGAGTTAGTCAACTGAAAAGGTCACTGTGACCTATTTTTGAAATTTACTGGCTTTATTTAACTATATCAGGTACTTATTGGCTTAGAATCATCAAACTTTGTCAGTTTGTGCATCTTGGGTCCTCAAAGTATGTCATCTGAAAAGTAGGTCACTGTGACCTACTTTTGAAATTTTATGGTTATAATTTTAAAAGTATTTTAGGTATTAATTGCCATAGAATCATCAAACTTAGTTGATGCATCTTGGGTCCTCAGAGAATGACAAGTGATAAGTAGGTCACCATGACCAACTCTCAGGTACTAATTGGCTTAGAATCATCTTGGGTTCTCAGAGTGTTTCATCTAAAATGTAGGTCATGATGACCTACCTTTGGAATTTCAAGGGTTTATCTAATTATACAGAATACTTAGAGGCTTCAAATAGAAGTGATAGGTTGTACAGTTTATCAGAAGAGCGATTCAAGGCCCTTAGGCCTCTTGTTATACCTTGTAATCTGCATCATTTTTAAACTAGGAGAATTTTGTTTTTTTTTCACAACCCAAAGGAGCAAACTTTAGACACCATACTGACAGCCCTATCACATTCTTCTATGGCCAAATGTCGCATAAGGTGTTAATTTTTTCCTGAGTTTTTTTTTGCGATATTAAGGTGTATATCATCTGTCTGTCTCTAAACAATTTTCAAAATGCTACTCCTCGTACAGTTTTGGTCTAATTTCAGTATTACTTGACATACAAGTAGATCACACTAAGATACATAATCCTGTGCATTGGTTTTGATTTTGGTGGGTGGTGTTGCCCTGGTTTAAGTAAAAATGGAAATTTCTGTGAAATACTTTCAAAATGCTACTCCTCCTACAGTTTAGGTTGATTTCAATATAACTTGGCACACAAGTAGACTCATACCAAGACACACAATTCTGTGCACCCTTTTTTAGCTTTATGCCCTACATTATCAGAGATGCTTCTGGTAGGTTTCATTTTACCAGTCAAGGTTTCAGATGCTGCAATTTCAGAAAGACCAGGTTAATGTTGTTTCTGGAGCAAGTTAAAGTTTTTGGAGCAGGTCTCATTTCCAAGTATTTGTAAGTGCACCTATTTTGACCTAACTTGCATGATTGATACATCTAAGGATATACACTACCAGGCTTGCTTTGGATGCTGGATCTGACCTACATTTTCCAGATGAGTGCCCTGGTTAAGTTTTTTGGAGCAGGTTAATTTTTAAGTAACTATAAGCCCTATAATGACCAAACTTGCATGGATGATACATCTAAGGATGCAAACTGCCAAGCTTGCGTCGGATGCTGGATCTGACCTACATTTTGCGGATGAGTGACAAGTTAAAGTTTTTGGAGCAATTTCTTTCTAAAGTAACTATTTGCCCTACCTGGACAAAACTTACATGGATTATGCATATAAGGATGCACACGGATGGAATTGCTTTGGATGCTGAATTTGACCTACATTATCCAGATGAGTGACCATGTTAAAGTTTTTGGAGCAGTTTCTTTCTAAAGTTACTTTAAGCCCTCAGTTTCTTTCTAAAGTTACAATAAGCCCTATGCTAACCAACTTTGCACTGAAGATACATTTATTGATGCACTCTACCAGAGTTATTTCAGATGCTGGATTTGGCCCATTACATTTTCCAGAGAAGTGGCCAGGGTAAAGTTTTTGGAGCAAGTTCATTCCAAAGCAACTGTAAGACCTACCTGGACCAAACTTGCATGGATGATGCATCTAGGGATGAACACTTCCAGACTTGCTCCAGATGCTGGATCTGACCTATATTTTCCTGCTGAATGACCAGAATAAAATTTTTAGAGCAGGTTCATTCCAAATTAACTTCAAAACCTACCTGAACCAAACTTGCATGGATGATGCATCTACGGATGCACACTACAAATTACATGTATTAGATAAGTGTGGAACTTTGCCTTACTTAAAGACAAATTTGTTGAGGTGAGCTCTGTAATCTCTGATTATCTATGTTTGATTTTGGCAAGTGGTGTTGCCATGGTTACTAAAAATAGAAATTTCTGTGAAATACTTTCAAAACGCTAATCCTCCTACAGTTTTGGTCTGATTTCAATATAACATGGCACACAAGGAGAATTCAAACTCAGGTGAATAATTCTGTATCTCAGTATTTTGATTTCAAATAATGGTGTTGCCATGGAAACTAAAAATAAAAATTTCAGTAAAATACTTTCAAAATGCTACTCTTCCTACAGTATTGGCCTGATTTCAATATAACTTTGCACACAAATATACTACACTGATATACACAATTCTATATATCAGTTTTTGATTTTGGCCATAGACCTAAAGCTATGTTTTGATGAACAGTGTTGCCAAGGTTACTAAAAAAAGAACTGTGAAATTTTTTCAAAAGGCTATTCCTCTAGCAGTCTTAGTCTGGTTGCAATAAACTTTGCCACAAAAAAAGACTAAACCAAGGACTCTTAATCTATTTTTTACTGTTGCATAGTTTCAAGTGCAAGTTTCTCGTGTAATAAGTACAAAATAGTAGAGCTACAGTCTTGTCAAAGACTTCTGGTTGAGTTTAGTGAATAGCATTGTCTTGGTTATTAAAAATAGAAAATTATGTGAAATTCTTTCAAAAGGCTATTCCTCTAACAGTATAAGTCTGATTTTAATATAACTTGGTATACAGATTACACTAAGATACATAATTCTGTGAACCGTTTGTCAATTTCAGTAAACGGTGTTGCCTTGGTTACTAAAAATAGAAATTCTGTGAAATTCTTTCAAAACACCATTCCTCCTACAGTTTAAGTCTGATTGCACTCCAATTTGGTACACAAGAGGTTTCTGATTTCATTGAACAGTGTTGCTTTAATTGTTTACTAAAAATAGAAATTTCTGTGAAATTCTTTCAAAATGCTATTCCTACAGTCTAAGTCCAATTTCAAAATACCTTTGTACACAGGTTGACTGCACTAAGATACATAATTCATTGTATCAGTTTTCATTTCAATCAACGGTGTAGACATGGATACTAAAAAGAGAAATTTCTGTGAAATTCTTTTGAAGACTACTCCTACTACAGTTTTTGTCCAATTGCAATTAAAATTGACTCAGAAAGAGACTAAACCAAGGATCATTATTTTATTTTTTGCTGTTATCATAGTTTCAGGTCTAAGTTCTACCTTTCTCTACCATTGTTAATCAAGTAAAAACCAGTAGAGCTAGTCTCAGCAGAGACTTCTGATTATATTTTATTAATCACTGCAACATTATTCATTGAAATTTTAATGTGTCCCATGGTGTAGTCTGTTCTAAATTTTGAATTTACTGGATGGGAGTAAATACAAAATTTAGAACATGAAAACTGTTCTCAATACACAATTACAAGTCACTAGGTAATCTATTTGGAATCAAAATCTCTGCAGATTTCTTTTAATGGGACTTCAATTCAAATCTCAAGTGGATTCATAAGAAAATCCACCTGCTTTTCATGGGCATTGTACTCACAAAAATGAATTCCAAGATTAGAATGAGTATATTTTTTTTAATTTGCTGGACATTTAATATGACATTAAATTATTCTAGATTTTCATGTCAGAGCTACACAACAGTTTGTACATGAGATAAAAGTTTATACATAGTTGCAAGACAAATGATCAACAGAGTATATATATATATATACCTGATACTTGTATACTTTCAGATGTGTATTCAGAAACTCTCCATGCCTAATTTTATCTAAAATTTAACATATAATTTCTTTAAATTTAGCTAGAGAGGAATATCAATTTGAACTAGTCTATATGAAGTGAAGTAAAGAAACTAATTTGACAGAAAACATTTTTATACAGTAATACATGTACATGAATGTTCTTTTTTCATATTTACCGGTAATAGAGCTACAAGTAATTCTTTGAGAAGCTGATGACTTATTTAAACATTTATTTACGAAAAAAAATGTAAATACATGTAAACATATCAAACATTCAATGTGCTTCTGTGTGACAGATGACTGTGACCAAGAATTTTTATTGGATGACAGTGTTTTCAATGTAAAATAGAACATAATCACCAAGTTAAAAAAAATTGTGAAAATTATGTCATTTGATAATATATACTCTGTGCAAATACTTTTTTCTATTTTTGATTTATTCATATTAACGTAAATAAAGAACTTCCAAAAAAAAAAATATAAAGGCAATTTGGAAACAACATCGATTAATTAAAATGGTAGGCAGTTCAGTTGAAATACATTAGTCAAAGCATACATGGAGAATATTACCTAGTTGACAGAATTGACTAGAAATGAAATTTATGGCAAATAGCACCTAACTTAACCCTAAACTTTGAAAATAATATGACAGTTTGATAAAACTTTAATATCATCATACAAGTAAATATTTAATGGTGGTCTTTTTTAAGTCTCACTATCCTCACAACATCAGGAATCCCAAGTCCAGGTGTGGTCGTGGAACCCCTGACAAACTTCCTTCGATAAATTTCATCGACATCTTTCAGAAAAATTACAAATTTTGATTGTTTTTCATACCATGTTAAGCCTTTCCCTGATAACAACTTGGAACATTTTCTGTTTATGTTTCATGTCAACTTATGAAAGCCCCAATTTGATTGGTGCTTCTCAATGAGAGAAGCAAGTCTGTAAAAAAAAAAAACAAATGAAGGGGTCCCACAACCACATGTGGACTTGGGATCTCTGAAGTCGTGAGGATGATGTCTTATTGGAGAGATAGTAAAAGCAATACCTGTATAGATTATGTTCCATATATGCCTAAAATGGTACAAAAAACATTATTTTAAAAATCTTTGTCTGCGAACATAACACTTTTTATTTAGCACATGATCGAAAAAGATATGTAATGAAAATTCAAAAAATTACACTAGCTGAAAAAACTATGTTGGTCCTTACACATACAGATGTACCAGTACATGAATTTGGAAAATGGAGCTGTTTAACAGTAGATCATTCTAATAATTATTTTTTTGAAAATTCAATTTAAAAATCTAATTTAGCTATACATAATGTATTTCATTTTAACATGATAACAGTGAATTCAACAAGTGTAGTAACACATGAATATACCCAATACGGGTTAAATCTAAGACATGTATTTTTCCAGGGACTTATTGCTATGTAAGTACATGGGTCCCTGCTTCTAGTGTATGTGGTGAATACTATGTACCAATTCACACTCATCATCTTTAAATCTGTTGTGTAAATTAATGATAGAAGGTATCTGATAATCAGGCAGTTTAATTCTAATTGCTGGATACATGTATTTACAAATTATTACTTTGTGGCCAATGATTATCATTTACTGGTCACTACATTTCCTCTAGCATTACACAGTTGTTACTTTCTCAAAGTCTCCAAGCAAGACCATTGCTTGACATTTAGACCTTTTATCCTCTGTCAGTATGAAGTTCAATAGTTCTGATTTAAGTTAAAGTTTTGGACTTACAGAGAAATGAATCAAAGACAAAACCTCAATAATAAGCGAGTTCACGACATGAAAGAAAATGGCAGTGATGCATCAAACAGCTGAATGTTAACAAGCTTATTTTTATTTTTTCTGAAAAAAAAAGAATGTTTGGATGTACATACATGTAGCATTTGTGATATCTACCATGTTTTAGAGAATAATTACCTTCTCATTTTTTATTTGCAACTATTTAATGCTGATTTCATGGTCACAGAGTTTTACCACTGCAACACATCAGTGGAGCAGGTAAAACAGATGTTTGTGACCGTTAAAGCGGGATTAATGGTTGCAAATTACAAATGAGAAGATATTTATTTCCATTCTAATGCAATTTATGGTTATGTCTTATTCTGTTGAGTTTTATTATACAAAATACATCACAAAGTATTGTGTTTTTGCATCGTTCTATTATGACATAGTATAAAGCTTTCATTCTCTTAAATGCTCATTTATCTGCCTTAAACACCAGTGCATTGGTCACTCAAAATGCAGACTACAAAACAGCTGCATAAGAATGTGTATTTTATCTGACAAACAGCTTTAAAATTAGTTACTTCTACAATAGGCAATAAAATGCAACTTATCTATTGGCAATGAAATTGGTCAAACATACTGTAGATTCCTAAATATAAGCGAGGAATCTATTATCGCGTCATTTTGCAAGAAGCATCATTCACTCAATAAAATTACTCGCTTTTATTCTTATATTGCTGAAATCCATGTAAAAGGTCGTAATGAAACAAACACTTTCTAATTCATATTCTCATGATTTGTCGTCTATAAGTCATCTCACAATATAAAGTACTAATATAAAATAAGAAATCTAAAGTAACAGGCAAAAAAGTCAGATCAGATATTGAAGACTTAATGTTGGTTTTATATTAAAAAAGATATCAATCCAGCTTTTTAAGAGCAAATCAATGAATTTTCTTTCCTATTAAACAAGAAATTAGGCAAACTGGGATTTTCCACTGCCCCCTTTAGGGCTGTATTTGGGCCCCATTCCCAATTGCAAAAACCCTCCCCTTTTCCTAAAAAATGAACTTTGTGTTCAATATTCAAGTGCACAAAAACTTAACACCCTTTAGGGCTGAATTTGGGCCCCATTCCCAATTGCAAAAACCCTCCCCTTTTCCCAAAAAATTTAAATTTTTTGTTCAATATTTAAGTGCAGAAAAACTCAACAAACTTGATAGGATCAGAATACATGTAAAATAAGCATGGTCAAAGTTGGAAATGAATGAAATTACTAAAATTTTAAGAAGCATGGTTCTGATGATGACTTCCAGATTGTTAGTAAGTTTAATAATAAAAGATCAAATTTATTCATCATAAGTATTTAATTCTTTAAAATTGTCAAGTGATATAATTTTCCAATTACTGACAAAATGGCAAATAATTCCCAAGGGCCCAGGCCCCAAAATGGAGTGGAAAATCCCTGGCATATCTCGCTAGTATTTTTTTTTTTGTACCGGGTATTGTAAAACTTTTTATCATGCATTTTGCTATCTTTGAAATTTAAAATGTAAATGTACATCCAAGAACAAAGAGTACCAGGTAAAATAACCATCCACACTAAAATGATACACGTGACAATACTTGCACCAAGCTTACCATGTTTCACAGCATAACAACTAGCAATAGCTTAACATAAAAAGCACTTTTGATACATGGCACAATTCTGGAAATTTAATTGACTACATTAGCTTAGCCGCCTAGAAAATCTGAATGAGTTTGCTTTGCAAGAGATCTGTAAGATTTGCATATGGGGCACAACAAACATTAAAATAGCACATCTTTCATTAAAATTTTAAGACATGCAGTGGATAACAATACATAGTAGTTTCTTTTATAATTATATTTAACAGAAAAAAAACATGCATCAGAAAACCTAATAAAGACAGGCATTCTGATATATTCTCTTTTGTAACAAACCAGACTTTAACAACAACAAATTCCTTGAACATGTTTTAACAGGTTCAACTAAAATATTTTAACATTAAATAACAGTTCCTGACAAATGTATGGGTGTAACTATAAAGGCAAACATTTGTCAGCAGTCAGACTGCAGAGCCCACTAAGAGTTGACAACAGCTGTGGGCAGAGGGCTGTTCTGTATCGTAACCTGTGACCTTTCACCTCTGGTGTCATCCATGTGAAAACTGATCACCTCTGCAACTTGGCTTTCACATGGTTGTCCAAGGTTTCCTTTGGATATCCCTTGGTTTTCCTTTTTAATGTTCATCTGTAAATGACAAGGATCTTTATCAGTAACCTCGTCATCAGCAAGTTCATCTTTCACTTGACCATCACTCAATAAAGCTGTATCCTCTTTTCTGCAGGAACTGGAAATATCATCATCTAATGAATGCTCCTCCATCTCCTTTTTGTCAAATTCACTATATTTGTCAGAGTCCACAGACTTCTCTGGTGAAAATTCCCTGTCAGTACTGCCAGCAACACTGGAATCACAATTCATCTCCAGATTCACAACCTCGTTTTGACTAGCATCTTCCACACCTCCCAAAGGAACCTGATCCCCAACCCCAAAATGGACATCATCACAACCTTTTTCTAGATGGTTATTTTGTTCTTCATTGTTCATTTGAACACTGTCATCCCCAGGTGAAGAATTTTCCTGATCAACAGATGGACTAGGGAATGGGTCTGTGCCCTGTCTGTCTGTCTGCTTATCTGTAACAGTGTCTTTTGGTTTAATGTCATCTGCACCTTCTTTGTTATTTTCATGATTATTCACATTTTCTTTCCCATTCTTTAATTTGGCCTCTCTTGTATCTGAAGTATTATTGTTATTTTCACTGTCAATATTGTCATTTTGCTTCTTAATTCCCGTAAAGTTTGCCCCTTCTTCTAATTTGCTTTGTTTGGTCTCGTCAACAGGTTCCGTCTTTGAACTGTCCCCTTTCGTGTTGATTGTATTATCAACTTCATATCCTAAACAAAGATTTTTTTTAATGTTTATATAAAAACTTGATTGATAAATACATGTAGCAAGCAATGATAAAGAATCTTTATGGATTGCTCAATACAAATCTGTTGGGACAGAATTTTGTGATTTATTTATATCAATGGATCATAGCAGTGTTCCTCATTTATATAATAAAGCATGATCTTCTTCAGGGCCATCCAGGGCTTGACATTAACTTTTTTCCCTACTTGTCCATTTGGACAAGTGACAAAGGCAATAACTTGTCCAAACTTCAACTTCACTTGTCCGAAAATTTGTCAATAAAGATCTAATACTGTCAACTGGAAAACTAAAAATAAAGTCCATTACATGTGCATGATGTTATTTAAAATACAACAAAAACATAAAACAAAATTTTATCTAGACTTTCTGTCTTGACAACATAAATGCTGTCAAAATTTAAACAGAATCCAAACTTCGTAAGACTGTAAAGGTAGGTTCAATGCCTTTGCAGTAGTATGCAATTAGTGAACTTCGATCCCAATTGAGTGTGAACTCAACTACATAGCGATCCATATCGGGATGAAGTTCAGTTTTATGTACCGTTTCCGTCTTTAAAGTACCGGTAAACTTTCAACAGTCATTCTTTTTAATATTTAGAGACTTCTTTACATTAAAATGCACTTGTCCAATCAGACAAGTGCCCAGCAATATTCACTTGTCCGTACTTTTTTTTTTCACTGGTACCGGACAAGCGGACAAGCGTTAATGTCGAGCCCTGCCATCACATATTTTGTAGGGGATTCTCAAAGTCCAGGAATAGTACAGAGTGAAACATTAATATATTATTTTACACTATTAATTTACCTGTCTTGATACTTGCAACAAATTGAAAAAGCAGAAGAGTTAAAATTTATTTTACACATTTCCCTACTTATCTAAGAGAAACACAAAGCCTTTCATAAAGTATACATACTCTTGAAAAAAATATATATGAAATGATCTGTTTCATGTTATTTTTTTTACATCGAGATTGTACTCAATGGGTAAGGGGTACCTATGCATAAGATGAAAGTCATAAAAATCAAATCCTCAAAGTTATACTGATTCCACAGAACTTACTTTTCTGATCTGTAGTAACAGGCATTAGGTGTGTTATGGAGTGCTTTCTGGCCTTCCTCTTTCTGCTGCCCACAACTGGCTCAGAAGGAAGATCCTCAGCTTTTACTTTCAGATGAGGTGGTATGATCAACTTTATTTCAGGTGCTAAAAATAACAATTTTTTATTTGAAGGTGGATAGGTGTTTAAAAATGGATACCTTGCTTATAAGATAAAGATCTTGTTCCTGTTTGTTAGGCTTGACATGAAACTTTTTTAAGATGCTAAAACTTTATACAGAAATGTTTGAATTTTTAGGTGCAATGTTCATGAAACTAGGACATAAGATTCACCAACTTCAAAACTACAGCATTCTAGCAATAACTTTCTTCTTTGTTTCAGGATAACATACATGTACATTTTGGAAAGAAAGAATTAACTCTTTGCAATCACACAATCACTGTTCCAAGAGGTATGCCATGCAACAAATTCTGAAACTAAAATTACTGTTACTGCTTCTACATATACAATTACTGTCACGGTTTATACATACTAGAATTACTGTCGCTGCTTATGGACGAAGTGCGACTCTCTGATGTGGTCCTTGGCTTCGGAGCTGTCTTCTTTGGTTTAGCTACCTTCTCCAAGGAACAGGCAGGGAGAGTTGCTATGTGGGCTTCCAGGTCAAAATCTCTACCAAAATTGCAATGCAAAAGTTCACAAATAAGAACTTGGCAATAAATAAAATCCTTTCAGAAGAACCTTTAAATTTCCTCTGAAGCTTTTATTATCTATTTTTAGTATTTACCCTGTTTTGTATCTGCTACTGTCTTCTAGTCGGACTTTCTCCGACTCTGATTGTGTTCTCTTCCTAATTTGTCTAGGATACACAGACAGAACGTCAAACCGCAGGTGCTCTCTTGGATTGAAGTTAATCTGCTCCTCTTCCCTGAGTTCACTGCAATTGAAAAAATAACTGGTAAATTATACTTTAAATCATTTCATTGGTAGATTAAATCATGCTTGGACCTCTTGGTAGATAAATCTGTTCCCACATTGATTGTGACTGAATGATTCTTAATACCTGTCTCTTTGTAAAGTCATTTGCTCTTCTTTGGCAGCTTCTTCTGGTGATTTGGTGACTGTCTGTCTGTCTTTTGAGGGCTGTATGATTCCTTCGTTAATTAGTTCCTGATAGCGCTGTCCTCTATTACGACGTTTTGACTTCCTCACAGGCTGAAGGTCATTTTCTCCGTCATCATCCATTACATCACTGCTTGAATCCCCCTTCTTAAAATAAGGGTTCACAAAAGGCTGCAAGGTGCTCATTTCTGGTGTGTCTTTAAAACCTTCAGAGTAACACCTTTTTCTTTTATATCCAGACCATGATGACATCTCATTCTTTATCATATCAGAGTCATTCAGCATAGCAGACTTCCTTGGATCTACCCATGAACTTTTAGGTGCATCCAATCCAGATCCCAGACACATCTGTTGATTAATAAGCAGTTTCTTTTCCAACTCATCCCTAGACACAGAAAGGTCATGTAAAAGTGACCTTTCCCTCTGTTTATCTGTCAGCATTGTAAACTGACCACTTCTTGGTTCAGCTAGTGAGTTCTCTGATTTTGAGTAATAGAGTTGATCGATGATGGAGTCCATCACCATTTTCCCACAGGCGACAACAGTATTTCTGTCCTCTTTCTCTGGGCTGTGTTCTGGGTCTGATCCACTCACATTCTGACTTTGTTGAGATAAAGTTCTACCAGTTTCCATATTGGTCATCTATATAACAAATTCAATTCTGTATGTAATTTACCAAAGTTTAGCTTTGAAAGGTCCTACATTGCCACCCTTTTCCTATTTTTAACATAGAAGGTATGTAGCTGGGCTTGAAAACATGAAAGGACAGAATAATTAGATTAATAAAATAAAAGTACTGGTACTTCAAGGTCAGGGCAATAATTGATCATAAGTGTAGTTGCAACTTAATAGTACTGTATACAACGTTACCAGCTTAAAATCGTAAATTCTTATAGGCCTGGGCCATTATTTACTTTGCATTAAAAAAACTTTCTCAATTTTCAAAGGATGGGGCATATTGACAACCGTCTGGCTTCAACGACTTCAACTAACCTTTTCTCTTGCAGGCTGCATTGCTGGGATAGCATTGGTTGGTTTAGATGGATTTTGTTGACCAGCCATAAATAAGAGGCTCAACCCACCCATATTAGAAGGATCTATATGAACAAAAATGAGTATTTATTTGTACTAGTTCTAATTTCTTGTTTTTTAAGACTTCAGTCAGTACCAATTCTTTGCAATTTTTTTTTTCACTTAAATTTTCATTGCCTTTCTTCAGTTTTGTTTAATTTTTTTTATTTAAAATGAGATTTTTTTTTTAACATAAGAATCTCCTAAAAAAAAATCTGTATATCCCTATATTTCAATTCTACCTGCTAACTTCCCAGGAGTAATTGACTGGTCAGCTCTTGAAAAGTCAAAGTTTTCTTGCCCTATGCCTTTTGTTGGAGACCTGGGTAGAAGACCAGCTGGGTGCATTCCTTTTTCGGGGTTGTGCCACTTATAATCAGGGTTTGCTTTCATGAAGGCATCCTTATACTGCAAAACATTTTTTCATAATCATCATGTAAAATTATTTCACAATTAACATCACCAAAAAGGCCCAAAAGCCCAAAGAATGTGAAATAACAGTCTCTTCCATAAATGCCCAGTTTATGTATCATAAAACAAAATCATGAAAAAATTTATGACAACCAATATTAATTAATTCCATATCATAGCTTAGTCAAATTCATGTAAATACTGAGTGCTTGTATATGTAGAATTGTTTGCAGTCATTACCTGCTTGGCTAAATCTGTGTACTGTGTTTTCTCCTCCTCCTTCAGGTTCGCCCACAGATCACCAAGAATCCGTGTGACATTTCGGTTGTCCAGATTTGGGTTCTTTTCTCGTACCATTGACCGATGTCGCTTGCAGAAAATAAGGAAAGCATTCATTGGTCGCCGGACCTCTTTTTTATCTGGATCAGAGGGGTCCATACCTAAAAGTACACCAGACAATAAAAATTAACTAATTTGGATAAAACAATTTTAACGGAATGGCATACATAAAGTGTTTAAAATAAATTTTGGCAATATGTTGATACCCATATAATACATGTATATAAATTTATTTCATTAAATCATTAAAATGATTTTTTGGCCTTATTTTACATTGATATGTACCTGTCATAATGATTATACACATTTATAGCAAAAATTAACAAAATTTATATGAATATTCAGTTGTAATATTGAATTACTCTTAGTCAATTAAGTAACATCTCTTCTTAAACAAAAGAAAAGGTGTGTTAAAGCACTTTATAGATGTCATTATAGTAAAAAAAAAAAGGGGGGGTATGTATATAATATATATATATATAACGCATGCGCAAAGGCATGACAATCTCTGCACCTCCTTGTTTATGTATAAGGCCATTATACCTACTTATGATTAAAAATCACAAGGTAAAAGTCATGTTATAGAACAGTTTCATGATAATGACTTTTCCCCCTTTTATACAGTAGGAATAAACATGCATCAAGTATGATATCATGAAAGCGAGGTTCTGCGGGGGTCAGGAGAAAAAATATAAACAAACACATTAATTTTAGCAAAATGTCAATCAGTTCGTTGATTTATATGTTTCAATTTAAATTTCTCATCAGATTCATTTCTTTGCCATCATGTTTGTCCTGAATGTTTCTCTTAAACGACCCGTCACAGATGCCTTACAAATCGAAACGACCATGTGCTCTCGATCGTCGACAAAACATGGTGAACGCCACTACGAAACACGTGGCCCTATTTTGGGCCGAATCCTCCCCACGTGTAAGAGTTACAGTCCTACATGTGACAGTAAAATTCTTTATTATCAACTTATTTATCAAAATGACATATTAATATACAGTTACAATGGCCTTAAAGGTGTATATTGACAAGAACAAGCTAGCTCATTATGACACTTCGACCGCATCATGTCGGCCGATCATGTGGACAGTTTTAGATCTGTGGAATGAATCACCACAAAATTGAATGGAAAAGTTGTGTGTCATTCAGTCAAATTTATAAAAAGGCATCAATAAACGATTATCTTACCTATCCGTTTCCGATCAACCACCAATACCGTTAAAATTATTCTCTAAATGACTTCCGTCAGCGTGTATCTCTCTTGCTTGGTAAAGCGAACTGCGCAAGCCATTCGAAATAGGTCAAGGTTGCACTGTATGTCTCAATCATTGCAAAATATTCGATTAACATTAAACTGCAAGACATACCCATAGGAAATTTTGAATATCATATTTATTCCATTTATTTGGGCAATATAAACATTCAGATAAGACAAAATTCATTGAAACACCAACATTTACTGAAAAATATTTGGAGCGGATCTAGGATTTTCAAATACAAAGCAACATACGCTAGGCTACTAATGAATAAATGGTTTATTATATAAAAATAAATTCTCTTTAGAATACCACTTTAAACAGTAATTCGTATATTTAATTCTGTTTAATTTAACTTATTTATTAAAGACAGATCTTTTCTTTAGAACTAGCACTGAGTGACCAGCTGCTGACCGACACAAAACTAGCTGATATTCATATCAATGATGTCAGGGAGTTTTAAAGTCTAAGTGAAATAAAGATCGAATATTAAGAAATCCGTCCCCTTGACCAATAGTATAAGTTTCTGTTACAAAACCCCACCCCACATCCACCTCTTTAATAAGGGGGGGGGGGGCTGTAAATATTTTCCAAAGGAGAGGCTATGGACTAATGCGGCATTTTTTTTGGGGGGGGGGGGGGTATTTACTACAGATTCTTTTTCCTACAGAGGCAATATAGCACAAAAGGCATACGTATATATACGAGGGTGGCTGCTTTAAAATCTTTAATAATCGAAAGCTATTAACAAAATTTTATTTTAATATAAATGCCTTCTCTTTTTTTTTTACTTTTGTCTTAAAATTTCATTTATGCAATACTTTTTAAAATATCAAAATACACACAACGTTAGGTTTCGTCTATCGCCTCACGGCAAGAATATTGTAAGTGTATAAATATTGGCGTATTCAAAATTTAGCGCAGTCACTGGGTAAAGAGTTATTGGCATATTCATGAATTAGCGCTACACACTAACGCGCCGTATATTGTATTTATAAATGATTTCTCCGCGGTATTCATGAATTAGCGCATCGTTGTCCGCGCCAAAGCCGCTAAAATATGAAGCCTGCTTTTTTTTTTAAAGTACACATACGTTATGACGCGTTTCTCTTCGGAACTCATTTTCAGTTCATCCATAAATCTATTAGTACTAAATCTCACGCATATATATCACAGGTACTTGTGGACAGGACCCCCCCCCCCCCGATATTCAACCCCGGGGCTTGTTGGACATTTTTTTTCACAAATTATATTTATTGCACTTATTCATCATGTGTACCATAGGAAAAAATCGTGAAAACCCCAAAATAATCGTTCCACACAAAAATACCCTACTATATACATTATCTCTCTTATAATGTATATAGTAGGGTATTTTTGTGTGGAACGATTATTTTGGGGTTTTCACGATTTTTTCCTATGGTACACATGATGAATAAGTGCAATAAATATAATTTGTGAAAAAAAATGTCCAACAAGCCCCGGGGTTGAATATCGGGGGGTGGAGGGGGGGTGGGGGGGTGGTCCTGTCCACAAGTACCTGTGCCTCCACGCACTTTCCTCCTTCTATAGCATCTGTCCATATTTTGACTTCCATTTATTTATTGGTAAAAAAAATAAATCAACTTTTGTGTCTTAATAATGTTAATTATTTCTCTCATTATTTATAGTGGTAATTTTTTTTTCGAAAGTCAAGTTTAACGTTAAGTCAGGGTATATCATTTCAACTGATGAAGAAGAAAGTGAATGGACGATCAGTCAACCTTTAACGTCACTTGTTCTTGAATCTGACGAAACACAAGATCTACGCAAAAAAAAAAATGAATTTAGAAATAAAATTTGGACGAAGTTTAAATGATTTTACAACTCAAAACAAAACGCTTAATTATTAAAAAGAAGCATGTAAGAGGTTAAGAAGATTTACGGATAGATAAAACGTGACGATGGGAAAACTACTTCATTTGTATTACTACAAATAATATTTTTTTCATCGGTATTAATACTACTGAAAAAAAAAATAAATTGCAGAAAGGGGGCGAAGGCATTATTCTATTTATTAATTAAGTTTTCAAAGAAAGTAAAGTTAATTAAAAACATCGACTTAGAACAGTATGCAATAAGTTCATCTGCGTCTTTTGAATGGTGATGGATTAATGTAAAATATGTTAAATATAAATCCTCTAAATTAGAATTGAAGGATGTGTTACGCATGGAGATACCTCAGTAAACGCCCTTTACAAGACAAAAGTCTTAAAATGAAATAGTCTTCCCATCGCAGACCATTTTCCGGGGCCTAGCTGCATCATGAGTTCCAGTGGGATCTGTTTCAGTGTTCTGTGTGCTGTCGTATTACTATTTGACTTCAGTAACGGTGCATGTAAATATAAACCTGCTGATTACCGTATAGATAGAGGTAGGCAAACATAATTTCTTCGGATTTTTTTTTTTTTTTTTTTTGAGTAGTTGACTGTCGGAGACGAAAAGAGTTTTTTTTTTCTTAAGTCTAGGCAAAATGAACGATTAAGAACAAAATAAAAAGATAAAATAAAATCAACAGATGCAAACGCAAAACAAAAAGTCATCGGTTTATTTTATTTAAAATTCTTTTCGCTCCCCTTACCAAACAGTACTTTATCCGCATATCCTTTGGATGTTTGCTAATAGCAAGAAAACCAAATCAATGTTTCAAAGATAATTTTCGTATAAAACATCAAAAATGTTTTACTTATATAAATAAGAATTACAATTTAAATCCATAATATTCTATCCATAAAGATCTCTCTCTCTCTCTCTCTCTCTCTCTCTCTCTATTTTTTTTTTTTTTTTTTTTTTTTTTTTTTTTGCTTAGGTTTTACCAATAGGTGAAAACTGAGATAGCGGTTATCATAAAACGTGCGTGTCAAACTAGTTTCCCCGATGACGAACAATATTACGAGTGATGAAAATCTATTGCCCGTAATTTTTATAATGTCACAATCAAGTTCTTTACTAATATCGAATCTGTTAAATTGGAAGATTTGGAGATTTTCGTTAATTTTTCTTAATGTATTATATTATAAAGTCAACGGCCGGACTGAAACGCTTGAGATAATGTTTGTAGTAATAATTCATTTTTAGCAATAAAACCAAGCTACTCGAACGATCGAGATAGAAACGTCACCCGCCAAAAAATAGAGTGCAGTTAATGTTTCGGTCTGTGAAGATAGTCACCTTAATTTTTTTTATGATCTAAAATAATTAAGTTTCGAGGATAGATTTTTTTAACGAAATGTTCACTATTTAATGGAAACTTAATTTAAAAATAATAATGCTCTAGAAGTATTGAATAAAAGACTTTAACCGAGTAGTAACTTCCTTTGGTATATCATATTTAAAAAAAAACATTTTTTTTTCATTCTTTTTGATTGATTGATTGATTGATTGATTGATTGATTGATTGATTGATTGATTTATTGATTTATTTATTTTCTGCTTTCTCGATGAAAAATGGAATCTTTTGAGCTGTTACACCTCATACATGATCTGTCAAAACTAATTATATAATATTGGTGACAATAGAAAAGGTTGCCTACTGCATGATTTCAGACGGGGTCTATGCTTTTCGAAATGAAAATGGTTATGGAGTTAATAACAGATCATTTATATAAACTTAGTGAAACCAGTAACTCTGATCATGAAAAGAGTTCCCGAATTTTTAAAACGTGGATTCCAAGTGGTGGATTTCAAAGGGGGGGGGGGAGGCACCTGCCCCGTCCATTTATTAAGAAAGTCTTGAAAAACTCGTGCCATTAAACTCATACTAACTAAAAGTATTGATTCTTTCTATATTGTCATTTATTTTAACATTTTTGAAAGTTTGCCCCACCCTCCTCTTGAAAACCCTGGATCTGTCCTGCTTTTCCCCTGAATCCTCATAGTACAAACCGTATGGAATTATATAAATGATATTGTTTGATTATAAAAAAGTCATAAATTTGCAAAACTTTTCCTCTTTCCATGATAATAATATTATATGTTCTCCAAATATAAATCCCATCAACTTATAAGGAGAACGACCGTATCCCCTTATCCCCACGAAAATATTTTTGTCTTTTCTGCATGTTGCAATGTACATATAACATTTTGTAAGATTACGTAACGTAATGTAACATATTATTACATAATGTAACATAATATAATGTAATGTATTGTAACAGGGAAGTAAGTGAAAACCATGAAAATTTAATATAACATGTGGGGCTTTGAGACAAATCATCACTGAAGTTCTAATAAATGTATCAATTTTAGAGTTATCGCCTTATGTATAGAAGATGGTTTCCTATTTTTTGTCTCTGTAATGTTTTTTTTTTTTTTTTTGTATTGATTATAGACTCATTAAAAAGGTCTTTACTTTTTATACCCTCGATAAGACAAAAAAAGTTTATTGTAAAATTATATACACCCAGTCGTATTCTTATTCAGAAAATATAGTTCAAAATTAAATTAAGTAACGCAACAAAGAACTTGTTAAGTCTGCAAAATGTCGACCAACTCCTCTAACATTTCATTCTTCAAAAGAAAAAGATGACGGTATTGGTGACATTTTACAGTCAGGCGCATGCGCACCGCATATGATTTTTTGTAAATTAATGCCCATTCCCTTATTTTGTCCTCATGATGTAATATCGCATATTCATCTCGATAACTAATTTATATTCTATTTTTATGCATTAATTTCCATGAAAATTCTGGGGGGTGATGTATCTTTTCTAACAACAACAACACTATTGGCATATTTTAAAGACAATTTCAACACCTCTGGTAAGTAAAGTAAAACCAAAGCCCAAAGAGTTGGCTTCTGATTGTCTAGCTAGCAACACATCGTAAATTATTCATCATTCTTTAAATGCCAAACTTTGACCCATTATAACACCTAGCCATCTTTAATTTTATGACAAATTACCCCATTTACAAACTTTATCTGGCTAACTTACATTCAATCAAAATGTGTGACTGTGTGTGCGTGTGTGTGTGTGTGTATGTGAAAGGGTGTGCTTGTGTGTGTTTCAATCTCAATGAAAGAATGCTGAAAAAAACTATGTATGTTTATCTTAAAAATTAATGATGCTGTCTGTCCTCCTTGATATATTTTCCCCTCTTATATTATTTATTTATTTCCTCAATCTTCTGTCATGTTTTTTGTTTTGTATATGTACCCCTGACCAGTTTTGTATATAATGTATATAATGTAATATAATGTTATTAATGTACCCCATGTACTAATATTTTGGTTTGGGTGAATAAATTGAACTTGAATCTCCGTTTTATATATATTTTTTTATATATGTCTTGAGAATAAAGCTGTATTAAACTGATATACCATATTATCTTAAACTGAAAGAACACGCTTTATTAAAACTAGGGCTGGGTTGAAAATTTCGTGTTGCGATATATTGCGATATTTGGAACTGTATTGCAATATTTTTTAATAACATTTAAAATGCTCTTTTCTTGTTTTATTAACCTCCATTTATATGCAGAATGTATAAAACTTTATAAATACTTTGTAACAAAAAAGTTCTAGTTGATTTCACTACAGTTTGACTACGAAATGCAACCATACGACAGAAACCTTTTCCGTTTGGTACTGTTTGGCACGATTGTAAACGTTTCTGACACCTTAAATTTCATACTTTACTTCATTAATCTAAAGCCCAATCATTTTGCCGGTATACCGGTACTGGAAAAAACGTATCACAATACGATGTTTTTTGTTAACGAATCGCAATATATCGGAATATCGATATTATTGCGCAGTCCTAATTAAAACAACAACAACAACAACGAACTAAACAAATAAGAAATAGATAAATACATGTAAAAATAAATTTAAATTTTTGATAAAAAAAAAAACCAGCTTCAGCCCCCCCCCTTTTCCTTAAAAAAAAAAAATAATAAATAAAAAAATTTAAAAAAAAAAAAAAGATTTTGGGACAAATTTGGGACCTCTTGTGCCACTATGAATGATTTTCTTATCACTTTCACGAAATTGAATGGTAATACTTCTCTTTTTTTAATTTTCAATGTTTTTATTTAAAATGTTCATTATTTCAAAATGAAACCTTGTAGACATCATACTGCTTACAATATGCAAATCAAATGATGAGGGTATATTTACAGTAACTAATTTGAGACAAAGGAATATATGGTAAAATTAGAACTTCTTTGAAAAACATAGAATCCTCATTTCGTCTTTATATATATATATATATATATATATATATATATATATATATATATATATATATATATATATATATATATATATATATATATATATAAAATATATGAATTGCTTGTACATTTAATCTGTCGCCGAAGTGCAGTCGAGACGACATGCAGAGTAATTCTGTTTTTACCAATAAATAATAAAAACATTTTAATATAGGCGTTAAATGGTTTTTCCCCTTCACAAGACAAGGATATGCATATATAACAAACAAACAAACACCTCTTTAAAAAAAATTGAATTCATTATTTGCTTTGAAGGTTCTCCTTTTAGTATAACACAAATATCAGTGGCGTTACTAACTTTCAGAAGGGTCTTTGGATACATGTGTCAGTGTATATTGGTGTAAACAATAAAGAATATTTTGACTTTACCTTTTTTCTTTCAGCCAGGAATGAGATTGTTGTCTTTTGCTCCCATCGTGGGGTAGAATGGTCACGTGGTATGGTGCATTTTGATCAGGACTGCGAGAAATGCTACTGTAACGGATTTGTTATGCAGTGTTGCGAGTAAGTATACTTTTGTTCTGTAGCAGACACATGTATAGAATCATTAAGTATTTTTATACCTATACTCGGTTTCTCTCACTAACTTTCATGTTTTTTGACACAATACTTTTGAATTTGAAATATAGGTATATATTAAAGTTCTACAAGATATTGTACGGAAATTCGTGAGAACACGCGCATGGCGATGCACGTTAACTGTAATTTGATTGGCTGAAACTTTAAATGGCTATAATTTCCTTAGTTTTCTACAAAACAGGATGAAATTTAAAATATAGATATATAGGTATAATGGGTTTCTACATTATGCTGATATCAAAATTGAATCTAAGAACATGAATGCACGTGTGCTGAAATCTGATTGGCTATAATACTTTATAGTCTGTATCTCTCTTATTTTACAATAAAATACTTTGAAATTTAAGACATGGGTATAAATTATGACACTGTAAGTATAAATATGTGGGAAATCTATAAATTCACGAGAGCACATGTGTTGAAATCTGATTGGCTAATATTGTGGGTATTTATAACTTTCTTAGTTTTTATTTTAACGAAAGAAGACGAAATTCAGAGTATAGGAAAATAAATAATACAAGTCTCTACAAAATAGATTCATCAGAAATGAATACGAGGACATGCATGCACGTGTGCTGAATTCTGATAAGATAATATTCAGGTTGCTTTAACATTCTACGTTGTCAGTGAAACTCTTTGAAATTTAAAATGTAGCTCTTTATTAGGGTATATTAAAAGATGATGTATATGGAAATTGTCGAAAACTCGTGCATGCACGTGTATATAAATCTAATTGGGTTATACTTATTTTGTTATATATGCGTTGTTATTTCCCCAAATCATTTAGAAAATAAGATAAAAAAGTATACAATACAAAGATTTTGCTCAATTTAATAAAGATGATAGGGAATGGGACACCAAAAGGGAGGGGGGGGGGCGTTTGGAGAACATCTCTAACGGTCTCTGTTACAACAGTCCGTTACAATCAGTACTAGTTATTATAGCCCGTTACAATCAGTACTAGGTATTATTAAAATTTTGTATGACTTACGATATAATATCATTTTTTTTTTCTATTTCCTACCTGTAGAAGTCGTGATGTGGCGGGTGTTACAATGATCCCGGGTTGTAGACAAGAGATGCGCGGATGTAAAGTAGAGTTTTACCGATACATGTATGGCCTTAAAATAAACTGTCGCACAGGTCAACCTTTCGAGGATATAGTTGGTTTTTGAAAACATTTTGCTTTTGTGGTATATTTCCATTATTTTTATTGTATATATATTTTGTTAAAAGAATAAATGTTTACTGATTACTTACACTGTTTTACTTCTGTTTGTGTAAGACCAGTAGATTTTAAGTCCCACCCGAAACCAACTTCATGGGTTTCTTGATAAAAATGGAGAACTCAGTCAGACCTAAAAGAAAGGCATTGACATATCTTTGTGACGTAAAAAAGGGTGAGGCAATATAATGTCAAAACTCGTTATTATGATGTCACATCATTGTGACGTTATCATGACCTTATCACAAGGTGCGATATGCTTGTAACATGTATCTAGGATTTAAGATAAATGATAATTTTCTACTTGCGCTGTAGACTTGATTCACACTGGCGTGATTTAGGGGGGCCCAGGGGGCCCGTCTCCCCCCTTTTGTGTCTAAAATATACATAAGATTTAATAAATCAATTTTTTGGGTGTGGCTATGGGCCCCTATCCCGACCCCATACTGGTCGGGCCCCCTTTTTCAAGATTCCTGGATCCGCCGCTGATTCATATTCCTTAGCTGTGGGCAGATTGATCTGGGGGTAATTATTTACTGTACTTATGAAAAAAATAAACATATGAAACCAGGACTTCCTCTGAAGGAAATGCCATGTTGTAAATTTTGAATTTACTGGGTGGCAATTTTACAACATGACAGAAAGAATCTTATTTTCTGAAGTTGTAAAATGATTGCAGTTGACACAGTGTAACTTATGTGCTCAGTAAATATTAGAATGACATACTTTTAAATGCAAAGATGTTCCCCATCTAAATCAGTAACTAAAAAAAGGTTGTATCCCTTTACTATAAATCAACGTTGATTTTATTGAATAAGGGTACATTATTTTTAATTAACAGATTAAGATGTTTTAAATAATTTTTTTTTAAATCTTAAGGCAGAATTTGTTCCGCGTGTTTGCAAAATAGCAAAATAATCTGTAGAGTATGGCGTGTAAAACGTTGCATTATTATACTTTTTTGTTATTCTTATTCAAAGAATTCATTATTTTTATTCTAAAACATATCATTCCTATTCGATAAAATGTTATTCCTATATTAGAAGCTAGAAATGTGTTTCCTATTCCAAAATATATCATTCATACTCAAAAACACGTGTTTCCTTTTCGAAAATATGTCATTCATATTTCGAAAATATGTGATTCCTATTCGATAATTTTTCATTCTTATTCGATAATTATGTGATTTATTTGCAATAAACTTGTTATTCCGAAAACATATCATTCCTATCCAAAAACATATAAAAAATATACAACATTACTATCTTTCATGTTGTATAGTTTATTTGATAAAATAAAGTATATCAGGAAGGACAGTATGAAGAACAAGGTTCACTTGTGGCCTTTTTGGCCCTGTGAATTTCTGACAAATAAAAACTACTCACTTAAAGTTGAAAATACTTTAAATTTTACTTACACAATACTATACTGTAAAGGGACAATCTCTAAAACTTAACAAAAAACGGAAAATGATATTAAAAAACGAAGTATTGGAAAGATAGGCTAGGAATTCATGTATATTTGCTTAGTTGTTGTGTCTAAAAAATTCTCAGAAAAGGGGGGGTTACACTAACCATTCTTCAGTTGTCTGTGTATTTTTGCTAATCTATTGGATAAACTTTACAGGACACTGTTATTAGTTGACGAAAAAAATTCTTCGTTAATATTTTACTCTATAAGCGTTCGACCCTATCTGTTCCACCAGCATACAGTCCCTATTTCCTCTTCCGTTCCACATCAGTGGTTCTTTGCATTTTATTTTCTAGCAATTTATCTGATACCCATCAATTTCGGAGAAATGAAAATAAATGCAGAACATTTCCGATAATTGTTTTTATATAAGTATATAAAAGATCTATTGTCTGTTAGGAAACATAAAACAATTTATCTATCCTTTGCGTCACTCGTTAACAATTAATATGTAAAAACGTGAAAAACATTTTAAATAAAAAAAAAAGTTGAAAGGACATGTGAAATTTATTTGCACACCTTTTGCAATCAGTCATAGACGCATTTCTCTCAGTTTTCTTGATGGATTGCGCAAACATGTTACATGAAAGATTTACCGTAAAGGTTAGAATAGACGGATGGTGAAACATGCATCAAGATGAGCAGTGGATCAATAGCTGCTGTTTTAAAAAGAGACCTCAACCATGAGACCTCTTCAAGGAGGTCTGAGAAATGAACCAAGTTAGTTTCAGCTTCTCTGTGCTCTTTGTGCCGTTACTTTTCTGGCACACTGATGGTGCATGTAGGTACCGGTTTAACAGGATTCGATACGACAAAGGTAGGAAGTATTCGAACCGTTTCTCTCGATATTTTGAGTTTGCAAAAAAGTCTTAAACATGTATTAGTGTGAAAGAAAAAGAAATTAAAATTATTAGATTTTTGAAGATTAAATGAAAAATTTCATTCAAAATCTTGATTGAATGTATTTGACCACTCGGAGCTCCTCGGGTGACTCGTGCCTCGCACACTAAACTCAGACGTGAATGGTATTCTACCATTTTGCTAATGCAATAATGTGATCCAATTTAAAATGCCTCCAAATATTCTTTCTTTAAAATCCGAGTAACTTTTTTGGTGTGCCCAACACTGTGTTTCTGCTTTCAAAGACTACTAACAGAATATTGTAATCAAGACCAATATTCAAGAAAGAATTAGACAAGATAGGAAACTTTTTTGGTGAACTTTGTGCAGAGCGAAATATGAAATGAGTTAAAGGCCAGTTCCGGCGGAGAAATGCATCGGTTTGATGCATATTCCTCCACCAATCACATCCAAGTTTTGTGTGGAGCGTATCGGAGTCAGCCGAGAAATGCCGATTGGTATTTGACAGTCGTATGTAAGTAGTTTCCTTGAAATGTAAAGCATAAGATTCTCGAAAGCTTAAAAGACGAATATAACAACTAACAAACAAATCATCACACTAAACAACTACAACAACATACAAACAACAAAAGTATTTTCATATTCATCGCCAAATGTGATTTAATTTGTTTTGAGAATGAGAAAGGCTGATGAAAATTGAAATACATTCGATATATGGGTATGAGAACTGATGCAACATTTTTTTTTATCAATATCTTTATTTTTATTTATTTATTTTTACTTGAAACACACACACACACAAAAAAACATGACAGTATTCTAGTAATAAAAATTGTTCATTTTTGTCAATCACACCATAATAAAGGCTGCATAGATTTTTATTTTTACCGAAACTGCAGTAATAATATTATTAATATTTTGACCTGTATTTTTATTTTATTTTATTTTTTTACGGAAAACCTTTTTTTTTGTAGATAAGCAGCATGTAACGTTTTACTGTTCGTACCGCGGATATAATTGGTCAAATGGACGGATACTGTTCCCTGAAGTATGCGAAGAGTGCGAATGTAAAGGTTACATGCTGTCATGCTGCCAGTGAGTACAATATGTGTGTGTAATCGGTAGCTTTCGCAACACCAAAACATATATGTAATGCAGTGGTGAAAACAACTTTGGAAACAATTTGCCACCACCAATTGCAATTAATTATAGTGAAAAAGACAAGACAGCGTAAATTTTCTATTTCGATAGTTTATCAGAGGGACCCCCCCCCCCCCAAAAAAAAAACCCATTCAGATTGTATTCTTAAATGAAATAAAATTATTTCTACATTATTCTAGAGTAACATTCTTTGTGTGTATATTAAAAAACCATCATTTTTAAAATTTTCCTCCAAACAGTAATATTTTTTCTGACAAATAATTTTTCTTGATGATGAAAAATCGAACACACACAAATATTCATTATCTATAATGAATCTTTATCAGTTATTCTCCTTTTTTTATCTATCAATAACAGTATTTTTAAAACATGTTAAAATGTAATTATTTTTGTGTGTGTGGTTGTCTTGTTATTTCATAAATTGCAACATTGCAAGGTACATGTATCGTGTTTTTAAAGAACGGAGAAATAAATGATATTGAGTATTGCCTCCGATATAGAATTTTATACACAGTACATGTACATTGTACAAGTGGCAATAGAACAACGAAATAAATGTAGAAAGTGTACAAAGACAAGCTCCGACTCTTGGCAGGGACCAAGGTCTTTAGGGTCATTTTTGAATCTAAATAGACCAAATTACGCAATTTTATAGTTGCATGTAAATACATTCCCTTACATATCATGCGTCCCCCACTCAGAAGAACATTAACAACCGTGCCCTATCTTCCATTACAAAGACAACCATTTTAATGTTCCAAATACAGGATCTAACAAGTCTTTAATCTCATTTCTTTCTTACAAACTATAGCTATAGTGGTGTAGAAGATATAATTTACACTATGCAAAGGATCCGGGTGCAATATAATATCTCTAGAAGTTTTTGCATCAGGATGTATTAAATTAACTCAATTCAATGCGTAACTGCAATCATTTGTCTTTTACCGCACACGTACATGCATTAATTGGACAACATCATTTCGCAACTGTCATCCATCTTACAGCATACCATAAAACTTGAAATGCATATATACAGCACAGTTTGTGTATTTAGCAATCTTATTTGATCAGTTCTGTCTAATGGATACGGTACTGCAAAAGGTATGACCTTTCTTAACCATCCACTGATCAAACCTAATATAACCAGGGACATATATACTAACGATAGTTTATACGCCCCTGATTTAACGTAGAAAAGTCCTTTATATCATGTCAAAAAGGAAAATTTTAATTTTTTTTCTAATCCACAGCGTTGGTACGGCTGCAAATTCCGGGGAATATGAGGGCTGTACCAAGGTGACCCGAAAATGTGAAGTCCGATACTACAAGATTGAGAATGGACAGAAGTTAGACTGCTTCTCAGACCTACCGTTTGATGAGAACTTCTGGCTTAAGTAAAAATAATGTTGATGTTCTCTTGTATTCTAATGAACTTTTACAATTTTGAAGTATAACGTTTTTTCTACAAATTCCTGGTTCCAAAAACTGCTCTTACACAACGCTTCATCTTTCGAGCAGGGTTGGGTATTGGCTAAAGATTTCGTATTGCGATATTTTTGACTGTATTGCGAAATGTGTTGCAATATTTTCAACAAAAATTTAAATGGTATTTTCTTATTATATTCAACTCCTTTTGTATGTAGAACTATGATAAATAACCAATGAAGTATATCCTGTTGATTGAATTACAGTTATGCAAAAATGTATACAACACCTTTTGTCTGTTTGGCCTGATCCCAAACCTTTCTGACTACTTTTCTTTATATTTAATGATAGAAATCCTAAGTCCAAGCATTTTACCGGTATAGCGGTATTACAATAACGAATTGCAATAGAATATTTTTTGTCAACATACCGCAATATCGGTATTATTGCCCAGCCCTACTTTCGAGGAATGATTGGTACACAGGTGCATGTGGACAGGGACCCCCCCCCCCCAATACTCAACCCCGGGGCTTGTTGGACAGTTCTTCACAAATTATATTTAGTACACTTATTTATCATGTATATATACCATAGGGAAAATCGGGGGAAACAAGAATTAATCGTTCCATACAAAAAAAAAAAAAAAAAAAATACTCCACTTTACATTATATGTAAAGTGGAGTATTTTCACCCTAGGGGCCTAATGGGGGTAAAAAAAAGAAGAAGATGTTTTTCGTCATATAAAAACCTGGTTCCCAGAACTCCTCTTATATTTTACGCAGTAGCCATTTCATCTTTTGCATTCAAGATGATATGACGTGTCCTGAAGATGAGCAATGTTTGGGAATTTTCATTTTCATTCTTGGGGCCATGCAAATGGGGTCAAAAAATGACGTTTTCAAGTTACAATTTCGGCCGTATTTTTTTTCCTTATTGAAAAAACATTTTTCTGAAACTCCCTCTTTTAAAATCAGAGTTTTTTTTCCATCAGAATCTTTAATTTCAGACCGGTAATGAAGTTATTTGAAATACAGTTGTACTAACATTTATAAGAGGCCCTGTGCATTTTCTGCTCAATTTTATACATGTATACCTATTTTATGAAAATAACAGAATACCTTTGTGGCTTCTTCGCTACCCATGTACGAGGGTGCTAGCGTACATTAAGAAGCAAACACTTGTGTTCGGGTATTACTGTCTTATGACAGCATCTACTTTTTCTTAATTTCCGTATTGAAGAACAATACACTCTAGCAAATCTAATGTATACTACTCAGATAAAACTCGCACTCATAAATGTTAAAAAAGTTTATTTTTGAAAAATAAATTCTGTCACCTAGACATTTACAACAAAACTTTTATGTACTACCTACATATCAAACAACTGCACATTCATTCTTCATAAAAGAAAAGACAATATGGCCAGATTGTAAAGCACTGATATAAATGACACATGATTATTATGGAGTGGATAGAAAGACCTGACGTCATACAAGTGCACTCAGTAGATGGAAAGACAACCCTGTGTCCATGGATTTACCAGGTTAAAGCTATTTTGAGGAACTATTAATGGTCTCATGATTTATGTACATATGAAACAAAAAACAAATGAAACATCTCAAAGACAACAAAGCATCATGTCTACATGTACAGTCAATCTTTTGTCATCTATAACTAGATGGGACCCAGGAGAAATATCTGAAGATTTGAGATATTGCTGTATCAATGGTATTGGAGATGCTAATGTTTGAGATACTCAAGTTCAACTGTATATCATTAATCAGCCTCCTTAAGTAATCATTTATGTTTTCTTAAGGTGGTATTGAATACTTCTTTTGTGATTTACCTACAGTTGAAAGTAAAGGATAATCGTAATTGATCATTTACAACATATTCTTGAAAAAAAAATAGTGCACATGAAAGATGCCATCTAACACACACAGATGGATGAAAGGACATATGTTGCTTCACAATCAAGCCAAAACAAAGAAATATCAAAAACATCACAGTATAATTGTCCAATTGAATACATGCCAGTCCTTCAGGCAAATTCTACTACAACTAGGATTCAAGTGATCTTCTTTCAGCAAATCCTGATTTAACAACTAAGATCTCCACATTTACAGTATATGCATTCAGCTTTCCCTTATGAAAACAGTTTGAATCTTTTTGATCAGTTACCCAACTGCAACATCTGAAGATGTCTCTGAACATCTGTAAAATGTAATAATGTTTGTTTTATACTGTTGTTTATTTAAAATATAAAATCTTCAAAAAAAACATAGGTAATCAAAGATTGCAGAGCTCACCTCAACGAATGTTGTCTTTAAGTAAGGCCCACACTAAACTAATAATCTAGGAGTGTGCATCCCTAGATGCAACATTTATGCAATTTTGGTCTGATAGGGCTTGCAGTTACTTTGGAATAGACTTATCTGAAAACTTAAAACTAGTCACTCATCCAGAAAATGTAAGTCAAATCCAGCATCCAAAGCAAGTTTGAGATTGTTCATCCCTTGATGCATCATCCATGCAAGTTTGGTTCAGATAGGCCTTATAGTTACTTGGAAATGAGATCTGCTCCAAATACTTTAACCTGGTTACTCATCTGGAAAATGTAGGTCAGATCCAGCATCCGAAGCAAGTCCAGTAGTGTGCATCCTTAGATGCAAGTTTAGTCAATGCAGGGCTTATAGTTACTTGGAAATGACATCTGCTCCAAAAACTTTAACCTGATCACTCATCCGGAAAATGTAGGTCAGATCCAGCATCTGAAACAAGTCCAGTAGTGTGAATCTTTAGATGTATCATCCATGCAAGTTTGGTCAATATAGTGTTTATGGTTACTTGGAAATGACATCTGCTCCAAAAACTTTAACCTGGTTACTCATCCGTAAAATATAGGTCAGCTTCAGCATCCGAAGCAAGTCCAGTAGTGTGCATCCTTAGATGTATCATCCATGCAAGTTTAGTCAATATATGGCTTATAGTTACTTGGAAATGACATCTGCTCCAAAAACTTTAACCTGGTTACTCATCCGTAAAATATAGGTCAGCTTCAGCATCCGAAGCAAGTCCAGTAGTGTGCATCCTTAGATGTATCATCCATGCAAGTTTAGTCAATATATGGCTTATAGTTACTTGGAAATGAGATCTGATCCAAAAATTTTAACCTGGTCATCGTCCAGAAAATATAGGTCAGATCCAGCATCCAAAGCAAGTCCAGTAGTGTGCATCCTTAGATGTATCATCCATGCAAGTTTGGTCAATATAGGGCTTATAGTTACTTGGAAATGAGATCTGCTCCAAAAACTTTAACCTGGTTACTCATCTGGAAAATGTACGTCAGATCCAGCATCCGAAGCAAGTCCAGTAGTGTGCATCCTTAGATGTATCATCCATGCAAGTTTGGTCAATATAGGGCTTAAAGTTACTTGGAAATGAGACCTGCTCCAAAAACATTAACCTGGTCATTCTTTAGCTAAAATTGCAGCATCTGAAACCTTGACTGATACAATAAAACATACTAGAAGCATCCTCCATGCATCTCTGACTAATATAGGCCATAGAAGTACTTGAAAAGAAAACTGCTCCAAAAACCTTAATCTGGGACGCCGACACAGAGGCCAAGGGTATTACATAAGCTCCCCCAACTTCGTTGAGGTGAGCTAGAAAATGTATTACACATAACACATAATTTTTATCGATCTCGACCACACAGCGACACTCATTTTTATGTACAACCACAAATGTCTGCTTACCCATTCCTGGAGGAGCGTAACCACGGCCTTTCGGAAGTTTCAGTGATGGATCAATAGTTCCCATGATTCCTTTTCCTCTTCCAGTGACTTCTGTAAGATAAACACAACTTCCAGTCAATTTCACTATAAAAGATATACACTTCACTGCCCTTAACTTGTAGTCTCTAAAAATAATATTGAAAAAGGCTTATTGAACTGTGTTAAATCTTACAGAGTAGGATAATCCATTATAGCTTAATTAAGGTTCCAATATCAAAAGATTTAATACTGTTCTTGATAGGAAGACTTGAGGAATTTCTGATTGTGGCTCTATCCTACACCACGGGCCACGATTTGCACAATTCTGATTCTACACTACATACATGTAGAACTGCCGCTTATCATTATGTGTAACTGTGGCACAGCTCTTAAGAAGATTTTTTAAAATAATATTACATGTACATAAAAATTTGACCCTCAACTGTGGCCCTGGGACCATGTAGAACTGCCGCTTATCATTATGTGTAACTGTGGCACAGCTCTTAAGAAGATTTTTTAAAATAATATTACATGTATATAAAAATTTGACCCTCAACTGTGGCCCTGGGACCATGTAGAACTGCCGCTTATCATTATGTGTAACTGTGGCACAGCTCTTCTTAAGAATATTTTTTTAAATAATATTACAAGTATATAAAAATTTGACCCTCAACTGTGGCCCTGGGACCATGATTTAAATGTGAATGTCTACTATCTGTATCTAGTAGTGTGCATTCCCAGATGCAACATTAATGCAATTTTGGTCTAAAAGGGCTTGCATTTACTTGGGAATAGACTTATCTAAAAACTTTAAACGAGTCACTCATCCAGAAAATGTAAGTCAAATCCAGCATTTAAAGCATGTTTGAAAGTGTTCATCCCTTTATTTATCATCCATGCAAGTTCAGATAGGCCTTATAGTTACTTGGAAATGAGATCTGCTCCAAAAACTTTAACATGTCACTCATCCGGAAAATGTAGGTCATATCTAGCATCTGAAGCAAGTCCAGTATATAGTGTGGATGCTTAGATCTATCATCCATGCAAGTTTGGTCAATATAGATCTATAGTTTCTTGGAAATGAGATCTGCTTCAAAAACTTTATCCTGGTCACTCATCCAGAAAATGTAGATCAGATCCAGCATCTGAAGCAAGCCTGATAGTGTGCATCCTTTGGTGTATCATCCATGCAAGTTTAGTCAACATAGGGTTTATTGTTTCTTGGAAATGAGAACTGCTCCAAAAACTTTAATCTGCTTCAAAAAACAATAACCTCTCTGAGGTGGAGCGGTTAATCTGCTGGCTAATTGTTGCTGTGGAATTTGTGCCCTGACTGGAGGCTCCATAGCCTTAAATCCCGGGGGTACAGCAGAAGATTCCTTAGGGGCTTGACTGTTTTGTAGACTGTGTGATATACTGTTTAAAGTCTGAAACAAAAATAGTCATTAAAAACCATCAAATACACTTCAAAATAAATTCTTAAAAAATCAAACAAAGAATTACAAGTGTCAGTAACTCTGCATTCAACATTTTAATCAGTTATCAAACAGCTATAGAAAGAATTGTAGGCTGGATAGAATTTTGGGAAACAATCGGATGCAACGTAAAGTCTCAACTTTTCAAAGACTTTCACATTCTATTTTATATCATCTTTTGGCATATATCATTCTTAGTTTCTTACTGGTTTGGAGGGTTCCTCTTTTACCCAAGCTGCTGGAGGGACTGGTGCTGAACTTGGATCTGGGGCCATAGCTCTTCCTGCAAACTTTTGTCCTGCTGTTGATATATATTATACAAAAGAAAAGCAAGTGTGAAAAATGCCAATGCTTAACATTTGCATTTGATTTTCATTTCAATGTCCTTTCAATACTTAAACAAATATAACTTTTAAAAAAACCCATCAGATTTGATTAACATCTTATCTTGTTGTCCTACCTGGCTGCTGGGCATGACTTAAAGGAACTCCTCTCCCAATCCCTACCCCTTGTAATCCAGTCCCCCTTCCTAGTCCTGGAAAATCTCCACCATTAGAGGTAAAACCTAAAGAGGGAGCACCTGCTACACCTCCCATACCACGACCCAACGATGGAAACTCTGTCTGTGTAGCTGTAGGGGGTGGAGGTTTGGAGGGAATAGGTGTGCCAGACCACATGCCTCGTCCCATATTTGCTACTTTAGGTTTTTGCTGTTCTGCCCATGGATCTCTTGGTGCTGGTGCCATATTTACTAAATTAAAAATGTTTAAAAAATATTTAAGATCCTTACCTTATCATATCAAGTATTATGTACTTCTTAACCAGTGATTTTTCTACACTCAATTTAGGTCCGAATATCGGCCCTTTCCCCTCTTAAAAATTACCGATTTTTTCCCAATTTTCAACTGCTTTTTTCCCAAAATCAAAACGTATTGTTTTGGTTTAATTGAATTTTTTATGTACGACTTATCTAAAATGGAACGCTATTGTTTTTGGTCATTCGGACGCTTAAAATAACGGCGAAAAACAACAGTTTAATTGTGTGTTTGCAAGACTTGGAAAATCGATCATGTGGAAGTCAAACTTTTGTGTCAATACATCATAAGAAATTTAAATATGCATGTGAATCTGTTAAGCATAGCTTTATTTGTAATTTGCAAGTACTAGTAGTTCTACAACAAGTGTCCTTGATTTCACGAAAATTAAACTGTTTCTTCATCCTGCAGAGACTGGCATTGCAGAGAAATATGCGATACAGCAATACATGCTTGTAAATAGTGTCAAGATTATTCCATCTCCAATGCGAGCAATAACGAGAAATCGGGAATGATTTTTTTTTTCTCAATTTATAATTCTACCATAATGTTAAAAAAAAAAGAATATCTATAGGACAATCAAAATACAAAAATGAAAGAAAATTAAAATGTAGAACTGTCCATTTTGTTGAACTTGAAAAATTTTGTAGCAAATAAATTCAATAAATGATATTACATTTACTTATTATTTTATTTTACTTGTCAATATGAAGGTTAATTACAATCTTATTGTTTTTTCCCAATTTGACACAAATGTCGACAATTTTTCCCAATTGAAAAGGCACAGGCCCCTTTTAAAAATTGTAGAAAAATCACTGTTAACCTATGAATGTGTTGTTACACTTTACAAAGCTGAACTGTAATCAAGGTGACTTGTACAAAGCTGAACTGTAATCAATGTGACTTGTACAAAGCTGAACTGTAATCAATGTGACTTGTACAAAGCTGAACTGTAATCAAAGTGACGTGTACAAAGTTGAACTGTCATCAATGTGATTTTTACAAAGTTGAATCATAATGAATGTGATTTATACAAAGCTGAATCATAATCAATATGACCAATGAATGAGACAACAGAAATGCTTTACCTGGGAGGTGAGGACGTCTAAGGGAGGTCATAGACTGATTGTCATCATCGCTTTCATCTGAACTTTCATCTTTAAAATTCTTCTAGAAAAGTGTAGAGTATCTTTAAACAGCATGAATACTTTTTACTAGTATCTACCAGTAATAGTTGTGTGAGATACTAGAACTTGTACACAAACACTGTACCTCTCAAGAAATAACCATGAATGCTTGTAATAGAAAGATGCTCAAAGGGTAAAAATTTCAAATTCTGCCAATATTTTTAGTTTCTAATTACATTTTTAACACAATAAGCTTATTTTACAAAAAAAAAACTATCTTCCGGAATTCCCAACTGCATTTTTGATACTCCTATCAGTTAAAGGTTTGACAAACATCAAAATGATCCAGACTACATGTAGTGGCCTAGTTAAAAATAGCAAATACGGCCGTCGAGTTAACAGGTTAAGGTGTTGAGATTTAGATTGGTCATGATGGCATTGATTTCAGTGCAAATTCATAAAGGAATGACTCTAATACTTCCATGGCACATAGTGGAGGTTTCTGAAGGTTATTCCATGCTAGAACTCAATAACACTATCAAAGACAGCTCTCTCAACCTTGGACGTTTCCAGAAAAGCTTCAGCAAGACTTGCCGATTTCATTTAGTGTGGGTAAATCAAAGACTGATAAATTTGACAATGTTTAATAAAATCATAAGTGCTATTTATAGAGCTGTAACACTCTTAGATTAGTTGTGATACATAAGCAACTGACCAAATGCATCACTAAAAGTGTTGGGTCTGTAAGTTTAACATGATGCTGTTGTTTCATTACACGAATCATCAGAATGTAGAAAATGCAAGAGAAAAGAGAAAGAAGCAGGAAATAAATTATCTTTATTTCTTTACTCAATGTTGAAGCACTGTTGATTAAAAATTGCTAGTTTTGACATTTAAAAAAAAAAATTCAAAAATCCCACGTCTGTTTTTTATGAGATAAAAAGAAACCAAGTTATTAATTTTTTAAGGCCTAACCAATGACTTTTCATCAAATCACGAAAATTTGACCCCTTAGAAATAAGTGATTCTCAAGGAGAGAGGTTGCACTTGAAAGATTTATTTCTTGGATTTGACACTTTTAATTTTTAGAAAATTACAAGACATTTTAAATAAATTAGAAACAAAAGTGAACTATTCATTTTTACCAGAGAGAACTGTAAAGTAAATTTGATAAAAATTATTATTTTGAGGTAAACAAGAGCAGGATGTCTACAGGCTTCTACAGAAATACATATTAATATTACCTTAGCTAGGGCACTGTAACTGTTGCTCTGTTTAATTGGGGATTTTTCGAACCTCTGACTCTGTGACGGAACTTTGACTTTCATGGAAGATGGTGGAAGAGCTACCACTGGGTTGTCCGAGCGGACAGGGAGATGTCTGTTGGTCAGTTCTATCTTCAACAGGCCACAAAAACTGTCTGAGATAGCATACCTGACGAAATAACAGATATCCAAAATAAATAGGAAGTTGAAGAAGGATCAATAGGAACTGTCTAGTAATTAATTCACTTTACAGCAAAAGCAACAAATTCTGATCCTTTATATTACAGGATCACATTAAAATATTGGATATTCTTCCTGAATAATAAAAAACTCACGAGTATCTTTGAATAATCCCCAGTGAGCAGTATTTACATTCCAGTTCTTCATGGTAATCACATCTAAAATAAAAAAAACATTACTACAACCAGAGAAACAAGCCTCATCTTTCAAAACGTTCCCGGAAATTTGAGTCCTCAAATCTTCACCTCATTAAACCCTAATTGGCAAATGACCAAAAACATAACAAGAGGCCCATGGGCCACATCGCTCACCTGAGCACATTGGCAAGGCAGAAGCACAAATCAGTTCAGTATTGAAAAGATTACGGGGGGGGGGGGGGGGGGGGCTTGAATTTTAAACTACCTGATGATGCTTCCATGTCAATATAACAAATGGCTTTGTTGTACTTGAGATGATTTTTAAAAAAAATTTCCCATATATTCCTTTGTAAAAATTTGATCCCCCATTGTGGCTCCTCCCTATCCCAGGGGTCATCATTTGAACAAACTTGAATCTACACTACCTGAGGATGCTTCCATATCAATATGACTAAACATAGCTTTTCTGTTCTTGAGAAGAAATTTTTTTCTATATGTTCTTATGTAAAACTTTCGATCCCCCTATTGGTCCCCACCCTACTCTCGGGGGTCATCATTTGAACAAAATTGAATTTACACTACCTGAGGATGCTTCCATATCAAAATGACTAAACATGATTTTCAGTTCTTGAGAAGAAGATATTTTCCTATATGTTCCTATGTAAAATTTTCGATCCCCCATTATAGCCCATCCCTATCCCCTGGGGTCATCATTTTAACAAATTTGAATCTACACTACCTGAGGATGCTTCCATATCAAAATGACTAATCATGGCTTTGCAGTTCTTCATCAGAAGATATCTTCCTATACATTTCTATTTCAGACTTTTTTCCTCCATTGTGGCCCCACCCTAACCCAGGGGGTCATGATTTGAACAAACTTGAATCTACACTACCTGAGGATACTTCCACATAAATATGATCAATCAGGGCTTTGCTGTTCCTGAGAAGAAGATTTATAAAGATTTTTCCTATATATTTCTTTGTAAAACTTTGATCCTCCATTGTGGCCCCGCCCTACCCCCGGGGGGTCAGGATTTGAACAAACTTGAATCTACACTACCTGAGGATACTTCCACATAAATATGATCAATCAGGGCTTTGCTGTTCCCGAGAAGAAGATTTTTAAAGATTTTTCCTATATATTTCTATGTAAAACTTTGATCCTCCATTGTGGCCCCGCCCTTCCCCCGGGGGGTCAGGATTTGAACAAACTTGAATCTACACTACCTGAGGATGCTTTCATATAAATATGACCAATTAGGGCTTTGCTGTTATTGAGAAGAAGATTTTTAAAGATTTTTCCTATATATTTCTATGTAAAACTTTGATCCTCCATTGTGGCCCCGCCCTTCCCCCGGGGGGTCAGGATTTGGACAAACTTGAATCTACACTACATGAGGATGCTTCCATATATTTTTAAAGATTTTTCCTATATATTTCTATGTAAAACTTTGATCCCCCACTGTGGCCCCGCCCTACCCCCGGGGGTCATGATTTGAACAAACTTGAATCTACACTACCTGAGGATGCTTCCACATGAGTTTCATCTTCCCTGGCTTTGTGGTTCTTGAGAAGAAGATTTTTAAAAGATGCTATTAATTTTTCACTAATTCTTTATTATCTCCTCTTGAAAGAGGGCGTGGCCCTTCATTTGAACAAATTTGAATCCCCTTCACCCAAGGATACTTTGTGGCAAGTTTGGTTGAAATTGGCCCAGTGGTTCTTGAGAAGAAGTCGAAAATGTGAAAAGTTTACAGACGGACGGACGGACAGACAGACAGACGGACTACAGACAAAATGTGATCAGAAAAGCTCACTTGAGCCTTCGGCTCAGGTGAGCTAAAAAGGTTCTAAGGTAAATTAAGTTACAACTCAAGGGTGTGCAATTAGGATTGTCCAACACTCATGGGCTACTGTATTTAAGGTCGGTCTATTGGTGTTTTATATGGAGGTAGCCCTCAGCCTAGTGAAAATTCAAAACTACCCATGTAATGCATGAAAAGAACTGCAGGTATTTTCCCTTTCTTTTTGCTAACTAAATTCCCAAACAATGAAAAAATTCCAAGGAGCCTAGTCCTATTGTTCATAAATATTCATCATTCTTATTTTGCAGTACATGTATTACTTCTAAAAGCAATTGTTTTTTTTTATCTAATCCGAATTTCCTCCACTCCTCTGTTTGTAGATATCCTCAACCAAAGAGCAAATGTCATTTGATATAAAATATAACATTTTTTTTTTTTAAATTGTTACTTTTTTCCTTACATTTGGGCTAGTTAATTTTCACTTGGTAATTTTTTTTCTGCCACTACCCCTGGGCTGGTGTTTGAATTTTTTAACTACACACCCTTCAAATACCTGGTTTTGGGCTCATAATCCCAAGAATTTGAAGTCAGCATTTCAATAACTCGTGTCTTTGACACAGAGTGACCTATGTGTTGAAACAGGTCTGTGACCATGCCCTCTAATTCATAAACTTTCTTCAGACGATTAGGGATTCCAAGACAGGCTCTCCCATGAATCCATTCCAAACAGTACACTGTTTCTTTAATGTCATTGCCCTATAAAACAAAGCAACGTAACATTACCTTCATGATGAAATATACAAGCTAAGGTTCAAAAATATGAATCACAGAAGTAGATTAAGCCTATACATCTTTTATCTATCCAGTTATATTTAAATCCAGCATTCTTTATCATATATAATATGAACCAACCAGACAATAAAATGGAGGGTATTCTGGTTTCTCTCCATTAGGATTTACAAAATTTTCTAACTGGATCCATAAACCTCTGTAATTAGAGTCAGCATTCTCAAAATTCTCCATTGGAATTTTATGGTAATCCTCACCTTTTTAAATAAATTTATTAAAATATAAACTTAACAAAAACATACTACAGTAAAAACTGAAAAGCTAATGTTTAAACACATTTTCTTTTCCGAGTCTGAGATTAGCAATAAAATTCATGAAAATGTTCTTACTTTTTTCTTTACAAACTCCTTTATATCCCAAAGGAATCCTTCCTGAAAAAATAAACATAGGTAATCACAGTTGACCTCGACGAATGTCATCTATCTGAAAGGCAAAGTCGCAAACCAAATGTTTTGGTAATTTGATTCCCTAGATACAACATTCTGTACAAGTTTGGTCTGGGTAAGATTTACAGTAACTTGGGTATGTACCTATTACATCTTCCATGAAAGATAAGTCACTGTAAAGTTTGAAAGTTACTTGGGAATAGATCTGCTCCAAAAAATTAAACATGTTCAATCAATAGGAAAAGTATGTCAATTCAAGCATCCAAAGCAAGTCAGATTACATGTATCCCTAGATGAATCATCCACCCAAGTTTGGTCTAGGTAGGACAGAGAGTTACTTGGGAAAAGACATCCTCCAAAAACTTTAACCTGTTCAGTCATCTGTAAAATGTACCATCTGAAGCAAGTCTGGTTGTGTGCATCCCTAGATGCATCATGCATGCAAGTTTAGTCACATAATCACCATAGGGCTTATAGTTACCTGGGAATAAGATCTGCTCCAAATACTTTAACCCGTTCATTCAGCAGGAAAATTAAGTCAGATCCAGCACATGTAGCAAGTCTATAGTAGAATACATGTACTCGGATCGTCCATAAGAATTGAAACAGAAGGGGAAATAAAACAAGAGGTCCATGGACCAGAATGCTCACCTGAGTCACCATAGCCCTGGTGTTTTTCATCAGCTGATTTTTCCATGTATATCCCTACCCAACCCCTGCAGGGTCATAATTTGAACAAATTTGAATCTACATTACCTGAGGATGCATCAATTTAAATATGAATAATCATGTCTTTGCTGTTCTTGAGAATATTTTGAAAGATTTTTTTTATATATATTCCTATATAAAACTTTGATATTCCAAAGATAGACAAAAGAGAACTCTGTACAGTGAAACATAGAAGTACTTACAAAGAAAACTGCTCCAAAAACTTTAATCTGGGATGCTGAGGGTTTAGCATATTAAGCTTCATGGAAGTGAGTTAAAAATGCTAACTTCTTGGTAGTGTGTAGCAAATCATATTTTGGTATTTATCCAAAGCTAAAGCAGTGATCCCTTTTATTGCAGATATCAAATAAAACTGCCCAAGACTTTTTATTGTTACTCATTCTACACATGCAATCACATTATATTAATTCATTTAAATCTACATTAATTCTTAAATTCCTAGAGCAATATGCATTCTATCATTGTCTATTTCAGTTGCACACTTTGTTTCCATATAAATTACACTGTTTACCTGGTTCTATAAATCTGTGGAGTTTTTTACTAATGCCTCGCTTGATGCTGTATTCAATTACACCGATTTCTGCGGGCAAATAATGACCATCATCAGTCAGACACAGTGTTTGGAAGTTGATTAAATAAAACACTTCATTTGCAACCTCTGAAAAGAAATTGTGTGAAACTTGATTTTAAGCAATAAAAAGAATAAAATATATGATCAAATCCAAATTAATAACAACAAAAATTTCTATCTGGTAGTTTATGAATGTAATAACATAAAATCCAGTTAAAGTGAACCATCAATAAATTTGACTGATTCTAATCCATATAACTATATGCCAACTGACCTTCTCCAGGAGGCCATTTCTCTCGGACAGACATTCTCTGCTTTAGTCGCAGCTGTTCAGTCTCAGCTTCAACATCTACACGCTCCTAGAATGGGTCAATCACAAACATTTCCATTGTATAAGTATTATAATATTTATACAAACTATACTGGAATAATCTCATGCATATGCCTTCATGAGTAAGTAAACATGGGTTATCAAATATTTAGTTTATGTAGTACATGTATCCGAAAAAATCTGTCAGCATGCATCATGCAAGTTGTGTCCTACTTTTGCCTGTAGATACTTTGGCATAGACCTGTTCCTAATTATTTTCACCTTGGATGCTGACACAAGGGGCATAGTGTAATTAATCAGGGATTTTCCACTAAATTTTGGGAATGGGGCCTGGGCCCTTTGAATTGGGAATTTAATGATATTTTATCAATGATTGGGAAATTATATCACATGACAATTTTCAAGAAATAAACACTAATGATCAATAAAATTGAGCTTTTGTTTAATTATTTAGAACTTTTAATCAAAGAGTAGATTAATCAATGCATCACTTGAACAATTCGTCTTCAAACTTTAGTAATTCTATTGATTTTCAACTCCAACTGTAACAGTTATTTTACTGGGAAAAAGGAAGGATTTTTGTAATTTGGAATGGAGCCTAAATACAGCCCTACACATGGCAGTGGAAAATCCCTTAATTTATTATTTTTAGTATATTTATCTCAACAATCTTTTTTTATTGACCAACTTAATTTTAATGCATCTTTAATCAATTTGAAAATGGAAATCTACATGTCATCAATGTGCATTATTATTATTTTCGCTTAGAAAGAATGTGCAGCACATTATATAAGACCCAAAAGGATGGTCACTAAAAAGCTTAGGATCATCAAGTTCCTATATACAATATTGCAGAATTCTTACTGAGAGCAGTTTTCCCTGGTTGTCCATTCTGTAGCAATCCCCACTGGCTCCCTTCATTTGCTTTTTATATTCCTTAGCCCTCTGATCATACACTGCTCTCTCTTTATCTGTAAGAGCCTATATATAAATATTCAAAATAAATGCATCGGAATATACCATGAATAAAGTTCTGCAGAATTAAAAAAAAAATGAAAATAAAATATTTCTTGTGTCTAGTTGGAAAATTTTTCTATCTTATCCTTTGGTTTAATTTTTCAGAAGTTTATTTTAAGTGGTTTTTTTTTTATCTTGATCATTATCTAAAATTAAATATTTTAAAGGCATATGGCAACAAATTCCACGTTAAAATTCCAATTTTTCTCTCTCAGTGGACCGAGTAATGTCTAAATTTTATTCCACACCAATCAAAATTATGCACCAGAACAAAACCAAGTTTTCTTCATATGGTTAGGCCTAAAAAAATTAATAACTTGGTTCTCAGGCTCACCCGCATCTCATTCAACAATGCACATTACCCATTTTTATCCTCAAATGAATAAAATAAAATTTATTTTTTACGCTCGTGCATATTTATATAATCACTCTTGAAAATGTGCCTTTTTCTGTGTAATTGCAATCAAAGTTCTAAAATTTTGGGGGCAATATACAACAGTTAATTGTGACCAAACAGTTACTTCTTGAATGAAATAATAAAGAAGACCATTTCTGGTTATCATGGTAAGGCATAATAAAAAAAGATGTTTGTTTACAGTTACATGCTGAAATAAGAGAGGGTCAGTAGGTAGGATTTTTTTTTTATTTTATTGAATTTTTTTATACACAAATTCACATGAATTGGTTGAAATACAAAACAGTTAAACCATTGCTTATTGCTTTACTTTTGTTTTTGGGCTTGTAATGGGCAATAGAATAACGATAATGTAGATATGAAACATGCCATTTTGATTCTAGTACTTTCTATTTCAATTTCAAACATTTGACCATGATTAAGATGCATATAAAAGTTAAACTGACCGGCGAGTGACTTCCGGATTTTTACGATGAAAAAAATTTGGGTCGGCGATAAAATATGGGGTCGGTCGGGTAACCGTAAACAAACATATATTTTTATTACGCCTAATTGATTGGTAATTATTCAGCATAATGTGAAGTGGTCATACTTATCCATGCTTCATCACACACAAGGTGGTGTACAGTTACTCAAACAATAGAAATACATCTTTTGCTTAAAAGTGTTCAAGCACAGCAATGTTTAAACTATCTCTGCTTTGAATTGCTTTTTTGAAAATCCCTAGTATAAATATTAGTAGTCATTTACAGTGATTTACATGCGATTTTTTGTCTTTTTTTAAATAAAAAGCAAAATTGTGAAAAGTTGCATTGAAATACCTAAATAAAACTACGGTACGTAACTCTAGCTACGTAGCTAAATGTACTGATTGTACTGGACCTGTTCAAATATAAAATTAATACAAGTTAATTACCTTCCATCGAGGGTGTGCAATGGGAACAACGTCCTGGATGCCATTAGGAAAAACACGCCCTTCCTTTCTAAGCGATGGTTCGATGTCCTTCATGAAAAAGTAAAACCCATTTCTAGCAGGTTTCTTCGGCATGATGCCTAGCCTAAACTTCTAAACTCGTGTTCAGAAAAAATCTTTGGTCTGACAATCGCGGGAAATAAACCTGGTTATGCTATTTTATAAATGCCGAACCCGATGGAATTAAACTTTCTAGTAGCTAACAAGATTATGATACAAAACGAAAATAACTTGACGCTTACTAATGATATTAAAATAAACATAAAACTGTTGAAAAATTTATGTTACTTATGCATGACAGGCCCGTAATAAGCAATTTCAGTTTCTGTGTGTTTTTTTTTTTTAATTATTTTTATTTTTTTCGGGGGGGGGGGGGGGGGCACAACCACAGTCTTGTAAAAGAAGTCGAGGAAACTATTTTCTGTGACGTCAGAATAAATTTACATGCTAAATAAGGCACCAAGGTGACTGACAAACAGACCAATCGGCTAAATGAGTTGCATTATGGGTTACTGCAAAAAGTATTACATGTACGTTTCGAAAAGGCCAGTTTTTCAAATTGCTCTCGGAAAGACATGATGCATTTATCCAAGTATTTTACACACTTAATACAATATATTTACATCATTATCTACGAATTCCATGCTCACATTTACATATAAATAATTTAATTTTGTTTGTATTCTAGCCTCTGATTGGTTAATATCCAAAAAGGAACACAAATTATTTCTGTATAACCTGGTTTGGTATGGGGACACACCCCCCTGACAACCAGCTGAATCGTCTGTATCCATGCAATCCTCTCATTTCCAGTCCTCGGGATTCATGGAAAATTCCAGATTTAATAAACGTACCTTTAACTTCAAACAGTAACTTGGATCTTACCAAATGTAAACAAAACAACATGGCTGCTAGGACTATGTATCAGTTTTTACCTCCCCTCGCTTCCCATCACTTCCGTTACTAGGGTTGTATTATTGAGCGGCAAATTTGAACTAATAAAAAGCAACGAAATTTTACACCCACAGTTGTTTAATGATTTTAGAATTAAATTATAAGGAATGACTCTAATTCTTGGCCAAATTATTCGAGTATAACCTGGTTTGGGTCAGTTTACGCTGTTTTATAATCCGCTTCGCGGATTATAAAGCGTAAACTGACCCAAACCAGGTTATACTCGAATAATTTGGCCAAGAATTAGAGTCATTCCTAAAATGTTTTACAACGGTAAAAACTATTTGTTGACTTTCCCGCAATCTTTTGAAATTGCGTCCTAAATTTTCCTGACTCACGTGTTTGTAGTAAAATATAAACATGTAGAAGACCATCATGCTTTTTTGCTCATTCATTGGATTGGACGATTGTTCGATGTAAGCACCGCTGTGCGCAATAACAATAATATCCATATAAGGAAGGGTGGCGACAAAATAAAAGGAGCTAGTGAGGGTTTGATATTTGCAAAAAAGGGGGATCAGACGTAATTATCCATAAAGTAGCATTGTATTCTATATTATACTATATAAGGGTTGGGGTGGGGTCCTAGGCCATGCATGACCTTTCCATTCATAAAATCACCGACTACATTTAATTTATCACTTTCATAACCAAGTCACACCGAGCTCAGCAACAAATATCTGTCAAGAAGTATCAATTGAAAATATAGCCCTAAGTCTGCAGGCCCGTAGAACGCGCGGGGGGGGGGGGGTACTTTTAACTTGGAATTACTTTAAAGTTGGAAAAGCCAAGATTAAAGTTGGAATTACCAACTTCATGTTGGAAAAGCCAAGTTTAAGTTGGAATTATACCAAGTTTATAGTTGGAAAAGCCAACTTTAAAGTTGAAATTATGAACTTCAAAGTTGGAATTATCAACTATAAAGTTGGAATTACCAACTTTAAAGTTGGAATTATTAACTTTTAAGTTGGAAAAGCCAACTTTAAAGTTTATATTAGCCCTTTTAGGGGTTGATCCATAACTAATGCACGGATCTAGAGGGGGTCTGGACCCACCCCCCTGGAATTTGCAGAGTAATTAAAAGTATCCCCTACAAAACGTGGACCCCACCATCGCCACCACGGAATAGTGTTTTTCACGTTTGGGAAATGGATTTTACGGGGCATTTGGGGGGTTACGTTTGGGAAGGGAATTTAGTTTTTTTTTCAGAATTTTTTGGGTTGGATTTTTTTTTTGTTTTGACTGGGATGGGCCCCCTGGAAAAAAAAATCCTGAATCCGCGCCTGGTAATACGAAGTGCTCGGTCGATATGCTTTTTCTGTGAAGTCGATATATCTATGGATTGACCAAATAAAAGGGCTACATTCTACAAAGGCTTCATTTGATATATTATTTTTTAAAGAAAGAAAAACTATGTCCTTCAAAACATTTTGTGTTACAGTATGCTTGTCATGGAGTTGGTATGGCTAATTTATTCGATCTAAAGCGCTTTCTGTTCTGTATAAAGAAAATACCCCCTTTTTTTGAGAATAAAAATAAATTAAATAAATAAATCGACAAAAGATGGCACAGGATCGCTGCTTTAATTCCCCTATGGTAGGGTCAATCAAACACGTGTTATTTTTTTAAGTTAGTTTGTTTGTTGTTGTTATCGTTTAATCTTTTATTTCCTTCTATTTTATTTTTTCGGTTAGAAGAAGATCGAATGAAAAGACAGAGTGACGGATGGCTGAACACAGACAATATTTCTTTTATAAATGAGCATATTGACTTCTGCAGATTGTTGAAATTATGTTCGGTTGTGTACATTTAAAGCTATTAGATCGTCATGGACAGCGTTTTGCACAGATAACGCAATGGATAAACGCAATTCAAACATGGTAGCACTAAAAAAATGGACATTTATTTTCAAGGTGACAAATGGGATGTACTTGTTGGCAATTTTATCCGTTATTGTCCTTTATCAGCTTTGGGACCAGAATCGTCAGTTGTTCAAATTTTCCAACTCGTTCAGGAAAATAAAAGGGGATTTATTCTACTTCTTTAACCCCACAATTCTCATCAAAGCTAATACCAGCTACCCAAAACATAACATCCATAGTCATTTTGACCAAGAAAACTACGTCTTTCAATCTAGTGGCAATCAAGGAAGAACAAAAACTGGAAGAAGAGCAGTAAGACCTTTGTCGTGTAATTCTTGTTTTGTTCACAACTTTGACTATGTTTTAAATAACAGAAACATTTGTAATACAGATAATGGCGATAGTTCAATTTGGGTTATTATCCTGATCTTCAGCACACACGCAAATTCTGACAGACGAAAGGCTTTGAGAGAATCATGGCTTCTACCATCTAGACGTAACGAAGGCAACTTCCGGTATGCTTTTCTTATAGGAATGACTCCAAACAAGAGTTTACAATTGGCACTTGAGACAGAGAGTGCAACCCATAAAGACATTGTTCAAGAAAATTTTCTAGACAGTTATTTTAATCTTACTTATAAAGCGATAATGGCGTTAAAATGGGCTAGCACATACTGCAAACACGCCAAGTATATGATGAAGACAGATGATGATATGTATGTGAATACAGGATCTCTAAAAATCGCACTTAATCAACATGAAGACCTTTTATTTAAATCCATCGGAGGACATTGCTGGATGAGGGGAAAACCTCTGAGACAAAAAAGTTCTAAATGGTACGCATCGTACCGGATGTATCCACAGAAGAAGTATCCGGGCTTCTGTTCCGGAACCGGATATGTGACTACGGTTCATATGGTTAAGAAATTGTTTAAGGTTTCCCCAAATGTTCCTTTCTTCCACTTAGAAGATGTGTATATGGGGCTTTGTCTCTATGCCCTTGGTCTGACCGTCACTCCGATCAGAGGGTTCCATATAGAACAGGTCCCCCTTGGTTGTGTCTATAAAAGCAATTCAGTGATTATACATCACATAAACTAGATCCCCACAAACTCATTTCAGTGTGGCATTTAAATTGTTAAAATCGTGCTCTAACTATTATAATAAAATAGTTGACTGCTCTGTCGATGATGTTTAAGGACTAAAGAAACGATGATTTACAGGAACTGTGACAAGAATGCACGACAAAGAAATGGCTCATGACGATGCACAACTCTTTGTACATACGTGTATTTCAGTAGCATTTACAATCTGAATTATTATGAAATAGTTCTTGTGAATAATGAATTTGTTCAAGACTATTCTTACTTTTCCCGAAATGGTATATAAAACACAAAGAAAATCATTGAATTTTTTTTTGGGGGGGGGGGTATATTGGACTATCTTTTGTCTCATTGGTTCCATTCGTACTCTTAGACATTTAAACCATTTTAAAAGGTACAAACAGACAAACAAATCAGTCTGTAAAAATGTCCTATCATTTTTGTAAGGAATCTGCATGGTTTGTTACAACTGCATGGCATCGAATACATGTAAAGCCAAGGTTGTCTGAAGCTCTATGATTATATTGAACTAAACTTATTGTATAATGTAATCTGACCTTGACTATATGTATATGTTATTAGTAATTTTAAATGGCAAACACCAAAAATTACTTAATTACTAGATACGACGATACATTGTGTAATAATTAAGCAGCTTATCAGTCTCGTAAAAATGAAGTAAAATGATGTAAGGCTTTTGATACTGCAAGTATTCTTAAGAGAAACATTATTTGACCACAATTTCTTTGAAAACATCAAAGGAGAGACTCTTCAGAATTTTAGTGGAAGTGTTGAAAAGTAAAATGGGAGTTCCGCAAACGTCCCGTAATGATTCCGATATCGTACCTCGAATGAAAACAAGTCGAGAGCTTGCGTACGTAAGTGCACTGAACATTAACAAATCTCATATTGGTAAGTACTCTCTCTTTCTTTCTCTATTAATCAAACTATTTCACAGTGACCAGATCCCAATGAATCTTAAATTCCGTATATCAATTTATTATTACAATTACACAAATTATCATATCTTTTATTATAATTTCCCTAATGCTTAAAAAAATTTTGTACCAGCACTTCTTTCGTGTATTGTTTTAATCTGATCATAGAACCTATATTCTCTAAAAGGTATTTCCACGAAAAAAAAAATCAAACTATAAAAAATGAATTATAATAATCAGACAGATTTTCAGAAATCTAGTTTCATCCCTTTGTAGGTGAAATCTTTCCTCCTTAGTAGGTGAAATCTTTCCTCCTTTGTAGGTGAAATCTTTCCTCCTTTGTAGGTGAAATCGTGTCCGGGAGGAATATAACAGAATCTAAGCTACTGGAAACCAGGCTGGAACTTCTAGAAAAAGACAAACGAGTTCTGGAAAAAGAACACTTTTGGAAGCAGAGGCAATTTTTCATACACAATGTGTTCGACAAGGATCGCCGTCTAAAGTAAGTTTCACCGAAAAATCGTTTAACATGGTATAAATCTAAAGACCAATGATAAGATATAGCATTAAGGTTAAATAAACAAGCTTTTTTCACAAAAATCAGCAATATATCTATTAAATTTATGTTCATATAGTTATAGTGTAACTTGAATGATGTTTTTGCCACATTAAATATGGTCATTTTGTATGAATTTTTAACAATCTTATAAAATGTGTTTATACACAAAATGCCACAAAGTCGCATATTTGAACTTCAAAGAATACTTACGATTTCTTTATATCTTAGGCATTTCTAAGTATATTTGACAGAGAGAGAGAGAGATAGAGAGAGAGATTTAGCTGAAGGTTTAGTTGTACTGTTAGTTTCTTTGGTATCTTTGATTTCTATTTTTAACTTAGGTATGCCGGTATTGCCAATAAGATTTCCGAGGTAAAGAAGGACCAAGAGAAATCCAGAACAGCCTCTAAACTTCCTAGCATTTCTAAGTCTGCAAAATATGACGTAAGATTTTACTCACACCTTACGTAATTTTCCCCCTGACTTACTATTATTTGATATATCACACGGTTTATCTCCTTTTGTTTAAAGTTATTCAATTTAAATGCCATTTTATGCCCCACCATGAATATGGCTGGGACGTATAGAGTATGTCATGTCCGTCTTCCGTCCTCCTATCCTTCTGTTCTTCCGTCGCGCTTTGCGTTAAGCTCAGTTCAAAGCTCAGTTTCAAAGAAACTATTCAAGATATTTTTATCAAACCTCATATGCTGATACATATTTATGAGAGCTATTCAACTGCATCAACATTTTTTGAACTTCACCTTTTTTTGTCCTTGACCTCACTTTTCTTAAATTAGTGTGTAGCTCAGTGTTAAAGAAACCATTAAAGATACATGTATCAAACTTCATATGCTGATACGTACTGAAATAAGCTACTTAACTGCATCAACAATTTTTTTACCTTTCCTTTGACCTTGACCTCATCTTTCTTAACTTAGTGTTTAGCTCAGTTTTAAAGAATCAAGATATTTTTATCAAACTTCATAGGCTGATACATATTTATGAGAGCTACTCAACTGCATCAACATTTTTTGAACTTCACCTTTTTTGTCCTTGACCTCACTTTTCTTAAATTAGTGTGTAGCTCAGTGTTAAAGAAACCATTAAAGATACATGTATCAAACTTCATATGCTGATACGTACTGAAATAAGCTACTTAACTGCATCAACAATTTTTTTTTACCTTTCCTTTGACCTTGACCTCATCTTTCTTAACTTAGTGTTTAGCTCAGTTTTAAAGAATCAAGATATTTTTATCAAACTTCATATGCTAATACAGACTGCTGAGAGCTATTCAACTGCATCAACATTTTTTGTCCTTGAGGTTTCTTTTGACCTTGACCTCACTTTTCTTAAATTAGTGTTTAGCCCAGTTTTAAATCAACAATTTAAGATATTTCATCAAACTTAATATGCTGGTACATACTAGTATTAGTGAGAGCTATTCAACTGCATCAAAAAACTGTTAACTTTGACCTTTCCTGTGACCTTCACTTCACTTTTCTTAAATTTGCATTTTGCTTAGTTTTAAAGAAACCGTTTAAGATATTTTTATGTAAGCTTATGCACTTATACATAATTTGGTGAGAATTTATCATCTATATCCAATTTTTAGATTCCAATTTCAAAGAAACTATTCATGATATTCTCATCAAACTTCATACACTTTTAATGTTGCCTTTCTTATATGCCCTCGGCGGGGCATTCATGTCCTATGAACATATTTCTTGTTTAAAATATCAAATACATGCTGCTGATAATGATACGTATAAGCTATTTTTCTTAATTAGGTCTCACTAACTAAGCATTTCTTCCCGGGGAAAATTGATCAAAGAAAGAGTGTTAATTATAAACTCGTACTGCATGGACAAGAGAAACTAAGAGCAGCAGTGAACGCATTTCAAGCTGCACTAGAAATTCGTAAACGTTATTTAGAGAAGAAGAAAAATGAAGGTCTAGAAAAAGAACAGAATAGTGATTTAGAAGACGAAAGACAAGAAGGCAAGAGTACCAACAAAGATGGTGAAGTTGATTCTACTGACAGGTCCATCTCCGAAATTCAAAAAAGCAATTTCATCAAATACGTTGTGAAAAATTGGAAAAGCTATAAAAAGTCAGAGACACACTCGACACAAACAAACAAAATTTCCAAAGAAACAATAAAACAAGCAAGCAATAGCAAAGAGTCCCAAGAAGGAAAGTTGCTTGGAAACCGGACACGTGACCGCCGTCGTCACTCCTTGGTGAAAACTGAAGAGGACAAATTACTGCTTAAACTGGCCATGACGCTTCCTCCAAACGTTTTGACGGAGGCTAACGACAAGTTATCAGATCTGAGTACTGTGTTGGGGTTCTCCTCACGAAATGAGAGACTCCGTCAGCAGGCAGAGAGTGTATTACACCGACCAGTCCTCACTGACCAAAGATTTGTTAATCTTCAGAAGACATTAATTAGGTCATCAACAACTCACAACTGATGTTTGAATGAGCTCTTTTGAAATACCGTTCACCCCCATCCGCCCTTAAGGTCAGACGACACGTTACTCGATTATATGTTTTGTATACCTTGGTATTATATCAAAAATTATTCATAATTGTCATTCTCTTGTGATTTCTTAATTGTTTTCAATATGTTTTAAAAAATAAGTACACCAGAAATTGTAACATTGGCCATTCAAAAGATTACCTATATGGATTATATAGGAAATATCACCCTCTGGTATCTTGCCCAAATGCCTGGTAAGGTACCTCAATTTTGGTGAGGAAACTTGTTTAAGTAGCAATACTTCAATGACAAATTCTTGGGAAAAATTATATATTTTTGAGGAACGTGTCGTCTGACCTTAACATCTGAAGTTTCCAAAAAAAAATAAATCATTTCATTTTTTTCAGCTTGTAAACAAATTTGTAAACAAAATATGAATGCAAGTGTATTTGCTGCAAATAGTTACATTGTGTCGTTTTGTTTTATTCAAATATTATACAGTATAAAAATCGTGAAACTGTCATTCATGATTTAAAAAATGCACGATACGTAGGTACTGCATGAATATTTCTTTAACTTTAAAATAAAACAAAAAGCATATCCCTGCAAATTTAAGAGGATATATATATGTTAGCGGCATGCAAATCAATAAATACCTAAATTGTACCAACTTTTTTCCTAAATTGCATTTATTTCATTAACATTTATGGACGTTTGCTTTACTGTGGTAAGCATACAGAAACAAGTAAATTAACAATACAATAAGATATATCTAAGCTATTTTTAAATGTGTCATTTTAAAATTAATAATCAGAATATTGACATTTTTCCTAGGTTAAAACATGCACACAGCTTATAACTAACAAGTCTGTAGCTTAAATGTCTTTGAAATAAATCATACATCAATTCAAACGGGCGTTGAAGTGGAAGAGGAAATTGTACATATATTCCTTTCTTTTCGTGGAATATAAAAAAATATCAAAATATTGACCTAGAATAGAAATACGTGATTGAAGAAAAGGAAAGTGAAGTTTTTGATGAACCTCGATAAGAATTCCACCGAGATGTCGCCAATTGTTCACCTTTCGTGCAAAGTTTGAATTTTATACCTTAACAATTATCATAAGTACTAGATGACAAGCGGTGATAGGTCTCAGTCAATCACATGTCTATTAATTGATAAATAAATTAAACGGTCATTTCGTTTATAATCATGATTGCATTTTTCAAAAGAATCCAATAAATATGAAGTGTGAATTGTTCCTTGTGAATGGAAGTTTCATGCACAACTTTAAATTCCTTTATGATGCTCTACACAGCGAAACCAAAAGAATAATTTTCACCTGTGAAGTCGAAAGGAAATGAATCGATCTTAAATCCCATGACCTAAACCCCACCCCCCACCCCCCAGCATCTCATAGATGAAAATATCGTTCAAGAAACCCGAGTATCTTAAAACCTGAGAATTTTTAATTTTGCTATTGTTAGAGTATCTTTAAAGGACCCTCATCACACTTCACACTGAAGAGTTAATTCAGAATAGAAAGGGACTTTAAAAGACAATGGCCCTCTGCATGCTTACAAAAATGAATTCCCCCTGAAAATATTACAAATTTCTAAATAAAAATGGAAACAACATTTTTCAGCAAATTTAGTAAATATTTGAAGAAAATCATTGTCGAAGATGAAAATAACATTTTAAATTTCAATTTATTTGATTTTAGCTCTAAGGGTAGATCACTCTTACTGCATAAAATTTGGAGTGCATGGTAAAAAAGATCCTCAATAATATTCAATCTTAGATATATTTCTTCTACCAGAGGGAATCTCTACTCAAAAGTAACAATAAATAAGAGAATCTGGTATTCTTTATGAATTAAAAACAAAACTCCCTCTCGTAAATAAATAATAGCACACAATAAACCAAATCCCAGTTACAAGAAAAACCAGGAATTTCGAATCAAAGAAAATGAATCAGGAGAACTGATAAAAACTTTATTAATTTAAGCTTATAAATAGAATGTGCATGTGCAGTTACTGTGTCACGTCGATGCACTATAGTTCAATGATATCATTAACTAAGAATTAAAAGCAAAAATAATGGAATTTTCATTAAGATTGTTATTAATATTTATGACATGCACTCGTAGGGACCCAAAGAACATCTTTGAAAGACACTGTCAATTAATATATTTGCAATGTTTCTAATTAACATAAATTTCGTGCATCTAATAACTTATTTCATACTTTCCCTACACTGGCCTCCTTCTTGTGTCGTACGTAAATTAATCACAGAGAAAACAAGATATTTAACAGAATAACAAGATCCCGGATGCGCATTTGTTTATTTTGTGTTGAACATTTGCCATGGAGGGACATAAATTTGTGGCACTCATATTCCTCATTTGTGTGGATCTCCATTATTCCTTGACCCAGGACACCCAGCTTCTGGGACCCGCCAACCTTGATAGTAAGTAAGCCATGGGAAACATAGATCCGCTACTGAAGCAAGTGTTATGTAGATTTATTCTTACTTATGATTTAATAGGAGCTTAATCTGTGTATCACCCTTGAGGTAAGAATGCATGTTTTTGTTAAATCTGAAAATCCAAGTGAATATTGCTGATGGAGTACTGTGTAATAACATTCTCTGACGAGGAGGACCGTGGAGAATACACGTGACACAGGTGCTGTAGATATTTCTTTAACATTCAAATTATTTATCAATTATCTTCGTGAATCAGTTACAGAATCAATGGCAAAGGGTTTTCAAAATTAATTACATGTATTCAAATTCTGCAGATTACATCATGGTACTAAGTGGGCGACGACAAATAATTAACACATTTTAAAATCTTCATTTACTCGTGGTTAATTAATGCACAGCAACAAAAAAGCAGTTTATTTGTAATTAAAATTCTCTTATAAAAACACACGATCATTCATGCATATAAGTGAAGTTTCAAAGGCCCTTATACACATAGATTGTAGCACAGTCTCCATGCAGAAATACCATGTTACAAAACTAATTGCTTGATTACATTTTAAATCGTTGCTTACACAAGAGTCTTAAACATAATGAAAAACTTAATGAGCTGTATATTCTCATAATGTTACATCACATTTATCAAATAAAGGCCGGGCGTTAAAATGTCCACATCTTTTTTGCTGGTCTTTCGGGATTTCAATTTGCTATAGCATGAGGTGAGAAGCATATCTAGTTATAGAACACCAAATTGTTCAGTATTTTAAATAATACCAACGTAGAATTTCATATAATCAAATCTTTTTAATGAAATTGACGTGTAAATAAAGAGAAGTTAATAAATGTATTTATTACGATATCAGTTAAACCGAAATTAGATCAATGTGTAATAAAATTGAAAACATCTTTAGTTCGGATGCACGCATGTGTCTTTGAATTTAAGATGGAATAAATTGTACACCAGATCACATATTTAATTTCACCTGGCCCTTTTTACCTACACCTAATGAAACATCTAAATGTATATTAAAATCAAGTACATATTGTAATGGATTAAAGAAAGGTTGATAGGTGCAATTAATCGAAGAAAAAAGATATGCAGATCAATTATTTATGACATTAAAATGTATATGTAAATAATTTGAAGATAAAGACAAAAATATTTTTGTAATTAACATCCTTAAAGGAATCGGCATCTATCTTCGGTAGATACTAGAATTTTTTTTTTTGTTTTTTGGGTTTTTTTTTTCGTATTTATTTGGTGTTCCATATTCTTGATAAATGATTCTATGATGTGAAATTTCAAAGAAAATGCATACAGTATTTCACAACAAAACCTAAATGTAAATCATTATTGCAAACGTATTAAACAATTTTGATTATCACTTTATAATTCAAAGATAAAATATGCATAGATACATATTCGTACTATTGCCAATGGCCAGGTTACTCAGTCATATCATCCCCCAAAATATAAACATACATAAATCATGAATGGACCTTGGTAAACATAGACATTAATTCATTTTGACTGGCTTTAGCTTTGAACAGAGAAGTTCGGAGACATCTTCTGTCAACCATTACACGAGAGTTGTCGACCGTGAAAAAGATGATAGATTCCATGCAGCCAAAAATGGCAGATTGTCAGAACAAGACGCATGCGCTGATGGGAGACTGCATCCACTGTGTCAATGATTTGTGCCAAAACAGGTTATACAAAAATTAATTTATCTTTTACAAATTAATGAGTACGCGTGTAGCCACAGTACGGGTAGTATTTAGCTATTATGGATGGGATTTTTATTATTAAAACATGTCAAAGTATTTCACGTGAGAAGTGTGACTTCAATCGACTTACTGACATTTTTTTCATTCAACCCCCCCCCCCCTTTTAGAAGGTTTCACAAAGGTAAAAATATAAAAAGATAAGAGAGTGGCAAATTCTACTTAATTATTAAAAGAAATGACTTGTCATCTCAAATAAGGCTCATTTCCCCTGATTATGTGCATTTTTTAATGAATAAATTCTGTTAGAAATCTGTACCACCTCACTCATTTGACCATTGGATCGGCATGATTATGTACATATATACATGGTTAATTTTAATTGTTCAAGTGGAATCCGACTGGCGTCACACGACCAATGGTCTGAATAATTGCTAAAATATCGAGGAAATGTCAAGTACAAAACGTAACTGATTTACAAATGTAATATAATTATTGATTACAGAATCAGGAAGTGCCGAGGAATCACAAAAGTTCTTCTACCTGCCACAGGTGGCGTCTCGGTCTCCAACCACCAAAACGAGGCTGGAGAATCCATCGTAAAGATCTGCAGCATCCTCCGCGATAACTCTAGGTCATGTCAAACGATCATGAATCCCGATGGTATCATGGTCTCATCTATTTCCAACATGGGGAACACTCTCCAGGTATATATATCAGGATTCAGGACAAAGAAATACAAAGACTATTTCTTGTGTTTATATACTTCTGCATTAAATCCACTTTTTCTTTAAGATTTACAGTTTTTGAAGGTCGAGTGTTTTTATTTTTATTTTGCCCATCCAATGTATAAGGAAAAAAAATAAAACTGAGAAAGTAACATTGTCGACTTAAAAGTGCATTTTCTAATTTCAAAACACCGAAAACCACAAAACATCGAATGACAAATGAGATCCCAGCTCTAGGAAACAACAAGAAACAACCAATCTTAATGTGTAAAATAGATAAAAACAGTACCAACCACATTTAAAGCGACACAATTTAACGTTAAATAAACTGGTTTTAAAAACAAAACAAGATGTTAATTTATGAATAAATGTTGTTTTCCATTCCTTTTGATAGGTGCATCTGCAAGGCGCAGTAAATGACCTTGGCGGAAACGTTGGAACATTCATCAACGGCATGCAGACCTTTATTGGAGGATTCAGTCCATCAAAATCCTCCCTAAATGCCTCAGAGTGGCAAGCCCTGCAACGGGCAGGGGAACAGTATGGACGGATTGCAAACGAAATGGGACAGCAGGTAAAAAGAACATACATGTACCACCTTAACTCATCAATAAGCTCTTTAGATATTAATTTTACAGTAAAGTGTTGTCTTGTTTAAATCAATCTCTTGTTTAAGTATGAAATGATAAATCATTCTATGCTCCATCTTAATTGTTGTTGTAGTTATGCTTACACTTTCCACTGAAACTATTTCACAAATGCTTAACGATATTCTATTTAATACAGAAGTTTACTTCTTTTATCAGATGACCCAGATGGGTATGGAAATGGGTCGTTCTATGAATGATTTTGCCCAGGGAATGAACCAAGGAATGAACCAAATGGCCATGGGATTAACAGACATGTTTAACAACATGGCTGCCAGTTTTGGACAATGGAACGTTCCAAACGGCGCCCCAGGCGTTGTCAACATCAACTCGCAAATACCAGGCAATTCACACAGTGTAGTTAATATTAACTCCAACATAGGATCATATCAAGATCCAGTTGTCCAGAGTCCAGTCAATCTCCAACAGGTTGATATGCGCATGCCTGAATTTCCTTCAACAGTGAACATAAATTCTCAGATCCACACACAAAACAACATACCCAACTCACCCAAAACACTTCACAATCACCAGCCTGTCTCGTCTTCGAGTGTCGTGAGGATCAATAATAAGGTTTATCGACAGAAAAATAATAATGTTCCGCATGTCTTAAATATCGACACACACATTCAGAACAAAAATGGTAAAGCTCAACGTAATCAGAACCTCAACATGGGAAACTCTTTTGGAGCATTTGATGGACACGCATTTGCAGCTAACATGAATAATTACATGACGAATCTTTTTAGTAAGTACAAGTCCTCACTTTTCCAAATATGATAAATTTTATAACGCACAATATATCAAAACACAATTCATGTTTTAAACTTTCCTCTATCAGGTAACATCTTTGGAAGGAAAAAGCGAGCCGTTCCTACTTTTAAACCAACAACAACAACTTCAGCTACACCTAGTCTGAAACGATTTAAAGTAAAAAGCAGACGATCGCGAAGGAGAAATTCAAAATCAAGAAAGTCTGGAACGAAACAGAGATTCTCTACTACCACCACTACACCTGCGCCAGTCAGCCCGGAAACAGCGCCTAAAACTGCGGCAGCACCCACCACAACCCCGTCACTACCAACTCCAGCAGTTAAAGTTCACTCTGATCAACTTGCCTCTCAACTGGAGCAGACCATTGTTGACCGATTTACGCAACCAAGCAAAGAAACGCCAAAAGTATTATAAAAACCGATTCTTATTCCAAAAGCAGCTATAAAATTTTCAAATTTGTCTTGCCAAAATCTGGTATTACTTATAAAATATAGTAACTTATTTCTTTCTTGATAGGTAACAACAGTTGTTATTGATCCACCAAAGACATCAGAACTGTCGTTTGATCCAGAGGTTATTTCGCAAAAGCTGGGAACAACAGAGAAAATTCCCAACTCGCATGATGATTCCCCTGCCCTGCAGGCATTGTTAGGAGTTATCCTGCCAGAGGAAGCTTATGATTTCCCCATGCAATCCACTACGGTGGCTCCTATCACGCCCATTAGCCTTGGACTGGAGGATCTGTTTAAGTCTATGACTGTTCCGCCAAAAGTTGATAGTTCAACGGATGTTCCCGACTGCGGAACTATAGTTATCGATCCAGATTCATGTGCTAGGTATAAATCCCAGTGTGCAACATGTGCCAACTACATCGACAAAAATAAAGGAGATATTCTACAAAAAGGTATTAAAATCTTTTTGATTCTTGGTAAATGTAATTTTCAAATGCATTGTTGCCCAGTGGGTGACAATATTCTGTTTTGCGTTCCTTTTGATTTACTACACGAGGTACTGCATATTCTGTATTGCATGATTACAAATACTAAAACCTTTAATAACGTATGAACAATTGCAATATGTTAAGATTTTCGGTAGTTGCTGAAAAATAAAGGTAAGGAATAAAATCTGGAAAATTTACCCGACTTTTCGCATGCTAACAATTGGTTTGCCTAGATACTTGAAGCCTTCCCCGAATTTTGGAATAATTCTTCATAATTCATGTCTGAAAAATCACACTAAACTTTGGTAGGTTCTAGCTATTAGTGTGTGCACATGGGTGACACTGTTGCTCGCTTCAAATAAGTGATTTGAATGATTATTATCGGCCGCAGCATCAGTGTTACCTAGGTGCACACTAATGCTAGAACCTGGTGAAGACATGAATTATGAAGAAGTGTCTGAGATTTGGTGAAGGCTTTAGTCCAGCTAAGCAGAATCTCAGCCGAGATAAGCTAACACTTGCTCAACATTTAAAGTATACGTCGTATTTGAAAGTTCGAAGTGACTTGAGTATGTTTGTCTAAAACTTTAATGTGAACCGTCTTGATTATTAAACTATAAATTAAAAAGATGCCATCATCATTTTGGCCTAAGAGAAGCCTCCAGTTTCAGTTTAAATCAGTGCCATGTCAATAGCCACTTAAAAATATATTTCTGAGAGAATTTTTCTTACCAACTTTTACCTACAATTAATACCATTAATCCGAATGCTTTTAATAACCAATACTTGACAGAAATTTGGAAAACTTAAACTAGTCATATCACATAGCAGATTGGCTTTGTTCAACGTGAAACGTAAATCAAACTATGCTTGACATTGTTGAACAGAATTCCAAGTCATTTGTCGAGTTTGACAGATCGTTAATCACACGACAGACAAGTTTTCATGTTAAATACTGTGTGACTGGTATTAATTAAAGTGTAACCAATTATTTAATTTGTGCACTTGACAATGATGGTTAAGCGTCATGGTATTATAACTCTCCCTATTACCTTTCCAGACTTATTTTGTTGTTTTCCCTCAACAAAATAATCATTGTGCCTTGCCATAATTTTGACATTATGGTGCTACAAATGTCAGAAAATTCAACCTTAGTGATCTCATTTTCACAGTGCATACAATACAGTACATACACAGTTAATACAATCTATCCTTAAGTCGAATGTTGACTGACGTTTTTCATACAGATTGTTAGGCCATTATTTTCTTACTGAATTGTCTACGGATTTTTCCGTTTGCCCAATCATGACAAGGAGCACAGGGCGGATGTGACCAGTCGACTGGGGATGCTTACTTCTCCATGGGACCTGATCCTACCATTGATATTTTTAGAGTTCCGTGTTTGCTCTGCTCCCCAATTTGTATTGTTTCAATTAATGGACTTTTGAGCTTGATTGTTGTTCGTTATCATCATGTATTAAATAATAACCATATTAACTGTTCTTGTTTTAAACAGTGTGTGGTACAAGAATTGTAAAGAATGGAAATAAACTGACAGAAAAGCTAGAAAAACTCAACGAAGTTTACGATCAAGTGATATCCTCCTCAAATTTTATCACAGAGGTAAGATTTTTGCCTTGTATAATGCAAAACAGTGTAAAGAAGTACTACAAAATATGCCAAAAATAATCTGAATTTCAAATAATAATATTTGTTGGTTTTTGTTTTGTAGGTTGAATTTCAAAGGTCAAACATCGATCCCGTGACCTTAACGGTTCCAGGGATGAAGGTCAGGGCACTAGTGAGAGGAAAGCCTCTCCGATTTTCCTCAAAGGCTCCTCTTTATGTGTTCGATATGACAAAAACAGCCAAGACATTATCTAAACAAATCTGGCAATACTGGTCTCCAAACCACTACAAAACACTATAGCATACTTATCGAGAGCATGCGCAAAGGACATGTGTAAGACTGGACTGCTTAGATGGTTAGGTGATTCCATTTCGTGAGATGCCCTTTATTTACAAGATAACCTTTATTTATTATACTGCGTATGTGTTAAGTATTTGAAGTTTTACCGTAACAAGAGGAAGAAAGACGATGATATTTTATGATTTCTCATAGGAGAAAGGTTGTGTTTTATTGTTTTATGTTTATTTATTTCATTTGTTGATCATTGTAATAAACATACAGAACTCTTCACGTATAATTTATTTTTATCAAGCAGTAAATAGAATGAATAATAGTAGTTCTGAGTGCTTCGTCACAATAAAATTCAATTGAATTTTTGGGATAAAGATTTAATGGTGAATCATTTTCATTGAAAACTGGTGACTCAGATGAGAACTCATTTTTCATCAAACAGAAAAATGCTTTGTTAATTAATTTTCCGATGTATAGAACAGACACATCTTGAATTTAAAAATACACATGTAACAGTTTTGGTCTGTTTTTCCTCCAAAAAGGTTAACCTTGCCCATAACTTTTGAAGGGTTGGTGCTAGGGCTTTCGTATTTCACATGTATATTCCTTGTAACAAGACTCTTTGGGAACTTACATTTTTGACCTCATGGCCCTGACTTCCTTTTTGACCTTTTTATGAAAATTTTAACCAATTTTCACCTTGGCCATAACTTCTGAATGATTGGTGAAAGAGCTTTCATATTTCACACAATATCTTATGACAAGGCCTTTCTTTGGGTATCAACATTTTTGACCTCATGTCCTTGACCTTGGAGTTTACCTATTTTTGAAAAAAATTAGACCCTGGTCACAATTTCTGAACAGTGGATGCTTAGGGCTTTCATGTTTTACACGTGCATTTATTGTGACCAGGACCTTTCTTTGGGTACTAACATTTTTGACCTCATGACATTAGGGTTTTACCTATTTTTGAAAAACTGTCATCTTTGCCATAACTTTAGAATGATTGGTGCCAGAGTTTTCATATTTTACACGTGTATTCCTTATGACCATGACCTTTCTTGAGGTACTGTTATTTTTGACATCATGCTTTACTTTGGAGTTTGACCTACTTTTGAAAAACTTTGACTTTGGCTTTAACTTCTGAACGGTTGCTGCTAGGGGTTTCATATTTCACATGTGTATTCCTTGTGACAAGACCTTTCTTTGAGTATCAACAGTTTTGATCTCATGACCTTGGAGTTTTACATACGGGGTCATCAGTGTTTCGCAACTTACATCTTATTCAAAATGTCATTTCTATGAAATTCTCATGACAGGACTAAAATCATCAAACGAACCGTACATTGAAAAAAGCATTACAAATCAGAGTAGAGGGGGAAAACTTTAACAAATCATCGTGGAATATCTATATATCTAATGAACACAGAATACGTTTACGTACTAGAACTTTATTTTAATTATCTGATCATCTAAATACATGTAATACTGAATGTAAAAGTAGATAACGCAGGCATTCAAGAATCCATTATCGGTATGGGAAACACTTTTTCGGATTTATTTCTTATCACCTGTTCCGCTTAAATTCTTATCACTTCTATTAACCATAGGTACTTCATGTATATCACTAATACTCTGAGAATATATGTGAGAATTGCTGCTTGAGTCTGCGATACCTGTCTCGAGAGTTGAGGTACGAACCAAATATGGCGACGACATTTTCTGTTTTGGATTATTGCTTATTTGCTGCAGTTCTTCTTGTGTCTGCAGTTGTAGGACTTTATTATTTTCTCAAAGAAAAGTTTGGGAAGAAAGAGATGACAGCAGACGACCTTTTGATGGGAGGACGTGATATGGGTGTGTTTCCAGTAGCCATGTCTTTGGTTGCTAGTTACATGTCGGCAATCACCGTACTCGGTCTGTATTACTTTACAGCAACATTACGATCATGTTCAAATTACGGAGATGGGGTAATATATACAGTATATGTATTTTAGAAAGCATATATTAGAAAATATTTGAAATTAAACCAAAGAACATGACATCTCTTTGCAGGCGTACCGACCGAGATGTACGTTTATGGTACACAATATTTTCTCGTGGGATTTTCTGGGCTGATGACCTATCCAGCCACTTGTTTTATTTTTCTTCCTTTTTTTCATAACCTTGGACTGACCAGTGCATATCAGGTATAATATTAGTATCCATTACATAAACACATTAAATATTCTCCCTAGTGGTTTAAAGTACCCCTGAACTTACTTCCGTTCAACGCGGATTGAAAGAGCTATGGTTTTATGCTTGTTTCTTATTGGGAAATTTAATGAAATACGCCATGTCTCGTATTAGCTTTTGCTTTAGACCAATAAACAATTCATACAAAGCTTTACGTAATTCCTTTGAAACTTTTAAATAGACTATTAAAAAAAAAAAAAAAAAAAAAAAAAAAAAAAAAAAAAACGAAAGCAAGTCTTTACTTGGATTCTCCAACATCAGAATACGGACTAGACAATTTTTTTTAGATATGGATGTTGCCTTTCATAGGCCCTTTCAACTGCCAAATATTTCAGAAGGTAATAAATCCGAATTATCCCGTAGGTCCTTCATGCATTGCATTCCACCATATTTTAAGCTGAAGTCTACAACCTGCATTTCCTACAGAAAGTTTCTTAAAACTGTTGCATCCAAACTTTTCACCATCCTTAAAAACAGTTTTATTTTATACTGCTTGATCTCAACAACATTTCAAGGCAACTTGCAGATTTTTACTTAAGTTTGAATTGTTCATGATCTTGGAGCCAGGTCTTCCATCAATCTGTTGGAATACTAATGGGCACAGATTGTGTGTGTGTGTGTTTTTTTTAAATAAATCCTTTTCTGTTTTTTGTATTCTTATGAAGCAGAATTTATTCAAAAACTTCTACAGTTGAAGAAAGCTCTTACTGTGGCTTTAAAATATACTGACAACGTCTATAAACTAACAATGTTCATTTTGATGTCGACTAAATACATGTATACTGACAACGTCTATAAACTAACAATGTTCATCATGATGTCGACTCAATACATGTATACTGACAACGTCTATAAACTAACAATGTTCATTTTGATGTCGACTAAATACATGTATACTGACAACGTCTATAAACTAACAATGTTCATCATGATGTCGACTCAATACATGTATACTGACAACGTCTATAAACTAACAATGTTCATTTTGATGTCGACTCAATACATGTATACTGACAACGTCTATAAACTAACAATATTCATTATGATGTCGACTAAATACATGTATATTGACAACGTCTATAAACTAACAATATTCATTATGATGTCGACTCAATACATGTATACTGACAACGTCTATAAACTGACAATATTCATTATGATGTCGACTCAATACATGTATACTGACAACGTCTATAAACTAACAATATTCATTATGATGTCGACTCAATACATGTATACTGACAACGTCTATAAACTAACAATATTCATTATGATGTCGACTCAATACATGTATACTGACAACGTCTATAAACTAACAATATTCATTATGATGTTGACTAAATACATGTATACTGACAACGTCTATAAACTAACAATATTCAATTTGATGTCGACTCAATACATGTATACTGACAACGTCTATAAACTAACAATGTTCATTTTGATGTCGACTAAATACATGTATACTGACAACGTCTATAAACTAACAATGTTCATTTTGATGTCGACTCAATACATGTATATTGACAACGTCTATAAACTAACAATATTCATTATGATGTCGACTAAATACATGTATATTGACAACGTCTATAAACTAACAATATTCATTATGATGTCGACTCAATACATGTATACTGACAACGTCTATAAACTAACAATATTCATTATGATGTCGACTCAATACATGTATACTGACAACGTCTATAAACTAACAATATTCATTATGATGTCGACTAAATACATGTATATTGACAACGTCTATAAACTAACAATATTCATTTTGATGTCGACTAAATACATGTATACTGACAACGTCTATAAACTAACAATATTCATTTTGATGTCGACTCAATACATGTATACTGACAACGTCTATAAACTAACAATGTACATTTTGATGTCGACTCAATACATGTATACTGACAACGTCTATAAACTAACAATATTCATTTTGATGTCGACTCAATACATGTATACTGACAACGTCTATAAACTAACAATATTCATCATGATGTCGACTCAATACATGTATACTGACAACGTCTATAAACTAACAATATTCATTTTGATGTCGACTAAATACATGTATACTGACAACGTCTATAAACTAACAATATTCATTTTGATGTCGACTCAATACATGTATACTGACAACGTCTATAAACTAACAATGTTCATTTTGATGTCGACTCAATACATGTATACTGACAACGTCTATAAACTAACAATGTTCATTTTGTTGTCGACTCAATACATGTATACTGACAACGTCTATAAACTAACAATATTCATTTTGATGTCGACTAAATACATGTATACTGACAACGTCTATAAACTAACAATATTCATCATGATTTCGACTCAATACATGTATATTGACAACGTCTATAAACTAACAATGTTCATTTTGATGTCGACTAAATATATTTCACTGAAATCGAAATGAAAGAAACCCATACTGCCATCCACAATTGTTTCATACTTGGATGTTTTACTTAATATAGACTTAAATGGCAAAACACAAAACAATATGACAAATGGAATAAATTCAGCTTTTCCATCAACTTTCCACATTTGGTAGCAACATTCTATTATCACCTGCATAGGGTGTTATGTTTCCCAACTGATTCGGTACGTAAAGGCATGTTCTGTGTACCAAATTGGACTAATCGCAAAAAGATTTGATGTAAACAGTTGCGTTTACCGTCTATGATCATTTTAAATGGCCTTATTTGCAAATGCAGAACATCACTCGGTTGAATTTTGAGTGACATATTTCATACCAATTGTTAGACCATGTTTTCATACTAATTTTATCTACGGGTTATCCTCTTCACCTGATCAATACAAGAGGGTTCACGCCAGGTGTGTCGGGTCGACAGGATATTCTTAAATGTACTTCGCCTAGGCACCTGATCCCACCTCTAATGTTTCCAGGGGTTCGTGTTTTTGCCCTCCTCTCCATTTGCATTGCCTTTAGATTTCTGAGATTGATCATTCAGTATCTTCATCTTTATGACCAATCAAATACAATATATATACAAGTTATACTGAAGTTCATCGTCGCAAACCATGGCCAAAATGTATGACCCTCTCCCATTCTGGAGAGAGCTAGATGCGGACTCCGGACGGTGGCTTGATACGATGACAGAAGTTTAGAAAGTGGTGTAAGTTTTTTTGGAATAGTGGAGGGTACTTACCAATCGAGTGCCTTTGAGAAATGAAATGTCAAACTTACATGATTTGGGTGTTTTTTTTTTTATCATGAGGAAATACTCTTCTCAACCTTTGTATGATATGTAATATGTCTTAACTTCAGTATCTGGAGCTCCGGTTCAACCGATGGACAAGATGTCTTGCTTCTTTTGTGTTCGTCCTCGAAATGGTAGGTAATTTTTTATTCTAGGTGTTGGAAATTTTTCTTGAATCTGGAAATAAACCCTGTCTTAAATTCTTTCAATTTTAGATTTTATACATGGCCGTTGTTTTATATGCACCTGCACTTGCTCTTAATCAAGGTAGGCATTTTCATTGTTTGTGACATTGTTGCACTAGGTTAATTTAAGATTTAGCGAAGAGAATCAGTTCCTACGATGCCTTTTTTTTAGCCCACACAAGCTCCATTTTCTGAGAGGTAATAGTTCGGTGCGTTGTTGACTGATCATATGAATTTTGTTTTAGTGACTGGGCTATCCTTGTGGGGTTCTATTGTCAGTGTCGGTGTCGTGGTGACATTTTACACCTCTCTGGTAAGCATTTTACTTTTCTTCAAGATAATAAAATAGAAGCATCTCAGTAACGCAGACTTTGCATATTTGTTTTGGGGGGAAAATAGAAAATAATATAATGCAAAAAGTGTATAATTGCATTTGTGGGCGTCTGTTTAGAGTACGTTAATTTTTATCGAAATATCTTATATAATAATCATCGATCCAAGTTCCCCCTCCCCTTTGACTCACCTTAGGATAAACTTTCTCATTACTGTGAAGGGTGGGCTACGAGCCGTGGTCTGGACCGACACATTTCAGACATTTGTTGTTGTCGGAGGATTGATTGGGATTATTATCATGGGAAGCAACAAACTGGGAGGAATAGGAGAAGTGTGGAGGATCTCTCAGGAGGGAGAAAGGATAGAGTTCTTCGAGTAAGGCTAGTATATAAATGACAAATTACCAGTATCTTTACTTGTAAAAAAAAAATGCAGTTTTCGATGATTGGTAAAAAAAACCTTACTGATATTATTATAAACATTATGCAAGAAATAATATGCATGACCTGATCTTAACTTTTATGGCATCATGTAGAACAACACTAGTTTTACAAATAACACACTTACAAACGGACCAAATGGAAATTATCAAAATAATCATCTTTCGCTACAGTTTTGACTTCAGTCCTTTCAAACGCTGCACATTTTGGGGCCTCATTGTTGGAAGCTTTATTGGTCAACTGACAATTTACGGATCCAGCCAGACCATGCTACAGCGTTACATGAGTATAAGCAATGTGCGCAAGTCACAACTGTACGTCACATCCGGTTTTTAAAAATCTTTTAACATGGAGTGTATTTTTTTTTTTACCAACTTAAGTTGACTTTATTTGCTCTTCAGTGCACTGTTCGTAAGTCTACCCACCACTATACTTCTCGTAGCTTTAGTCTGTGTGGCAGGTCTTGTTATATACGCTACTTACCATGCTTGTGATCCTCTCCTTGATGGGAAAATTATTTCTCGAGATCAGGTAAAACTTAATAAAATTAAACTTATAAAAATTATATATATTAAATAAGGAACACTTCAAAAATAAGTGAAATAGCCAAATATGTATAATTTATAATAGTACATACTAATGATTTTTCGGATCTCCTTATCATGATATGTTTGTCTTTTAAGTTGTTGCCTTATTACGTGATGGAGTCCCTTGGGGGGATACCTGGTGTCCCGGGCATATTTGTCGCCTGTATTTTCAGTGCTTCTTTGAGGTAACGTTTGGCCCTTTAATCTTGTGCTCCTAAATCGTTGCTTCATCTAATGAGACATTAAAACATTTCATCTCCTATTAGCTCCATTTCCTCTTGTTTGAACGCCGTGTCAATCACAATTCTAGAGGATCTTGTCAAGCCAGCCATGGAGTATTTTGACAAGACAATGTGCATGCAAACAGAGGCAAGGCTGGCCAAGTTCCTAGGTATGATTGCATAACCAAAAATATAGGCATATTCAGAACCATCTGAATGTTTCTTTCCTTCTCTTGCTCAAAATATATTTTGAATATAGCTACAATTTGTTCATGATTTTCAGGAATATTGGGAGGAGTCCTAGTTATAGCATTTGCCTTCCTGTGCACAATACTTGGCTCTACTGTGTTGCAAGTATGTCTTATCCTCGTTATGTTTCATCAAACAAGGATTTGAATGATCTTTTTTCGAATTTACTCTCTAATTTTTTTCACTTACAGATAATGATTAGTGTCTTTGGATTGGCAGGTGGTCCTCTGTTAGGTGTAATAGTACTAGGAATGTTCTTTCCTTGTGTAAATGGCAAGGCAAGTTATAATTTTATTCAATCTACAACAATTTGAAATAAAAGTGAATAATAATTGTAATAGTAATAAAATATTTCTTAAAAATCAATGAATGATTGATCAACAGGGTGCCTTGGCAGCACTGATCTTGAGCACAGTAATAATGTTCTGGATCGTGATTGGTTCCTTTGTTTACGAAGTGCCTATGCCCGTTCTTCCCTTTTCAACAGAGGGTTGTATAGCTGATGAAAGTACTGTATCTTACATTTTCAATGCATTCACCACTCACATCAGCGATCTAAGTCACGTGATTCCTCATACAGTAACAACGACACTTGCACCATGGATAGAATGGTAAGGAAAAACCATTTATATATTTTCGGAAAATATCTCTTGTTCGATACGATAAGTTTTGAATTTTCCCCCATATATTAAAAAGATTGTTCTCGTTGTTTGAGACAGGATTGTTATCACTACACGTTTAGAATTTGTCCCTTTTTTCCTAAGATGATGGTGTTCATTGTTTGACTATATTTTTTGACAATTTGAAATGTTTTAGCAATGGCATCTCCTTTTTAGTTCACCTGAGCCAAAGGCTCAAGTGAGCTTTTCTGATCAAAATTTGTCCGTTGTCTGTCGTTGTCGTCGGCGTCGTTGTACACTTTTCACAATTTCATCTTCTTCTCCAGAACTACTGGGCCAATTTCAACCAAACTTGCCACAAAGTATCCTTGGATGAAGGGGATTCAAGTTTGTTCAAATGAAGGGCCACGCCCTCTTTCAAGGGGAGATAATAAAGAATTAGTGGAAAATTAATAGCATCATTTAAAAATCTCCTTCTCAAGAACCACAGGGCCAGGAAAGATGAAACTCATGTGGAAGCATCCTCAGGTAGTGTAGATTCAAATTTGTTCAAATCATGACCCCCGGGGGTAGGGCGGGGCCACAATGGAGGATCAAAGTTTTACATAGAAATATATAGGAAAAATCTTTAGAAATCTTCTTCTCAAGAACAGCAAAGCCATTGTGAGTCATATTTATATGGAAGCATCCTCGGGTAGTGTAGATTCAAATTTGTTCAAATCATGACCCCCAGGGGTAGGGCGGGGCCACAATGGAGGATCAAAGTTTTACATAGAAATATATAGGAAAAGTCTTTAAAAATCTTCTTCTCATGAACAGCAAAGCCATGATGAGTCATACTTATATGGAAGCATCCTCAGGTAGTGTAGATTCAGGTTTGTTCAAATCATGACCCCCAGGGGTAGGGCAGGGCCACAATGGACTATCAAAGTTTTACATAGAAGTATATAGGAAAAACCTTTAAAAATCATCTTCTCATGAACAGCAAAGCCATGGTGTGTCATATTTATATGGAAGCATCCTCAGGTAGTGTAGATTCTATTTTGATCAAATCATGACCCCTGGTTGTAGGGTGGGGCCACAATGGAGGATCAAAGTCTTAAATAGTACTGCAAAGCCATGTTTAGTCATATTGATATCAAAGCATCCTCAGGTAGTGTAGATTCAAATTTGTTAAAATGATGACCCCTGGGGATAGGGACGGGCCACAATGCAGAATCAAAAATTTTACATAAGAACATATAGGAAAAATATTCTTCTCAAGAGCAGAAAAGCTATGTTTAGTCATATTGATATGGAAGCATCCTCAGGTAGTGTAGATTCAAGTTTGATCAAATGATGACCCCTGGGATAGGGAGGAGCCACAATGGGGGATCAAATTTTTACAAAGGAATATATGGGAAATTTTTTTTAAAATCTTCTCGAGTACAACAAAGCCATATTATATTGACATGGAAGCATCATCAGGTAGTTTAAAATTCAAATAATCTTTTCAAAACTGAACTGAATTGTGCTTTTGCCAAGCCAATGTGCTCAGGTGAGTGATGTAGCCCATGGGCCTCTTATTTAGTCTGTTTTAAATCATCTTCAGGTCTGGTTTTAAAATGATCTACAGTATATCCTTCCTTTGGTACCCCACCGTGGCCCTGTTTGTCGCTCTAGTGGTCGGAATTTTTGTTAGCTGTGTCACTGGTTTGTAAATCTTCAACAAGGACGTCCTTGCACTCCTAACACCTACACCAACTTTCTACATATCACTTGAGATGTATAAAGTATGTGTAATTTTACCAAGATTAAATTGATCCTTTTATTTTGAAGGTTGGACAAAACAGCCAACAAGTTCCCGATTTGTCTACCCTGTTGCAGAAAAGCTATGTTGCTGTTTTCCTTACCAAGCTAGATGGCAGTTTAATAAGCTTTTTACATATGTAAGAAAATTTATCGATTTACACGTATACATATTAATATCATTCAAATTCAATATCTGTGTGCAGAGAAAGTTTTTGAATTACGTTTATACAATATACTTGTATGTACTTAGCAGTATATCCCCAGTTCAACTTCCTGTTAAAAATATCATATTTATCTGTAGAATGTACTCTCCGCTGGTGGGGAGGAATTATTGACAGATGAAGAAGACGAAGATACTAACTCCTCGAAAACTCTAAAAATGTGTTCCCGGGAGACAGCCAGACTTCTTCCCAAGGAAACAAATAGATTGGACAGTTTTGAAACAGAACTGGACGTTACGACCCCTGTCTGAATCAATGTGTTTTTTTTCCAAGTGGTACTTGTCTCGACTGTATATTTGACGGTGTTTTTCTAGAAGTTTGTATTTTTTGAACGAAATGTACTTGTCTCGATTGTTTCCTTGACAACTTTCAACTGAAAGATTCAATAATACTGTGGATAATTATGTTTATGAATGGATTTTATAATAAACATGTGTATTTTAAAATTGAAAGTCTTCACTTGGCTCTTCTTTCTCCTCAAAGAAACGAAAGAAAAACAAACACAAAGCTGGGGAACAAAAAATATACACATAAAGATACCGTATTCTACTAGGTCCTCAAGGCTATGGGACTTTATGTATAATTCAAGCAGGCCTTTAATTTACTATATTATGAAAAAGGAGATTAAATTCCACTCTCAGTTTGTTATTCATAATTCACAAAATTAATGACAGTTTTCTACCATTTTTTTGTCGCCCTCATGGCGCATGCGCAGTAACTTGTTAGAGCGTCTGTTCTAGAGTCGTCGGAGTAAGGAGTTGATTCTTATGTCACAAGTTCGAATCTACTGCGAGACCGGTCTTTCGAATGAGACCGGAAATGCTGGCATGAAATAGATCCTTCACTAATGCGGAGTACAGGTCCAAATTTGCAGTCCTCCACCGGCAAGTGGTGGTGTTTCAATATGAGTGAAAAATTCTCTAAAGGACGTTAAACAAAAAAACATACCAATCTACCATTTTTTAAAAGTCTGTAGCTGACATTAGAACTGCTGAAAACAACGGTGACATCTTGTTTACGTACAATATTATTTCTATTGATGACTTCTTTAAACACCAGGATTGAAAGCATCTAATACCTATTAGAAAACTAACTAAACGTCTGCAATCAAAATACAGGGATGGAACATTTTCAAAAGCAAACACTTTTCTGAGTCCGAAGTCTGTACCCTTTTCCAAGTAAACGATATTCAAACTTTGGATTCAAAAACCTATCATGTCTTCTGTAGCAGTGCCTTCTAGTAATAATTAAGACGTTCTAAAGACAACTCCAGGTAGCTTGATTTTGCATCTTCCCTCTCTCAATTTTTATTTCCTTTTTGTGCATCAAAATAATTCATTTTAATCATATAGTATACGGGCACTGGAAGTTAATGTAAATATATATATATATAGTATGTGCATGTATGAAAAAGGAATTCAAGAGAAGGACACTCTTTTTGAGGCAAATTGAGAGTGGGGTACTGTGGATGTTTTTCAAACGCTCTAATGAGATAAATCATTCATATATACATTACTTACAATATGCATATACATTGCTTTGGTCCACTCCAATGCATTTTTCTCGAAAAACAGATATCTAAACACCTCCAAGTGCCTTAGAATTTGCAGGCCTGCCTTACTTCCTACTTCCGGTTACAATCACAGTGAAATTAAAAGTAAATTCTAATTGGTCTTCATGTACAGGAATATTAGTTTTAAAATTAGAAATTGCAAGATGGAAAAGGTGTCACTTTCTTCTCGATTTTGAGCCTTTTCTCAGTGGATTTTAGAGTTGTTATATTTTCTTTGGCAGGTGCTTCACTTCTGATATCAATTTCTGAATCAGAATTTGCCTGATTCGGTTTGGATTTGTGCAATGGTTACCTTTGTTACAATCCTAGCATGAACAAAATGATGCTTCGAACTATTTTATTTCAAACAAAATTTTATTATAAATAGTAATAAGACCATTCAACTCAATCCCAAAACATGTTTACACACAATAAGTATACTACCATAAACATGGTTGGCCCAAATATTCCGTACTTTTTTCATCATCACACGAGATAACAACCAGACGACAGACAGACAGTTCATAAACGAAAAATGATATGTGCCATGTATCCTACATGTATATTTTTGGAAAATACCGCGATACAATGGAACCCGCGATATAATGAGAACGGAAGTATATAAATACCAGAAGACGTTGATCTGGATTAAAAGCTTTAGATAAAGTCACTTTATTATCTTTTTTTGAAATTCATTTCATGATGATTCCATCAATTGAACTTGCCAGTGTTAACAAACGAGTAAGGCATCAGAACTGTTGGGATGATGAATTATTTTGAATATAAACTATGTCTTTAGGCAATTCAAATCTAACAGATGTACGAGATGTCCATGTTCAGGTGACCTCCCCTTATGTTGCATATCTTACAGAGTCGACACTTTATATCGATTTAGAGGTCCTTGTGTCGCACGACAGCGGAATTTATCGTTAATGATAAGCGATTCAAGAAAATTCGGAAGCATGCTTGATATAGATAACGGTACAGGGAAAGAGTTAATGTTCAAATTTTTCACGGAAATAACAGAGTTTAAAGAATGCATCTATTGACATCGAGTAATATCACCTGTTCAGTTATTGAAATTCCCTCTAATCTTTGCAATTGCAGGTTGTTAATTAATTTTCCAAGAAAATTATATAATGATTTAATTCAAAACGAAGTTATTAAAATTAAAAAATGCGTAACTTCAAAAATTTCAACTTAAATATTGGTTTTGTACATTTCATGTACACTCTACAAACGTAACGATTTTCTTTCTACATTTTAACATTTCCACCTTTCCCCTGATAAAACCCTGTTAAACCCAGAGACATTACGAAGGGAGGGCGAAATACGTAGGACTACGATAAAATATCAGCTGAAGCTAATCAACTATACCCTAATCAGGAATAAATGTTTTCACTTCAGGCAGCTGCACAAATGACATCAACAATTTCAACCAGTGTGATTTCTATTTTTCTCTAGGAAATTTAATTTGTTGTAAAATTTGTAATCTGTGATTGTAACATTTTGGACTAGTGTTTGATACCAGTGTGTGAGATTCACAATGGTGGCAGAGACTTGTCAGAAGGTCTGTGAGCTATGTCCGGGGGAGAAAATCGGGTCCTTTGTGGCCGTGGATTATGTCCTATTTGCCCTTGTTCTGGTCGTCTCGGCCCTCATTGGAGTATTCTACATGATCAAGGAGTACCGGGCAGTCAAAAACATGACGTCCGACGATGTACTCATGGGAGGAAGAGACATTGGGATCTTTCCCATCGCCATGTCTTTAATGGCAAGCTTCATGGGAGCTATCACGGTTTTAGGGACCCCCACGGAAATGTATAATAATAATACTAGTTACTGGATCGCTGGTATGGCCATGCTGATCACTGTGCCATTAACAAATCACATTTTCCTGCCGTTTTTCCATGACTTGTCTTTGACGTCTGCTTATGAGGTAGGTAACCGAAACGTTGTATTTATTTACCAAACAAAGCAGCACAGGAAATAAAACAGAATCCCTGAGAAAAGGATTTGTTTCCGTTATGCTTCAGATGTTTGAAGTTAATCAAATAAAAAAATTATCTGATTTTAGAATAATTATATAGTTCCAAACTTAGGATATACCAACACATATCGTTTATCAAAAGACACTTTGAAGGGTTTGAAAAGAGTACCTTCTACCCTGCAAACAATGTTATCAACGATATAGGACGACAAATTATTAAGGAAAACTTTTCATAGACGCAGTCCAGTCTGATATAAGGGTTATCAATAGGACAATTTGGTACAAGTACATTCTCTTTTCTTAAATACAAGGAATGATAAATTATATTTTCTCTTTGGTCGCAGGAAAGGATAAAGATTTATGTCTTAACGAGTGGAGGACAGCTCATCAAACTGAAAATAATTAAACAGGATTTATAAATGAGGTTTATGATATTTTCACTTAACTACATCTGACCTCAATAAGAATTTCAGAACTATTCTAATAGAAACAGTATTAAAGCATTGAGAATCTAGCAAGTACACGAACTAGTTTTGTTTGATGAAAGTAGTAATCAAATATAATCCAATGTGTTATATAACCACGCCTTCACCATCGCTTAGATCCCTGCCAAGTACTGTCGCTATCTTGGTATGTCAACTCTATTCACCCAATTTCCTCCCAGAATCAATAGACGCCCCCTTTTTATTCTCACATTATTAACTTTATCAGATAAGAGCGAATGATTACAATAGGTGTTAAATATGAAGTAGACAATTGTTTCTTTTTATTTTTTCCCCACTCAAAGTCCTGCCATCATATATACTGATTATATCTAGAAGGAAAACAGCATATTGGAAACACCCCCATAGATTAGACGATATACTAGTATATACATGTACATGTACTCTTTGTCCTATCAAATTGATGTATTTCTAAAAATAATTTTATGAATATGAAAAATAGGTGTTTAATGTTGCAAAAAAGTCATATCAAACAGACAAATCCATTAATCGTTTGGTATTTCATACTAAAATTCATTATTCTTCAATCATTGAATTTATAACAATTTTTTGACATGTTAAAGCAGGGTCAAACTTTTCAGTGTAAGAATTTTCATTTCCAACATAATGCATTTTTAGCCCTTTAGTTTATATATTAAAAAAAATGTTTATAGTCTTTTTCTGTTTTCCGGTGATTTTTTTTAATTAAACGGCCAAAATTGAGCGAAAAACTAACTGTTTTAAGTAATGCTTTTAAGTGGATGTGATGCAAGATGTCTGTCACTTTTGGAAAAGTAAGGAATCAGATGCAATTGCCAATCATAACATGCACTCATAAAGAATAAAAGTGTGTTCACTTTTCAAAATTTCTGAAATCGGCCATCAGGATTCTTTCTGGAAAATATAATGAATTTCGATTTCAATTTGAATTTTAATCATCTTGTAAATATAGGATCTTTGAATGTGGTTTTTATTTTTAACCTACGAGATGTGTTTTCACAAAAAATGTAGCGAGTTGGATTTTATTAAATTATTTGGAAATTTACTTCGATCCTCCATGTTTACTAAAGCAAATACATGTAATTATTTATATGATATCAATATCACTAGTCGTCGGAATACAAAATATTTAATAAGAAAACAATGCTATCGTATGTCCGATATCTCTTGTACAAAGGGTTAATATCTGATAAATAGCTTTGTCCGATAGATAAAAAAGTCCATATCTATTGTGCGACAATAACTGATTCTTTAGTTTATTTTAACTTTTCCACAAAATTCGTGTCATACGACAAACGAAAATAGTGAAGATGGAATGAAAATTAAACATAGAGGCAAAGATAAAATGTAATCTTAACGAGATGACTCTGGACCAGATTGTATTTTAATTGATTGTAAGATTATATTTTTTTAGTACATTACCAATTAATGTAACTGTATTGTGGAACAACAACAACAACAAAAACAAACAAAAAACAAAAAGAAAAAAAGTTGTGTAGGTTAAAGTTTCTCAAATGCAAGTCAAATTCCAAGGTCAAGGTCAAGAGATCAAAAATGTTGTTACCCAAAGAAAGGACTTGTGTCAATGGATAAACCTGGTAAATATGAAAGCCCAGGCACCAACCATTCAAAAGTTACGGTGAAGGCTAATGATTACTCAAAGTGAGTAAAACTCGAAGATCAAGCTCAAAAGGTCTTATTTAAATAGTGAGGAGGGGAAGACCTTGTCATAAGAAACACACGTGCAAAATATAAAAGCCCTAGCACCAACTGTTCAAAAGATATGGCGAAGGTTAAAGTTTTTCAAAAGTAGGTCAAACTCCAAAATCAAGATCAAAAGGTCAAAATTGTTGGTATCCAAAGAAAGGTCTTGTCACAAGGAATATACCTGTGAAATTTGAAAACCCTACTACTAACTGTTAAAAGTTATGGCCAATGTTAAAGTTTTTAAAAGTGGGTCAAACTCTGAGGTCAAGATCAAAAATATTTACACCCATGGAAGTTCTTGTCACAATAAATACATAGTCATGTAAAATATGAAAGTGAAGATGCCTCATATATAAGAAAATGCATGATATTTTATTGGGGAAATTGGCTCTGGTGGAAATCGCACTCTGTAACAATTACACAGAGTAGGATCCACCCCTACCCCCGGAAAATTGAATCTGGTGTGGGATTTCCTCGGGGGAAGTCCTATTCTGGAGTCATTTTTCCTTTAAGTTAGGGGAAATCCTACTCTAGAGCCTATTTTCCAGGGGGAAATCCTACTCTAGACCCAGTATTCCGGAAGAAAGATTTTAGAGGGGAAAGCCTACTCTACAAGACCGGTCTTTATCACCAAAATTTTGCAGGTCATCTCTTTGCTTTTAAATCATTCGTGTTTACATAAACTATATGCGGGAATTTCGTCATCTTTTTATATGGGTTGATTGCCATTTGCTCAAGGATCACACGTGTCCCACATTACAAGGGCTTCTTGTGCACTCCCTTGAAGAAAAAAACAAAACAAAATTGATCCCTATTTATGTCAAGATGTATTTGTGAAACACTGATGCCCCCGTATGGCAACTTAAAGCAAAGGTTAAACTTTCTCAAATGCAAATCAAATATGTTGGTACCCAAAGTAAGGTCTTGTCTCGAGGAATAAACCTGAAAATATGAAAGCTCTAGCAACAACCATTGAATAGATATGGAAAAGGTTAAAGTTTTTTTCAAAAGTATGTCAAACATCAAGGTCAAATGGTCAAAATTAATGGTGCCGAAGGAAAGGCCTTCTCCGAAGAAATACACAGTTGAAATATGAAAGCGGAAGCACCAATCGTTCAAAAGTTATGACCAAGGTTAAAGTTTTCCAAAAGTAGGTCAAACTCCAAGGTCAAGATCAAAGGGTCAAAGTTATTGGTATCCCTAGAAAGGTCTTCTCACAAGGATTACATATGTGAAGTATGAAAGCCCTAGCACTAATTGTTCATAAGTTATGGCCAAGGTTAAAGTTTTCAAAAAGTAGGTCAAACTCCAAGGTCAAAGGGTCAAAGTTGTTGGTATCTAAAGGAACGTCTTGTCACAAGGATTACACATGTGAAATATGAAAGTCCTAGCACAATTGTGGCCAAGGTTAAAGTTTTCCCAAAGTAGGTCAAACTCCAAAGTTAAGGTCAATAGGTCAAAGTTGTTGGTATCCAAAGGAAGGTCTTGTCACAAAGATTACACATGTGAAGTATGAAAGCCCTAGCACAATTGTTCAAAAGTTATGGGCAAAGTTAAAGTTTGGTAAGATTTTGCAAAACTGGATCAAACTCCAAGGTCAAGGTCAAAAGGTCAAATATGTTGGTTTCCAAATAAAGGTCTTGTCACAAGGAATACACTTGTAAAATATGAAAGCCATAGCTCCAACCAATCAAAAGTTATGGGCAAGTTTTTGCGAACAAACAGACAAAGAGAAAGACGGACGGACAGGGCAAAAACTATATACCCCCGAATGTTCGATACGGGGGCATAGAAATCCTCATATTATTGTATCAATGCAAACAAACTTAGTACTTAGACACTGAAGGACCAGTAATTCGCAGAAAGCACCGATCGGACAGCCCATCTTTAGACTGAAGTTAACTTGCATGCATGTGAATTCTTTTATTATTCAACGTCATTTTTTTTCAGTATTTGCAGAAGAGATTCAGCAAGTCAGTTCGGATTTTTGCATCTGTGATATTTACATTAAACATGGTGAGTTATATGAAACATTAAATGGAATATATAAATATGCTAACTGAAAGAGAAATGATTACTGGAATAAGATTTTTTTCCATCCTTTACATAATGTTCATCTATTTGCCATAGCCAACACTTATATCTACATGTTCATGTGATGTCATAGCCAATGATTTAAGTTTAGTGACTAAAAACCAAAGAGTTCTCAGTATAATGGTAGGAATGATGCCCTAAAGGTAGACTATGAATGATGACTATAAAATAAGTCTTTGACCATCTGACCTGATCTGAACGGTAGGAGGGTCATCTACCCAGCAAGACCAGTTTTTTTTTTCTTTTTTTAAATTGAAGACTATCAAGTATAAGGTTGTCATTACGTTGGAGCCATTGGTTAATATCAACAGATGTAAAGCAATAGACCATCTTTTCAGAGCAAAAATGTTATAAAATGTTATATTTAATGGTCATCTTTTTTTCAGCTTTTATACATGGGCGTGGTATTATATGCCCCAGCTTTAGCTCTGAATCAAGGTATTTAGCTTTGTGTTTTGCTGATTGTTTACTGAATATAACGAATGATTATCGGCCGCAGGATCTATTTGTTGTTGTGTTAGAATGTGCACATGGGAGAAATGAGACTATTTTTTCATTGCGTCGATTGAAAAATTCCTTATTGATAATGTACATAAAAGTTATGAATAATATGTTTTAAAAATTGCTTAATACTAAGTCTGAAGGGGTGTTATTTCAATTTGTTTTTCATTCTCATCAGATATTTATTAATTTTTAAGATTTTATATATATATATATATATATATATATATATATATATATATATATATATATATATATATATATATATATATATATAAAAGAAAAAAAAAGTTACATGAACTGCTCCTCAACATGGACGAGCGTAAGATTTAAAAACAAAACGTATTAATATTCCGGATATGAATTACAGTACCTAAAATAATTATAAATTGTAAAAATTTTAAGGAGAGGTGAATTTTGTTTGAATGCACTACAGCTGCAAATGACACAATGATTTTTTTATCTGTACTTCACATTTATTGTGATACATATCATCGACATTATTACGATCCAGGGTATCAGCAGGTGAAGTTTGTTTGTCCTTGTCAGCATTCAGAAATTTATTATTAATTATTTTAGATATTTGTTGCATTTGTATCAAATAATTTGATGAGAATACATTCCTGTTCGGTTTTTATTCCCATGAATTTATTTATCTGGATTGATCACTGAAAATTAAGCATAAAAAATGAACAGAAAAGTAAGGCAAGTGTAATAATTTTTTTTCTTTGGACTCTTCTTGTGGAAATACTTTAAAATGCTAAAATTAATACATTTTTGTGGCCGATTTGATGCTTTACATCACTTTAACTTGTTTTCTCGTGTTTTTCTTTTTCAGTGACTGGCCTTAGTTTGGCATTATCGATAGTATTGATTGGACTTGTTTGTACATTCTATACCGCTTTGGTGAGTATACCAAAATGTATGTAAGATAAAAAAAAAAAACTTCAGTTTGGAAATGTACCACACGTGAGCTATTTCAACGTTTATCACCTGTGGGACATATACAAAACAATGCTTATATGGAAAACTTGTACAAAGAAAAATTTTGACTTTAAAGTAGCCTTTTTTCATTCAGGATCACTTATCATCCTCACAACAGAAGCAAATGTTACACCTGTATTCAACTGGCTCTTCCTTTCATCTTCAGATTTTTTACCCCATTATGTAAATTTTTGATCCCTGTTGTAGTCTCATCCATATACTCCAAATCCTGATCCTTCGGCCCTTAGGAGCTAATGTGATCCCGTGGTCTCATCCATACTCCAAATCTTGATTCTTGGGCTCTGGGGAGCTAATATTTTCAATCGTTGGTAAACTTAGAGGAGTTCAACAACAAAAAAATCATCCAAACACACTTGATAAGGGTAAAATTTTAGAAGTCATTGTTATTACAACTGGGATTCTTAAGAAAAAATTCCATATACCACTGAAAATCAATCAAATTCGTCAACAGGTTGTGATTTTGTTGTAGTCTAGGGTCCTTAAGTACTTAAGTAATATCACAAGCAATTGTTAAACCATATGAGCTATCTACACGAATATGTTTACACTAAAATTGAAGATGTTATATTTTCCTATTGTTTTAACCTAAATTGTTTCTGTAAATCCATCTTCGTTTACCCCACCGTGTACCAGTGTTGATATATCGGAAGAAAAAGGAAGTGTCAGGTGTTTTCAGACTAGTAGCATTGAATCCATTTCCATTATCTTTATTGTTCTGTGATACTTAGTTTGTAGTGCTTAGGTACTAAAAGCTTATTTTTACCCAGGGAGGACTACGAGCAGTTGTATGGACAGATACATTCCAGACGTTTGTCGTTATGGCTGGTTTGATTGCTATCATTGCTCAGGGTTCGGTAGATCTTGGAGGCTTTGGGAATATCTGGGACATTGCTAACGAAGGGGGCCGTATATTTTTCCTTGAGTAAGTCAACATTCTTCAGTAAGGAACTTGTTCAATTCTTTAAAACATTTTTCTTCATAAAATCATCAGGGAAAGTCTTTAATACTAGACACAGATCTATTGGTAAGGGGAGTAAAGTCAAATTAAGAGCTATGCCCTTCATCTGCTAAATAATCAGAAATGGTACATAATGCCTTAACTACACAAATCCGCCTTTTGTGTTGCATGTTCCTTATTTTACGAATTTACAGCGATATCATAATTTGCGAAAGCAATCAATTTCAAAAACTTTTCGAGAACAAGAAGGCTTTAATTTTTATACTTCCTGAAACAAAGTTGTTGACTTGCTTGTATTTGAATTACCATATCCGTTCGTTTACCTATGTTCTGAAGAACAAGGTTAAGATAATTCTTTTGGTCGAGTAATATATCCAAATCAATCAAACGTTTAGTTACATCTATAAATACTTAGTCTAAGGCATGCTTAGAATGCTTTATTTGCCTTCTAGACAACACTGACAGTGCCTAACGTCAGCATTGAAGGTTATCTCATCTTCTATTCCAAACTTGCATTTTGGTGCATCTATATATGCTTTGCATGACACATACTTTCGATGCTGCATTTGACCTATATTTTACGCTTAATTGACTCGGGTAAAAGTCAGTATTTGGTTTGTTAAAGCTTTTAATATCCAAAGGATTTACTAGTAGTTCATTTCATACCTGACATACAGATTGTGATTTTAATTTCATATATTGATGAGTTTGTTAGAGGTAAGAACACACTTTACTATAAATCACTGCGCCTATGATTTTACACAAATATCTGGGCCTTAGATTCTATAAAATTAACTTTCTAGTTGGAGTGGAGACCCTACAACACGCCATTCTGTTTGGTCTCTTGTGATTGGTTCAACATTTGGTCAGCTAACAATATATGCAGCCAATCAAACCATGATTCAACGATATCTCGCCATTAAAGAAATAAAAAATTCTCAAAGGTAAACGAGATACCTACACATCTTTATACAAATGAACATGCATTTCTAAGTAGATTTTCCTGCTACATATAACTGGTTTCTGTCTTTTATTTAGAGCACTCTATCTCAGTTTGCCTTTGACCCTTATTTTGTCTACAGTGGTGTGCTTGGTGGGACTAGTTATATACGCCACCTATCATGAATGTGATCCCTTCCTTCTAGGTCAGGTACATGCACGAGATCAAGTGAGTATTTATCATACAATACATGACTTCAAAATCTTGAGATGTTACAAAATAAAGACATAAGTATTTGTGATATGGAAAGCTTTGTATCAAACATAAGAAATAGCGAAATACACGTGCTTTTGAATTTTGTCTCGATTTGAAATACTTAGTAACTTTGATACGTGGATATTAAACAACCAGTTAACTTTTGCAGTTGTTACCTTTCATGGTGATGGACAGACTGACATTTTTACCGGGACTGCCGGGATTGTTTGTAGCTTGTCTCTTTAGCGCCTCTTTAAGTTCCATTTCCTCCGGATTAAATGCCCTAGCTATTGTAATTTTGGAAGACATATTGAAATTATATTGGGAGAAAACAGACACCACTCCATCAGTCATATGGCAAACCAGAATAGCCAAAATACTGGGTAAAACGCGCCAAATTACGATATATTGGGGATTTTTTTTTAAAATTAATTTGATTAACGTTCTACTTATTTTTTAAAACCTTTAATGTTTCTTTCAAAAGCAATATATTACATTGAGACTTTTTGAACATTTGCTGTATTGATATTATAGGTTTTGTTGCCGGTGGTATGGTGATAGGAATAGCTTTTATTGCTCAGTATCTTGGACAGACTGTTTTACAGGTGCGAGATTCATACAAAACGCACTTAAGTAGTTGATCAGATTGTTTGTTATACTTTCCGGTTGCTATAACAATACACCAATGACAAACTACCATATTACAGATCATGTTGAGTATATTTGGAATGGTTGGTGGACCTTTGCTCGGTCTTTTCATTTCTGGAATATTTTTCCCATTCATCAATGCACCAGTAAGTACAAAATCAATGAATTTGATATATAACAATTGTGTCTGTACCTATTTTTCAACAGAGAATGATAATATATAAAACAAAATCACTATCATCGAAACTTCTATTCCTTAGTACAACAATTGTGCAGTTAGAAAGATTGCTGAGAACTAATGCAAATTAACGAAATCGGTTATCTCGATATATTTTTACTATACGGATACCCTTTATGTCAATATAAGCGTTTCATATCCCAGGCGTTGTATTCCAACTCGTGATACAATGTACATACCTTTGTATTTGTAAACATGGAAGGTTTTCATAATAATAAAATAAAAGATTGCATAAGATAACACTTTAAAGGACATTTTTGCTTTTATTTTAATATGCACTATTTTTAGAGGTGTAATATTGTTTACATGTTATTATACGGTTTAAATTCAGCCGTTTTGTTTTGTTGAATTTTTAAAGAATATCTTGAAAAATTGTTCAGTTGTACAAAAATTACACCACCAAAAATTATATCCCTTGCCTTGAACATTGAACAGCATTTCAACCAATGAAATAATTGAATTTTTTTTTACAAAATGCATTTTCTACCAATTACAAAAGAAAAGTGCATAGTCGGAAGACAGTAAAACAAATTTGTATACCGTCTTCCGTGGAAGACGGTACAGTGTAATAAAGTACATGTATCCACATATACATATATAAAATAGATCCAGGCACCTGTGGGATGGGGATGAAAAAAAAAACCCTTACTTGTTGGGTAGAAATTATAATAAACCAATCACAAACCATAGTCCTGAAATTTATTGTTGGTTAATGGTCATGGCATCCATGTACTAGGATTGGAAAAAAAAAACTACAAAAAAACCTAAAACAAGTGACTGTCCTTATTTTTCTATTGTTGCATAATTACAGGGTGCTCTTTGTGGACTAATCGCGAGTGCGGTCCTGACATTTTGGGTCGGAGTTGGCGGTACAGTATTACTTCCGGTTCCGCCGATAACAGGTGTCAGCACTGCAAAGTGTGACTTGTTTCCCAAAAACTGTAATGGAACTGTATTTAATTCCACGGATTTTAATTTTACATCTACAGCGACAGTGAATACTTTGTCAGCCACAGATATGACAACGACAATAAACACAACTGCAGCACAGTCAATGGATGATTATCTGTTAGTGTCCCTTATGCTTTTCTTTCTTTATTTTAGATTTTTTTTTATTGTATTTTTTTTCTAATTTATGTTTAGTTGAATAGAATGTTTACTTTGAGTTATTTTGTTTATTTTCCAGGTGGATTTATAAATTGTCTTATTTATACTATGCTTTATTTGCTGTGATCATCTCAGTTGTTACGGGAATTATCGTTACCATCATATCAAGTATATTCACAGGTGGGTCGAATAATGAAGTTATCCCTCTTTGAACATTCTGAACATTTTTGTGAATGACGATGCTAACTTAATTTTTTGTAGATATGAACACGCCTAATGATTTTGATAAGAAATACGTCCATAAATGGGTAGACCGTGTTTTTTGCTACTTGCCTCTTGGCTGCCAAAAAGTCACCAGGCTTCAAAGATACGTAAGTGTAATGCATCTTTTTAAGAAGTTAGAATAAGAAAATTTTAAAAATGAATAATTCAAACGAGCAAAAACCGACAACATACCAAACGTCTCCACCAGAACTGCCATAAATATTCTTACTAGTAAAACAAACACAAAAACATTCAAGATATCCATTTCAAGCTATATCTTCATGATTATCTTTTATCGAGTAAAAATCAGAATATTCGCATAAATCAAATATTAACTATCG